CGCGACGGCTAGCGAGAAGGACGAGGTTCTCGCTATACTAGGGGAGCCGTCGGCGAGACCGGCTTTGACCCCTACGACCTCCGCAACGCCGGTTGCGGCGGCGACACTACCGACGAGGAAGCCGCTCCCTTAGCCGACTTAGGACGGCAAGCCGGAGTCCTTTTACTTCTTCCTTAGCTAGCTATAGACGAAGTTTATAACCGACGAGAAATAGGGCCTAAATAGCTGTCGCGATATAGCGTGGTATTCGCTCCTCTATACGCTGCCGGAGCCCTAGATACGGCGGATCTCCGGATTCTAGGATAAGGGCGGCCCCGGGGGCAGACGCGACCCATAAGACTTCTTCTAACACCTTATATATACGTTCGGCAACGTGTAGGAGCGGGAGAAGGCGTAAGATAGGCTACGGACCCTTAAGCAGAGAGACGGACAAACCTTTAGCGAATTCCTTCCCGATTTCGAAGAGACGCTCTTATAGGCAGCGGGGACTACGGTATAGGAAGACAGCGCGAAGCTTATATAGCTATAGAATTCGATTACGCCGGCCCTACGGGAGCTGCTTATCCCCGTGATTATGCCTATTAACTACGGCGAGTACGTAAGCCGGTTAATAAAGGTAGCTTAGGGCTACGAGCAGACGCCGCGTTTCTAGAAGCTCCGTAAGCGCACGCCGCATAGCGGCGACGGGATCACCGCCCCTCCGTAAGATAAATAACCGGCTATCGACACGGACGGGGACACCCTAATGTCGGCTACCCGCACGGACCGGGCTAGACGCGGCAAGAAGACGCCGTCGACCACCCCCTATACCGCCCCGCACTCTAAGCAGCGGGCGAAGTAGGTAACGAGCGAGGAAATCGGGAAGAGGAAGGCTAACAGCCGCTACCTACGTTACGGAGCATCCACGCACTTTATATTAAAATGCCCCTTCCTTTTAGCTAAGCGGCCTATAGCGGTTCGAGTAGCGAAGATAGAACCGCTCCTCACCTTAGACGATAAGGAGGACTCCGCCCCCCTAGGCCAGGAGGAAAAAGAGTAGCTCCGGAGCAAAGACGGGCTCTAGAGCCCTAATTGCTAGCACTAGTAAAGGAGAAGGAAGAATTATCCGCCCGTATAGAAGAGGAGCCTACTTTAATATAGGTTATAATTAATAACTCCTTGCCCGTTACCGCCCTTATAGACGAGGGCTGCTAGTACTATGCCGTAGTTAACGAGGCGCTTACGAGAGAGATATAAGTGCCGGTAGAAAAGATCGCCCTAAGGCGAGTAAAGGGCGCCTTAGGCGCGATAGAAGGTACGGTAATTAGGGGCATTACGTAGCTAGCTATAGAGGTCGACGGTTGCTATAAGCTTATCGTAGCCTATATAATCCCCTAACTAGAGTTTCCCCTAATCCTCGGGAAACCCTAGTTATTATATATAGAGTTATACTCGGTTCCGCACTAAAGGAAGCTATAGTTTAGGCCTACGCAACGGTAGGTCCGCCACGACGACGGTTCCGTAGGCGTAGGACCAGGCGTGCGAGCTTTATACTTAGCATAAGAAGTCCTTGCCTCTATCTTCGTAGGAACCGTGCGATAGGTAGAGCGGGGGCAAGGCCGGGCAGCGGCTAACGTAGCGGTCTACGTAGTTAGCCTAGCGGATATCGATAAGGCCCTCTAGACGAAGAAGCTAAAGTCGCCCTCTAAGCTACGGCAATAGATACCGGAGCGCTTTTACGACCTCCTACCGCTATTCGAGTCCTAGGAAGCGGATAAGCTTAACCTATATAAGCCGGGGGTAGACTATAGGATCGTACTCCGCACCGATAAGAAGGGGTAGGAACTGCCTATACCGTTCGGACCGCTATATAGCATATTATACGCGGAGCTGCTAGTGCTAAAGAAGACGCTAAGGGACCTCCTAGATAAGGGTTTTATTTAAGCAAGCAGCTCCGAAGTAGGAGCGCCGGTCCTATTCGTGCGTAAACTAGGGGGCGGGATACGGTTCTATTACGACTATAGGGCCCTAAACGTAATTACGAGGCCGGACCGCTACCCCTTACCCCTAATCTCGGATACGCTCCGTAACCTTTCGAAGGTAAAGTAGTTTACAAAGCTTAATATAAAATAGGCGTTCTATAAGGTACGGATCTTAGAGGGTAACGAGTAGAAGACGGCGTTCCGCATACGCTACGGCTTATTCGAGTAGCTTATAACGCCCTTCGGCCTCTTAGGAGCGCCCGCTACCTTCTAGCGTTATATTAATAACGTGCTTCGGGACTTCCTCGACGAGTTCGCCTCTATATACGTAGATAATATCCTTATCTATACGAGCGGCTCCTACGAGGACTATATACGGAAAGTGCGGAGGGTCCTAGAGCGCCTCTAACTTTATAGGCTCTACCTCGACCCGGATAAGTACGAATTTAGGGTTAAGAGGGTTAAGTACCTAGGCTTTATTATCTACGTAGGCGTAGGCATATAGGCGGACCCCGCAAAGATCTAGGCGATTCGGGACTAAGCTGCCCTAACTACGTAGATAGGCGTACGGAGCTTCCTTAGGTTCGCGAACTATTATAGGATGTTTATTAGGGGCTTCTCCCGTATTATAATGCCCCTAAACGAGATTACCGGGAAGCGGACCGCCTTTCGCTAGGGGCCCGCATAGGAAGGAGCGTTCCGCACGCTTAAGGACCTATTCTCTTAAGCCCCGGTACTGCTCTAGTAAGACTTCGACCGGTCTACGTTAGTTAAAGCGGACTATAGCGGCTAGGCACTTAGAGGAACGCTCTCCTAAGAGGTAGACGGGCGGAAGCAACCGGTAGCGTTCTACTCCCGCAAGCTAACCCTAGCGGAGCGGAATTACGCTATTTACGATAAGGAGATACTAGCGATTATTAGCTGCCTCGAGCAATAGTAAGCGGAGCTCCGGAGCTATAAGAGCTTCGAGGTTCTTATAGACTATAGGAACCTCGAGTACTTTATAACTCGCTAGCACCTCTCGGAGCGGCAAGCCCGCTAGGCGGAGTATCTCTTACGCTTTAACTTCTCGATTAAGTACCGCCCTAGGCGGGACTCCGCGGTCTTAGACGCGCTTTCCCGGAGGGATTAGGACCGGCCGACGGGAGCGGACATCGAGGCCCGGGATCTATAGCTTATCCTATAGGAAGCACTACGGACTTATATAGGAGCTTCCCTAGTAGAGGAAGACGCGGTGCTAGCGAATAAGCTTCCCCCCGCGCCCTTGCCTCGGTCCGGTAAGGAGGGATAGACCGGCCCGGGGGCGCGCGCGGCGAGAGTATTCTAAGGTAAGGCCCTTTAACGCTTATAGGATAGGATAGCGGCCCTAGACCGCACCTACGAGGGCGTGCGCCGCGCCGTTAAGTCCGGCGCTCGACGCCTAGATCCGAAGCTAAAGCTAAAAGTGTAGGTGGCCGACTACTATATCGACCTACGGGGGCATCTACGCTAGCGGGGGAGACTATAGGTACCGGGCGCACCGTATACTATAGAAGCTAAGGAGAAGGAGGGACCGCCGGAGCTAGACGAACGGAACGAGCTCCGAGGAAGGCTAGTCTAACTTATCTATAACTCTAGCATCGTGGGTCACCTAGGCAGACAGGGCATAGCAGTAGGCCTTATAAGGGACTTTTACTAGCCCCTCCTATAGCACCACGTTCGTCGCTTCCTCCGTAACTACGATATCTACGGCCGTATAAAGATCTAGAGGGCGCAGCTTAAGGGGCTGCTTAAGTAGCTTCCGGTGCCCGACCGGTTCTATACGCATATATAGATAGACTTTATAACGGACCTCCTACTTATAAAGGGCGGCAACCGCTATATATAGGTAATTAAGGACCGACTTAGTAAGTCTATAGTATTAGAGCCGATGCCATCTATAGATATAGAGTCCTACGTAGAGCGCTTCTTATAGTACTAGGCCCGCTCGTATAGCTAGCTAGCCTCTATTATAAGCGATAGGGGATCGAATTAGACCAGCCGCTTTTAGCAGCACCTATACTAGCTACTTTAGATCACGCAGCTGCTTAGCACGGCATATCACCTATAGACCGACGGAGGGCCGGAGAGGGTTAACTAGGAGGCGTAGGCTTACCTACGGGCTATCGTAGCCCGCAACTAAGCAGACTAAGACCGGTGGCTCCCCGCGGCCTAACTTACGTTAAATAGTAGACTATATACCTCTATTAGGATGGCCCCTTTCTTTATAACGCATAGCTTCGAACCACCCTTACTAGTTCCCTTTACTATAGACGTGGTAGCGGAGCAGTATAGTAATTCGTTACCGGAGGGCCGCGCCTCCGCGTTCGTACGAAAGCTATAGGAGACCACGGATTATTGCTAATCCGCGATAGCCGCCGCGGCGTAAGATTAGGAGCGGCACGCTAATAAGACTAGGGCCCTAGTAGATAGGTTCGCGGTAGGAGATAAGGTATAGCTAGACCTCCGTAACTATAGGTCGGCACGACTAAAGAAGAAGCTTAACTAGCTATACGCGAAGTTTACGGTACGGAGGGTTATTAGCCTATAGGTTATAGAGCTCGATAGTCTCCTAACGGGGGTCTATAATAAGATTAACGTAGACCTCCTTCGTAGAGCCTCCTTTAACCCGCTGCCCGGATAAGAAGTAGCGGACGCCTAACCGCCCGTAATCGAGGTAGAGGGAGAGGACGAGTTCGAGGTCGACGAGATACGGGCCGCGCGATAGAAAAAGGTCGGTAGGGGGAAACGCTAGGAGGTCCTCGTTAAGTAGCGCGGGTATCTCGACCCTACGTAGGAACCTATACGTAAGTTTACGGGAACCGTAGCCCTCGATAAGTTTAAAGCCTTATTCGGAACGGTAGACGAGAACGACGGACTAGCGGACCACCGATAGCAGCCCGGGCTAAGACCACGAAGTAGGCAAAGCGGAGTAGGCAGTTACGATAACGCGAGCGCAATTATACGAGCGGAGATAAAAATAGCGTTTATTTTAGGGCGGAGCCCCTAGACTACCTAGACCTACTCCTCGTCCTTATCGTCGTCCTTATCCTTATCCTCGTCGTCCTCCTCTACCTTATTGGTGGCGGCGGCGCTCTCTAGGGCGCTTAGGCGGCCCTCTAGGCCCGCGAGCCAGTCGGCGGCAGCGGCGGCTCCGGGGGCTCCGGGGGCGGGAGGGGCCCGGCCAGCAGCAGCGGCGGGGGCGGCGGCGGGCACGGCCATAGGGACCGCCGACAAGGCGACGGAGGCAGTGTCCCTAGTGCCGGGAGAGTTAGCAGCGGAAGCAGAAGAGCTAGATAAGAGGAACTTACTTAGGGACGAGGCCCTAGCGCTCGAGGGCGCGGAGATTGCGGTAGGCGGCGGCGGCGGCGGTAAGGCGCTTCTTAGCAGCCCCCCGTGCCTGCCCGTGCGCGCCGGCCTTCTAAGCCGACGCCGCAGCGAGCAGGACGGGAGGCGCCGCCTCATAGGCGCGGCCGGCACGCGCGCACTGGTAACAACTGCCGCCACGGCGGCGCCCGACTTAGTCGGCGCAGGGGAGCTCCTGCGACGCGCACCGCATATAGGGGGCCGCGCGGGCGGCTCCGGCCTACACTTAGCGTTTATGCTTTAAGAAGTTAGCGGAAAATGGCCACCACGCTCGCTAGGCAGCGGACTTACGGGGGTGGCAGTGGCGGAGGCGGGGGCGGAGGGGCCGGGCGTCACGGCCGGCGGCGGGGACGGCGTCGTTACCCGGAAGGGCGACGTGAGGGCGGCTAGCGCAGCAGAGGCAGAGGCGGCGGCGGTGGGCGCGGTCGCGGGGGCGCGGGCAGGAGCAGCGGCAGCGGCGGAGCCGTCGTCGGCCGTGCCCAGCACGGCGTCGACGAACGACTCCGCACGCTCCGAGAAGGAGGAAGCGGGGGAGGGGGAGGCAGACATGTCTATCGCGGAAGTCAGCATCACGGATTGCGGCCTCCCGCTCTATAGGGCGGAGAACTTACTAGTTAAAGTTATTGTTATTAGGGCTATTATTGCTGCTGCGGCTATTACTACGAGCACACGTTAATAAAGCGGCCCGCATAGCTAGGAACGAACTAACGCCCCGGGCAGAGCGGAACTCACCTATTGCTGCTGCTGCTGCGGTTAAAGAAGAAGGAGAAGGAAAGGAAGGAGGAAGGGGGGGATGCCGCCTTATATACCCCTAGGTAGAGGAGGCTGCCTAAGGCCGAGGGGACGGGCAACCTGAGGCTTACGTAGGTCCGGGCCGGCCGCCGGCCACCTAGGGGCGCATATAATAGGTTGCGCCCCTATTCAAACGGCCAGCCGGCCGATAAGTGTGGAGCCCGGTTCCGGCTGCCCGGGCTAATAGGCGCGGGGACAATAGGGCTAGTGGGGCCAGCACGATTAACGGAAAAGGGCAGGGTAGAGCTAGCGGCACGGGCCCTATAGTGCGGAAGCCGCCAATAGGGCAACGCCGCGCCGCGCTCGAGGGAGGGCATTGTATAAGAGTCTTTGACTATTGTGGGTTGTGGGCTTAGGCTACGGCCTAAGCCGTGTAGTTACGTGCGGAGGGCCGGATCCCGCACGTATGTATGCGGGCCAGCCGCGCATAGGAGAGCTCTGCATAGCTTGTTAACATCATCCTACGGACGGCACCTACGCGCACGCCTCTGCCTACTCCGTGACAGATACCTTTAGCTAGGTCCTTAGCGTAATCTTAATAATAATAATAATACTATTAATACTATTAAAAAGAAAGAATATTAGCTTCTTAGCTAATAATAATACCTTTAAAACGCTTAAATAATTATAAGAAGTTCGCCGCCTTATTATAAAGCTAGAAAATTATAGTTAAGTTAACTATATAATCTAACTACTCTTTAGTAAAGGTAACTATACCTTTAAGAATTAAAAGTAATAGCTTATAGCTACTTAGCTTTAAATATAATAGCTTAAGTATTAATTATATTATCTATAGCCTTAAAAATAGAAAAAGGTTTTATAGGATCTTAATAGCCGGTTTATATATATTAATTAAGTTATTAAGATAAGGTAATAGCTCGAGCGTATCCTTAAGCTAGCTACTATTACTATAGCTAATTAAGATATAGATTTTAAAGCTCTATATAGTAGCTAGCAGCTAAAATAGCTAGAAAATACTATAATTAACTATCGTAACGTTAAAATACGGCTTTAATTACTATTAGAATGTGCCTGCCTTAGTGCTATAGAGAGTGCCGGTGTTAGGGTGTGCCGGACTTTAGGTGGGCTGACTTAAGTCGGCCCTCCAAGGCGGCACCAGCCAGCATGTGTAAAGAAGTAATTTGAAGTTAATAAATACCTTCATAAATATATATAAAAAGTGGCTTCACACCATTTAATTTTCGATTCGTTGTACTGATGAGTAGATGCTTTCCCTTTTCATGGATGTAGTGGCGTGGCGTAGCTGCTTCTGCGGCTCAGGCAGGTAGAAGTCTTGAAATAAACAAAGGTCGAATCTGCATTACAGGCCCTGGCGAATGTTGATGTGCTGACGGCGTTTTTTGATCACCTGCGGCTCGGAGGAGAATGTCTCAGTACGAGGTAATGGCCTGCCTGCATTGGCGCCGATGGTATCTTACTGACCGAATTCGTCCAAGCGTAGTAGCCTTGAATTGACGAATCGTCACGATGCTCCGCTCTCGGCCAACAACGATGTCCTTGACTGCTGCTGAGCTTGAAGAATTCGAGCTTCATTACCGATACAGACGACGCCTGCGGGTTATTGGCAGGCCTGTCAACCAGTCGGCACCCGACAACATCTCTGTGCCAGTAGTAGGTCAAGCCCCTTTCAACCATGCCGAGCTTCTCCCTGATGGATGGTTCGTGGGCTCCAAGCTCCATCGGAGCCTTCCAAGCTACACCGAACACGAGGATTGTGAGTGTCCATGTTCCGTTGGGAGAATGCGGTGCTCGTGCACCGTCTGCAGGCATTTCAGCGTCGGCACGCTCTGGAGGCGAGACTGGTGACTTGCTGCCTCTTGGCCGACACAGCCCAGGGCTGACGAACTGTCAGGTTCATCAACGGGCTCGGTATTTTTGGGTGCAACTGTCGGCCGCATAGCCTCGCCAGACAAGGGATTACCCAGTGGTAACGACGAAGATGATGACGATGGATGCTCGTTGTCTGCAGAGTCAACCATTGGAAGAACACTGCCGTCACTGCTGTCTGCGCCGTCTCGAATTGCACAGTCCGATGCTAGCGCTACCTCGGCAGGCGATGAAGGAGGCCGCGTTCAAGTAATCAGAGAGGGCAATTTGCGCTCCCAAAACGCTCTTGGCCACTTGATGCCTAGAGCTCATCCTTTCGACGTCCCGAGGCAACCCGTACCAGAAGGACATGGCACGCGGCACAATGCCCGACCACACCATTCGGATGCCCAACGGACCGACCTAAGCCCTAGATACTCTCGCCTCGGGCTGCCAGTCTATTATGACTTCCTTCCCAGTACATGGCAGCCACGAGATGCAAGCCATTTGCCCGAGTGGCGACACCAGAGTAGGGTCGACGGGAATCCAGCAATCCACCTGGCCGGACTACAAGCCCATGTGCCGGCTCCTAGACAGGCACAGCAAACAAGTCACCTCATAAGGCGAAGCGTGTCCAGGGAGCATGGAGACAGCCCGGTAGGTCTGGCAATGCCTGGCTTCCGCGGCTTGTATGGTGGGATCGAAAACACGGACGACGAGCTTTTATACGACCAGAGGCAAAGCAATGCTCCAGGAAATTGAATATACGTAACGTAATCCACCCCCTTCCCGGTCAGACCCCCTACTCGGTCAGAAAAAGTCTCCACGCGGCGACCCACACTTATGGCAAGACAAACCGAGCACTATGACGGCAACGGGAGACCAATCGGTTCCACGCGAAGAACGGGTCCTGCTCGCCGTCAGGGCCTATCAGCAGGGCCAATTCAAAAGTACCCGCAAGGCTGCGGCCGCATACGACGTCCCTCAATCGACAGTATCTGATCGACTGCGCGGTGTCATTCGCCGACGCGACGCTCAGATGAACAACCTGAAGTTGACGGCGACGGAAGAGACTGCCCTGGTACAATGGATCTTGTCGATGGACGAGCGAGGGATGCCGCCGACAGTGGCTTACACTCGTCGGATGGCCAACTTATTGCTTTCCGAGCGAGGCAAAGATCCTGTCGGGGAAAACTGGGTGCGGAAGTTTGTTGGCCGCCACGGCGAAATCAAGGCAAAGTACTCTCGCCGATACGACTACCAACGAGCCAAATGCGAAGACCCCCAAAAGATCCAAGGATGGTACGATCGAGTCGCGGCGACGAAACAGAAATGGGGGATTCTTGACGAGGATGTCTATAACTTTGATGAGACGGGGTTTCAAATGGGAGTCGCTGCAACGGCGAGAGTCCTTACCCGGTCTGACCGGCGAGGTCGGGCAGTACTCACGCAGCCTGGAAATCGAGAATGGGTTACTGTGATCGAGTCTATCAACTGCCAAGGTTGGGCTTTACCGGCGAAGGTTATCTTCCAGGGCAAGTTACACCAAGCAAGCTGGTACGAATCAGGAGTGCCCGATGACTGGCATATCGCCGTTAGTGAGAATGGCTGGACTTCCGACGACCTTGCTTTGAATTGGTTAAAGGAAGTCTTTGATCCGAATACACGGCGCCGTACGGTTGGTACGCATCGACTTCTTATTCTCGACGGGCACGGCAGTCACGTCACGCCGGAATTTGACAAGTACTGTACGGCCAATTCCATCGTAGTACTCCAAATGCCTGCACATTCCTCACATCTCTTGCAGCCTCTTGATGTCGGGTGCTTTTCGCCGTTGAAAACCATATACGGCCGAAAGGTTCAAGAGAAAATGCTCGCTGGGATCCATCATATCGACAAGCAGGACTTCCTTCCCATGTACTTAGACGCTCGCCGACAAGCACTTTCGCCGTCGAATATCCGAAGCGGATTTATGGCAACAGGCCTTTTTCCGTTTGACCCAAACAGAGTATTATCGCGGTTACAAGTTCAGGTTGACAAAGTCGGTAACGATCACGGCGACAAGAATACTCCAAGTCCCAACAAGAGCCTGGAAGCAGCCAAGACTCCGCATAACGTCAACCAGCTTACCACTCACGCCGAAAGGCTTCTTCAACGCCGGCCACAAAATACAGACTCGCCAGTTTCACAAGCTATCAACCAGCTTATCAAAGGATGTCAAATGGCCATGCACAGCGCCGCCCTCCTTGCCGACGAAAACCGGCAACTTCGGTCAGAAAACCAGCGGCGAAAGCAGAGAAAGAACAGCGCCGTGAATACATTGGCGACGGCGGTACTCTATCGGTTGCAGAGGGCACGGTTAGGATAAAGCAACGGAGAGAAGAAGAAGAAGAGCGGGTTAAGCGACGGAGAGTGGAAGAAGAGGAGAGGACTAAGCGCCGGCGAGAGAAGGACGAGGAGCGCCAAGCGACGACAAGAAGGAGAAGAGCGGGCCGAGCGACGGCGACAAGAGAACGAGGAATGGTTCAAGCTACGGCGAGAAAAGGAAGAGGAGCGGGTCAAGAAACAGAGAGCAAAGGAAGATGAGCGGGCCAAGCGACGGCGGGAAGAAGGAGCGGGACCAACGACTTATAGAAGAGCTGAGTGTCCCAAGACAGCGTGCACCACCACGGTGTAGTAAGTGCAGGTCTTTTGAACACACTGCCCGTACGTGTAATAGATAGTCCTAATCGAGTTACTTGTCTCTTGGAGTAAATATGTCGTGGTATTGTGCTCCGTTTGTCTCGCGTAAGGTGCGGGTCTAGTCGGTGGGGAATTTTTGACCGAGTAGGGGGTCTGACCGGGAAGGGGGTGGATTACGTTAGTTGTAAGAAAGGAAACAAGTACACAAAGCTTTGCTTGCTTATGTAAGTTTTATCCTAGATATTTATATATTTATATAATACTTAATATTTTAAATAAACAACACAACTCTGTTTAAAAATATAAATTTTCATGCAAGTAATTTAAGTATTTTGTTAAAGCATAAAAGAATCAAAAGAGTAAATTAACGATGGTAACTACGTGACATATTTATGTTTACTTCGTAAGGAACACTTAATAGATAGTTAGCATCAGGCTCTTGGTTGGCAGGTTGGAAGCCCCCGCTTTTTTTGTTGCTGACTTTGACACATTGCCCAGGAAAAGCCCGCGTCGTCATCCGAGCGCTTGCAATGCAAAGTACCCACTATACTTTGTACCACGGTTACCTCGCTTTCCACCGTCGTGTCGTCGTCCTGTCCTGTCCCGTCAGGACTCTGTCCAACATCTCCAGCCCCAGAGGACCAAGCTCGGCCCCTGGAGCACAGCATCATGAATGGGGACTTGAGTCTTTCTCAGGCCCTCGGTGGGCTGCGAATAGCCAATCCTGACGATGCCGCCGAAGCGTCTCACTCCCCTGCGTCCCCTGATTCTACGCCAGCCTTTGTGCCAACAGCCCCATCCGACCGCGACGCAATACCATCTTCAAGTGTCGTCGGTGCCGATTCCAGTTCCTTCAGCCCCGGCATGACAAGCGACATCAGCCTACCTCGCCCTCTCGCTCCCCATCAAGATCCCGAACCCAGCCGATTCAGATCCTCCATCTACGACCTCGCCCTGGGCGGTGCCGGGTCCGCGTCCACTGGTCTCGCGCGTCTGTCTCCGGAGTGCATTCAACCAGACGGACAAGGCCTTCCTCAACTGGCCCACGATGAATTCTTACCACTGGGTCACGGCAACTCCCTGCCTCCACGGGGAAGCTCCAGGGGCGCGAGAGGAGAAAGCCAGGCGTGCAGTTCGGTTCCAGTCCGCAACCAGAGCACATCGCTGGGTGGGCCGGTGCCGCTGCCCACCTCCAGCGAGGAGTGGAAGGACCGAGGAGCCGCCGTTGGTGTGCGTCGTGAGGTGGACTCGAGCGGCCGATCGATCGTTCGACAGGTCAAGAAAGGCGTCAGGGACTTTTCCTTTGGCCGCATCCTGGGCGAGGGCTCTTACAGCACCGTCTACTTGGCTACCGACCGGCAGACCCTCAAGGAGTATGCCGTCAAGGTACTCGAAAAAAGGCACATCATCAAGGAGAAGAAGATCAAGTACGTCAATATCGAGAAGAACACGCTCAATCGTCTCACCGAGCACCCTGGCATCGTTCGGCTTTACTACACCTTCCAGGACGAAACCTCACTTTACTACGTACTCGACCTCTGCAATGGCGGGGAGCTGTTAGGCGTGTTGAAGAAGACCGGAACATTTGACGTCGAGTGTGTGAGATTCTATGGCGCCCAGATCCTCGACTCCATGGAATACATGCACTCGCGTGGTGTTATTCACCGTGACATCAAGCCCGAAAACGTGCTTCTGGATGATCAAATGCACGTCAAAATCACCGACTTTGGAACTGCGAGGCTGTTGAGGGACCCACGCGAGCCCAGGGGCCCGGACAGCACTGAGCGAGGATTGTCAGACTCGGAGAAGCGGGAGGAGCAAGACGACAGCCGCGCCGCGTCATTCGTGGGCACCGCCGAATATGTGAGCCCCGAGTTGCTCACACACAAGACGGCATACAAGGCGAGCGACCTGTGGGCCTTTGGATGCATAATCTATCAGCTACTCGCCGGAAGACCGCCGTTCAAGGCTGGTAGCGAGTATCTGACTTTTCAGAAAATCGTGAATCTCGACTACGAGTTCCCCCAGGGCTTCCCTCCTTCAGCTCGGGACCTCGTTGAGCGGTGTCTGGTTCTCGATCCAGCCAGGAGACTTACCATTGAGCACATCAAGAACCACGAATTCTTCCAGGGTCAACAATTTGGGAAAGGATTGTGGCGAACCAAAGCGCCAAGACTACGGTCATACAATCCACCTGCACCCGAGCCGTCCATTATCCAGCTGAATGGTCTGTCGGGAGGAGGCGCAGCCCCTCCCAATGGGCCAGCGTCTCGTCCACCGCATCATCTCCAAGCGAGCACCTCTGGTGGAAACGGTCGCCCCTCGCGCATCATCACGGAACTACCGCCCCCAACTCAATTGGACATTGAGTGGTCGCCCGTGTTGACCAAAAACAACGAACGAATCCTTAAGCTCGGCGACTTGATGGTCATCTCAACCCCGCTGAACAATGCGCTCAGAGGGCCCGAGGAGGGCCACAAGAAGCTTTCTCGCTTCTTCGGAGGCAGTACGACCAAGAAGAGGCAGAGGCTGGTGATGATTACGTCGAGTGGCCGTATCGTGCTTGCGCCTGCGGGAGGGGAGGAGAAGAGAGCAAAGCAGGAACTGTCGCTTCTGTCGCCGGATTGCTCTTGGAGAAGCCAACGCGACGCCCGGGGGCAGCTCGTGTGGTGCGTTGATACGGTGAGCACTTGCAGCCCTACTCTACTTTGACAACAGGACGTGGCTCATCATATCGGACAGGGCGGCCAACACTATACCTTTGAGGAGCTCAAGGCGTCATCAAGCCCAGAGGGCATGCGCAGTTCGGTTGACGATTGGATTGAATGCCTGGAAAAGGCAAGAGACCTAGCCATGTCGGCCAACGCAACGTCACAGGGCAACGACGACGCATTTGCCGAGATGCCTTCGACGGTGTCGAGCCCCGCAAGCACATTGGGGAGTCGGGCAAACCATGGCGAAGCATATGGCCTCAACGACAGGCCCCCTCGCAATCATCTCAGCAAAACGCAGGGGGGCCTCGAGGATAATGGCGTCAGGCGGAACCGCTTCAGCAAGCGGCAGTCCAGGAACGGGGTAGGACCCGCATTCTAGGTGCGTGGCGGTATTCCGAGGGTTTTGTGGTTTCATCTACTCGAGTTTCTTGGACACGTTTGCCCTACAAGCATGGAGGTCGTCGGGACCATCAATCACAAGGCCATTGCAAGCGAGGCGCATTGACGAGGAGTTCGTGTCTCTTACTGGGAGGAGGGATAGAGTTCCTGGTTTGTATTTTTGAAGGGCAACTGCTTGCATGGACTAGAATACAAAAGACGGTGGTGTCGTTGAGAAGACCTTTGTTTCTGAACATGGGTAGTAGGTAACTTAGGAGGTAACCTATGGCGGGTGAGGCTGTAAAACTGTTCTGTCCAGACCATTTCAGCAGCAATTTTGGAGGGCAAACTTCTGAGCGGCGAGCAGGTGGGTACCTAAGGTTCGGGCCCCTCGCCCTCTTTTACTGTGGCCTTTGACGTGTCATTGAGTACGAGACGAGGGAGTGCGTGTTTTAATCCGGGGAGGGTGGATAGGTATAGTTAGGTACCCTGCTGCAGGTACGTACCGGTATCGGGTAACAAGGTTTGTTTGCGGGCTGGTCGCCCAGGCGCCGCCTACAAAGGCCGCTTGCGATCAGATTCTCGCCCGGGCGTCTTCTCTTCACCACGTTGCCTGCCTGCAGTGCACAACACATCATCCACAGACGCACCATTTGTTTTCGTCGCGCGCGCTGAGCAAGGCTGCCATCATTTCTCTACCTGATGTCAATTCGTTCCCCCGATTCGCCACCTAACACACCCGGCCGAGCCTCATCGATTGATTCTTCCTCGTCCAACGCTCAACCTGCCACGCCGTCGCCGCCCTCCTTGCTCCAATTCCAGCGCAGAGCTGACCTCACGGTTTGTGGAAGCACTAACTACTAATCTCTTGAACTCCAGTCCCCACGGCTGCGCTCATCATGGCTTTCTGTGGTCGTCAGTATACGGCAGCCTCGCCCGTCGTCGCCATCAAGCCGCCGCCTTCCCATCACTCCCAGCTGCCCACCACAAACCTGACACGCGAGCAGGCGCCTCTCTCGGTGCCTAGCGTCTCGGCTGGCAAGAAACGACCTCGCGACGAAGCCTCGCACAACATCGATCCCTACGTTATGGCGCCGCCGACTGCTGATAAGCCAGACAAAGGCTGGATACACACCCGAGGCGCGGCTCTCACCAAGCCGGACGCACAATGCATCACCCATACCCGCGGTCACTTCGGCAATCAGCGAGAAGAAAAGAGTCTTGGTGCAGAGCGGCCCGAACTGAGGAGTAGTAAATCGCAGCGAATGGACCCCGGCATCCAACAATCGTCGTCCTCGAATACATCGAATGGCGCCAGCCCCAGCCGCCCAGGCCGCCAAGTCGCAAGTGTCGAATCCTCGAAAGAATTGGTCATTGATGACTCCACCCTTCATCTCGGCATTGGATGGAGACGTCTGAGCGACGACCAACACATGCAGGCGGCAGCACGAGGTTGGGCGCGCTTCATTGGAAATCACTTTGCCCTCACCAACGTGCGAATGTGTCTCGAGAGTAAGGGACTTCAATCCTACCTGGTGGAAGCGTCTGAGGGCTTCTTCCTTTTTGCAGAAAACCTGCGCCACGGACGACTGGTCAGCCGAACCGTCGACGGCGCGCTCCGCAACTTGCAATCATCGCCACCGACATTTGACGGCGCGGAGACCCTGACAATGGAGGCCAGAGATCGTCCGCCACCTAGCGAACCCCCCACCGACACTGAAATGAAGACAGACTAGCGGCCTATACCTACACTGCCTTGGCTGCGGCGAGGCATCATAGCCGTCGAGTTTCTCAGCATCATGACCCCGGGGCAGCCCATCTACTGCAGAGCTTCGGAAACAAAACTATGCCCATGGTAAGAGGTGGGAGGGAATCGGCGTTTGCAAAGGGAGTTTGTATATATAGTCGTTCAATCGCAAGTCATTTCGCGCCGGATGTGACCGCACTGCTGCTCTTATACATTCGAAAACCGGCACCCTCAGATGGAGCTACGTTGGCGAAAGCACCTAAGCGCTCCTGCTATACCAAGTGTGAACTGGTTGGTTGTATGAATGGCATGTTTCAATAGCTACTTTCGTACCAAAACTGATATAAAATATATATACTGTATATATGTACTATACAAAACGGTATTCCGACTTCGACTAACCTATACAAACGGGAACTCCGTGTCACTACGTACCCAGTAATTAATATCTCTCGTTTCAATTGCTACCCACCATCTCTAGGTGTATCTATTTTTAGGTGGATTTCAGACGCCAAAAGGTACTGTACTCTGTCGTCGACATTCTTGCCTGTGCCATCGCCATCCCGCCTCGTCTCCCCATCTGCACCCCCTCCCCGCCCCTCCCCATCGTCAAAAGCCCGTCAACGCGCGCAAATTGCTTCGTCATGTCCAAGCCAAGCCAGCTATTCTTGCTAGCCGACCACATCAAGTTGTCGCTACTAGAGCGCCAGCGGGCAAAGAGCCTCGACCTCGACGACAGCGACACCCAAGACGGCCACTTATCGCGATCGCTCGATCAGTTCCGCACCGGTCTCGCGGCTCTGCGGCAGGAAAAGGCGCGCGTGGAGCAGACGGACGATCAAAGGTGAGGAGTGTCGGCTCTCCAGACGGGTACCGGCGGTCCCGTGTCGCTTCTCTTGGGGCGTCTCTTCTCCGGAGATGGTGCCCGGCCGAAAGCCCATGCTCACACCATGTACTGTCCAGCGCGGCAAAGTCCATCGAAAACGAATTGGCCATACTGCAGAAACAGTACGATGACCTGACAGCTCAGTTCCACGGCTTCTCAAACCCTGCCTCGGAAGCAACCCTGAACCACGCAAACTCGGACGCGCTCACCGATGACTTTGCCCACGCCGCTTCAACGTCTCCCGTCTCCCACAAGCCCAAAACCGTCCGCTTCACCGACACGCCGTCGTCCCCGTCCGACCAGTTGTTCAAGCCCTACAGCGACGACCCGAACCATGACTCGGCCGGTTACCGTGACCAGTCCGCAGACATGACCAACCAGCAGCTGCACGAGTACCACTCGCAGATCCTCGACAATCAGGATGAGCAACTCGACCGGCTGGGGGAGTCGATTGGCCGCCAGCGCGAGCTCAGCATGCAAATTGGCGACGAGCTGGATAGCCACGTCGCCATGCTGGACGAGGTCGAGGCCGTTACAGATCGCCATCAGGGTCGCCTGGATCGTGCAAAGAATACCCTGGGCAGGGTGGCTAGAGGTGCCGGCGAAAACAAACAGATGACTGCCATTGTTGTCCTCATCATCATTCTCGTCCTCCTAATCGCTATCTTGAAATGACCGGGCAGCCACCTGTTCGCGAGGATAGTCTGCGACAGAGCACATCGGAAGGGAAGAAACAAGAAAGGGTGGCAATCGGTGAACCGGCGGAGTGCATGCAATGCGACCTGGCGTTGGGGAGTTTGAGCCTGTTGTGTAAGTTATCGAGTATTTCCCCTCGGTTTGACTTCTCGGCGGCTAGTACGACGGGTTGGATGATTCATAGCAGAAGGGATTTCCCCACGGTCAAAGGGCGGGCTACTGCTTACCCAAGAAAACACGTCTACCGCCGCGTTGCAGTGCTCGGGGTCGTGTCGTTTGGGTATCCTTCTGCTCTATAAATCTAAGCTCTTTGTTTGGCAATCTGAGTGTACACACGCGGCCAAGGTGGCCCATGGAACATTTTCCGACCCATTTCGCCCGGGGCGGTCAGCGGATCACGTCGCCTTCCTTCATGATGCCATCCAAGTCTTCGAGAATGTCGCTGCCGCCAAGCATCCCCGACCTGGCCGCTGCTGTTCTTGCTTCAGTTGACCACACCTCATGGAACTTGACCGTCTGATCGCTCGACGCAACCACTATGCACCCCTCCGACGCGGCTGCACCCCTCCCCGACCTAGCCGCCTGCTTTGCGCCCCACGGGTAGGGGATGGCGTACAGGGCTCGCAGCTCCCCTTCCCAAGGAATTGCTGCAACTTGCCTGCATTCGGGCCAGCTGAAGACGGCGATGCGGTACGGGTGCTCTGGTTGAGCATAGCCAAAAGTTGCGGCGATCTCGCGTCGTGTCGTCGACTAAATGAGGGACGTGACTTGTGCTGCAACCGCAATGGTGGCCAGTGCGGACCCGGACGACGTATGAAAGAAGTGGATGCACTTGTCGTTGGAACCGCCTCCCGTGGCAACAAGGCCGTTGCGCCAAGGGCAGAAGGCGATGGCCTTGACTGCAGCCCTATGAACCCAAAGCTGCGTCTCGCATCCGGGACCCAGTGTTCGGATGCTGCCAGGCGTCGTCTGAACCGTCCGGACTTCGGCCCCGCTCTCCATCCTTGTCGTCTCGTTCGCAGTCGGCCTTTGCCGGGCGAGCCCCGCAGCAATCTCGTCGTGCTGCAGGCTCTCTGCTACGAAGCCCCATCCATCGCCCAGTCTTCTATGGCGACCCATCGTGTCCGCGCCCTGATTGTGGCCGAGAACTCTGTTGACGTCCAAGAGGTAACAAAGATTGTCGTTTCCCCCCGACGCGAGAAGCTGTCCGTCTGGCGACCACGCCAAACCGCATATCTGCTGACTGTGAAGGCAGATCTTGGCGACCAGGGACATGGAACCAGGCCAGGTGTCTCGGGAGACTTCCCAACCCATTGGCCACTCGACCGCGTAGTAGTACAAGGTGCCCGTCCCGTCCCCTACTACAAGATCCTCCGTCTGTACTGTCACGCCGGGGCTGAATGGGCTGCGCGAAGGTCGCGGCATGCAACATGGCCGCCAACCCAGACAAGTGATTGAGTATGGCTGCTGCACCTCGAACCGCGGTAGTCCGTCTTGGATGGACGTAAGGATGAGCGTGCCGTCAGATCGACCGGCAGCCAGAATGTTTCTTTTTCCCAACGACGATGAGAAGGCAATCGAAGTTAGCCAGACGCTGTCAACTTGTGCACCGTTGACTGTGCGAACCCCAAGACCCTCGGACCAGGTGTAGAGGACGTTTCCGAGGCCTACCGCGAGGGTCTGACAGTTGGTCGAATATGCCAACACGGAGCAGTAATAGTCATCACGCAGACTTGGCGCGTCTAACACCCTTGGGATGGGTCAGTGAATATTTGTGGTCATGACGGAGCGCGAGCTTCCGTACCTGAAAGGCGCCCTTGGAACAGCTCGCTCCAAGGACTCGCGTGGGGACTCTTGGAATATAGTCAGCGGTCATCACTGTTTTCAAGTTGCTCAGACGAAAGTCGTACCGCAATGCTTCACCTCAGGCCACTCGTTGTTACCCCAGGTCGGCTTTGCGAGATGAGCGGGTCCGTGGCAGGGCTTTGACTGCATACTGGGAGCCGGCAAGTGCGAGCCGAAGTCGAGGATCTTGCGGATGCGATCTATGTCGAGCGCGTATGCTACGCGGCCGTGATAACTCTCAAGGTCGTCTTGGGCGCTTGGCCTCGCTACAAGCGAGGGGGAGGCGAACAGACGGGCATTGGTTCCCCGCCGGAGGAGGTGGCCGTGGCCGTCATCGACTGCGGTATCGCCGAAGGTCGAACTGCCAACAGTCTCCAAAGTAGAATGACGGGCCAGCTGTTCGCCTTGTTGAGGCGGCGTTACGGAAAGGGTCGTAGTATTCCCTGGTGGTCCGAGGTTAGCATCTCTCAGGCGGCTGACCTTGGACAAGTAGCACGGCAAACCTCCGCCGGTACGAAGCCGATAAGATGCGGCCGCCATTGATACTGCACCCAAGGATTGGATGGCTGTTCCTGCTTCTCGCCAATGAGAAGCTGCAAAGGGGCCCATGAAAGCCGCCCCATGCCGTGTGAGTCTCTCGGATGGGGACAGTGCTCGCGGCTGTTTGGCCGTGTGATATCGCTCCGTGGTGGAGGCAGAGTGGTCGCGGAGGGGAACAAATCTGTCCAACAAGCGCGCGCTCCCGCCTTCTCGCCGCCCTGGAGAGGTCTGAGGTATGCTGTAGTCAATACCAGGGCAGTCAGAAAGACACAGCATCTCCTATTCCACGGGTGGCTGACTGGAGCTTGACGAGACGTGCGGGCGTCCACGGGGAAGGACTGTGGTAGTGCGATGCAGTGTGGCCTCTGCTGCCCCCTCTGGCTCGTCCCAGGATCCAGGGCCGTCCACGGCAGGGGGCGATCTGCGCCGCAGCGTAGGTGAAGCTAGATGCTGTTCATCGTCGACAGATCCATAGCCCGAGTCGGCGGGACTCGCCAGAAGCGTGTCGCGGGCGTTGGCATTGTGGTTGCTGCTCCCATAGTCGGGGTTGTCCGTGATTTGCGAGCCAAAGTGACGACTGCGAATGAGACGGCAGCCTGGACGCCGAGCCAACCAAGTCCTTTTCCAGTTTTCGCAAAATTGGGGGGCCATTGACATGGCTCGAGCGAAGGCGTCCAGAGAGGGAGTGGCTGCGGAGGCGAGAGAATGAGCAAGGCACGGGTCCAGATAGCCTCCCGGGTAAAAGACAGGGGGCTGCAGCACGGGAAGATGACGAGCTGGATGTGGATGTTGGAGAGCCAGAAGCTCGTTTGCCGTCGTCAGCGTTGCTGCCGGGCGGCAGAGGTAGGTAGAGATATTGGCCAGCAATAGAACTTCGGCAGTCATAGTAGGTAGGGGAAGAGTAGGCAAAATAGGGAGGCGGCGCCACCCGCTTTAAATGAGAGCATGAGGAAAAGTTCACAGGCGGAAAACGCCTCCCTCCCCCAAACGGAAAAGGGACCCCCCGGGGCTGAGACGGGCCAATGGTTGGGGCAGGCGCAACGACATGTAACCTGACTTCAAGTCGTGCCTACCGTGAGGACCCAACTGCTAAGCCTTACGCGAGAGAGACGCCCAAGGGAGGCACGTCTTGAAAAAGCTGACATCGACTCCCCGCCCGGTGCTGTGTTACCAAGGTCGAGGCAAGTCGAGGCCTGGCGCTGCACGGGCGGGCTGGGACTTGGTCTTGGTTAAAGGCGAGGCCTTTTCAAGACCTGACCATGATTTGATAGATTTCAATGCGGCATGTACAGCGCAAACGAAAGTATGTACAAGAAATCCTCTCTGGTCGCGGCACCACCTCACCCCCCTTATTCTGAGGTTGCTCGCTGGTGTCGGGTTTCGCGCGCACGCAGCCATCAGAGCCACCGTGCTAATCCGAAGGCCAAGAACCTCAACCTGCTCATAGAGCAGTCCGCCAGGCTAAGCAAGGAACACCTGTCCCCGGCGCTCGCATCATGTGCGCCGAGCAGGCATTGCCACCCTCGTTCCTTATTCCATACCCTTCTTGATGTTTTCATACTGCGAGTCCGGGTAGCTGAGCCAGTTCTGGGATGACTCGAGCCCTCCCAAGGCCTGAAGGCTGGCGCTGATGAGGGAACCGCCATTTTTGCGATCGGCAGAGGCTTCCCAGAACATGCTGCCGCCCATGCCCTTGCCCTTGAGGTACGAAACCTTCTCCTTGATCATATTGGGCGTGTCGAAAGAGATGAGCTCCTTGGTGCCGGCATCATAGCTGTAGTAAGCCTTGGCAACGTCGTCGTAGGTGACCTGGGCGCCGGCCTTGGGCAGGGCCTTGTAGTCCCAGACGCCGTTCTCCCAGGTGCCGCTGCCCACACCATTAAAGGGCTTGCCGATGCCATCCGTCGACTGGAAGGATCGACCATAGATGGGCATGCCCAGAACAATCTTTTCAGCGGGGACACCGCCCTTGATGTACGCCTGAACGGCGTCGTCCGTGTTGAAGGGTGTGGCGTTGGGGTTGTCTTGTCTGGCATAGAGGTTTGCGTTGTGGCCGCTGTAGTTGCTCCACGAGCCAGCAAAGTCATATGCCATGAGGTTGATGTGGTCGAGAACCCTGCCCAGATCTGCCAAGTGCAGCTTCTTATAGTTATCCGGACCAGCCGGGGCAGCAATGGAGAGCTCGAAGCGGTGGCCGGGGGCCGACGTGGCTGCGTAGGCGTCCAGTTCGTCTCGCACCGCCTGGAGCATCAGCACCATGTTGCCGGCCTGAGTGTCGTCTGCCGGATACTCCCAGTCGACGTCTATGCCGTCAAAGCCCCAGTCCTTGATGAAGGCCACGGCAGACTTGGCAAAGGTGGAGCGAGTAGCCGGACTTGACGCGGCGGCCGGGAAGTTGGTGGACCAGGTCCAGCCGCCAATGGAGAGCATGACCTTCATATTCCGGTTGGCCTTCTTCAGCAAGTAGAGCTGCTTAACGCAGCCATACGCATTCTTTCCAATGTCATTCCAGGCTGGACTCAGTGGTCAGTGTCGAGTTTTTGGTCAGCGGAAAGAAAAGAACTAACAGTCACCAGGATAGTGCTTTTCGAGATCGGCGTACGTATCACCAGAGTAGCTTCAGGGCCGGTCAGTCCATGCTTCGCCAGCCGGATCTTCCGCTACTTACATGGTTCCATCGGCCCGGAGGTTCATGAAGGAATAAAGGACATGGGTGATTTCGGAAGTGGGAAGGTCAGCGGGCTGGTAGTTTCGGCCGTAGATTCCCCTGTGAGCTGGTAAGGGAGCGACTCAAGCGCATGAGGGACAACCGGGCATTGCACAAACCAGTTGGTAAAGTAGACCGAGTTGGCAAAGCCACCCGATCGCTTCTCGAGAGCGTTCTCCGTGCGCACCACGGGGGTGGCAAGGCCCAGAGTCGCGTGCACCGAGGCAAGGATCGCCACGGTCCGAGCAAGCATGGACGGCATGGCGAATGCTGGTGGGAGGCTCTTCGGGAGTGTGTATCCGAGGCAAGGAGGCCGTCAAGTTGGGGCACTTGGGATGGGGAAGAGAAGGGGGAGCTGGATGAGGGAGTGGGCTTGAATGAGCTTCCTTGGACTCGGCATGGCCAGTGATAAAACCTCATCTCGAAACGAGGCATAGGCCAGTAATATAGTTTTGCCGCAGACCAGACAACAAATCTCAGTCGTTGGCTTCCGCGACAAAGCGACGGCCTTGTCACTTGACTGGTGAGCAGTCTCTACCATGTAAACTTTGAATGGCGTTGGGTCATGCCGCTGCGCATGGCGCGACGCGTGCCTTGGGATGTAAGAGAGAGGGGACGATGGGGGGATGCGTGGGTGGGCATGTTACTCGACCAGATGATTCCCATTTGCCGTCGCCCACACTCCAGGTGCCTCAAAGACGCCGTTTAGCGATACCGGAAGCCGGGAAGCTCGCAACTCTCGTTCTCTGATTGCGACCGAAGCCTTCATTTCGGTCTAGCAACGTTGCTCGCTGCCCCATGCCGTGGGACACCTTCATGGAGACGGCGACCGAAAGTGGACAGCGATGTGCTGTGTGATTTCTTGTCGCAACCTGTTCTGAGCTCACGCCCCCGTATGATGGGAGACCCTTCCGAGCATGCGGCATCCCTTTCGGGCTGGCTTGCCCCAGGCGAGCCTCTCTCTCATCCGTCTTGTTAACTACTTTTGGTATAAGTGGTCTGTCCGGTAAGGGAAGGAGGGCAGGAGCCAGACGGCAAGGCGTTGGGTGTGACCGTCAGCGTCGTCCAGTCCGTAGACACAGGGCGGCGGCAACAGGAGCTCATGTGCCGAGGCACGAGGTCATCCCATGAGCAGATGAGAGGCAGCCCATTGTGTCTCACTCTATTGCCTCGCAGCCTCAGTGGGCGTCCCGAGGCCAAGGCGCAGCGCTCCAGCATCGGTCGAGAATCCGGGGTCAAAGAATCAAGACAAAAGTAGGCTTTGGGGTTTCCCTTTTGGCAATTACCCCATGCTACTCCAAGGACAGTGTCTTGGTGATTCGGGACATAGATTCGGGGCCCTGCCAGCCCGCTCACCATCGGAGTCGGCAGCATCATCGGCACCGAGGACAGATGAAATAATCTCTCTGCGCAACAGTCCAAGCCAAGAAAAGTAGCAGGCCGGAGTTGACGCATCCACGGGGACAAGAGTGGCGCTATGCTCCCAAGCAAAGCAAGGTTGTTGATTGTAGCAGGGTCCGGGGACGCCCCGCACTCCTCACGGGCGGCGGCCAATAGGCCAAGGCGTCGTAGGAGGACGTTGGTCTCCGAAATCGAGCGTCGATTGGGGGGGAGGGAGAGCTGTCTGGCTTGACACGCCCGGCTCCAAAGATTGAGGCCTGCCAAGCTGAGGAACTGTGGCAAGCTCACGAGTAACAGACGTGCTGGAACCCCAAAGTGGCGGAACCGGGCCACTTGCGTCTGCGCTGCCGCAAGGGCTAGCAGCAGCGACGGCAGTAAGTAGCAGAAGAGGCCGCGACGGGGGTGGTGGGAATTCGGGGACGGGCAAGGCCAGGGGGTTGTGGACGAGTGGGCAGATGGCAGGGCACGGAGAGAGGAAGTGCGTGGGTGGCGGCGCCAATGAGCGGCTCGGAAGCGTCGTTGGGATGTCTTTGCTTGCGCTGTGTGGTTCTCCTTGGAGGAAAGGAGCGAACAGGATGGCTGGACGGGCGAGCTTGTCGGAGAGGGTGTCGTCGCTTGCTGGATAGAGGTCAGTCGGCTGGTGATTGGCTTCCCTGCATTCAAATTTCAACATACCAAGTAACTTACAGTACAGTATTACGTGCGTGAGGTTGGTGAGTTACAGCAGCTCTCAGTGTGGGAACCCCACGCTACCCCACCTGCCGCATACGGAAATCGTTCACCCCAGCTCCTTTGTACCTTCTCAAGTACATAAGTAGGTACCTAGGTACCTGATATGACCGCACGATGAAGCACTCGGTGAGAGACAAAGAGAGTCATATGCCGAACCCCGGGCTTTCTCGAGGGCTTCTTTTGGCTTTGAGCCTCCAGTCATGTAGCTATAGCGTCTCTCATATACCTAGGTACCTAGCAGGAAGAGCCCCTCCGCCCTGGAACGGTGCATCCCACTGTTTATCTCTGTGGAACGTGAGGCACAGAGACCTACCCGTAATTAACTGGCCGGTGCTTCTGGGCTCGATCTGGACGGCAGCAACCAAGTACAGACCGACTCCTGGAAAACCTGGTGACGGCAAGCCACTCCAACCATCCAAGCACATGACTAGACTTGAGGGCCTCACCATCACCCGACCGCATCCAGACCAGGCCGTGCTTCGGACCCGCCACCCACCCACTCATGCCGGAATGCCCGTGGTGTCAGCTCGTCAGCTGCCCGCCAAACCTTGGCTCGCCAGACGGACGGGCCGAACATGCTACGCCATGATGAATAAATACACGCCGACGCCGAGTCTCAACATCAAGCAGCTTTTAGAACAGACAATCGACAGCGACCAGATACTCGCCAGCTGTGTACCAATAACCGGAGTGCCAAATACTATGCTCGTCCCGCGGGACAAGGACCTGCTAGGAATGCGCCGGCTTGTCGCGCCACGTGCGTTTGATTAAAGAAATACCCATCCACACACCCCAAAGCAGCGAGAGCATGGCGAACCGAGCTGGAAGTAGCGAGTGCACCCCCACCTATACAGGTCACGGCACGTGGCAGCGGAGGCGCGCGTCCTATCTCGGCCAGCTAATTCTACGAGGAAGGTATCATGATTCATGACCTACCACGTCAGCTATCCAGATGCTGATATATCCCCGCGCGGCCTCGTCGAATCCGCAGGCGAAAAGGAGCTCCCACCTTGGATGACACCAGCCAGTGGCCCCCCAACCTTTATAGTAGCATCTGAGCTCTTTGTCAAAGGTCAAAGGAAGTGCAGTCGGTTTGTTGCGCCGTCCCCGTGCGACGCTGTACATGCATGCAGGTATCCCGCATTCCCCGGGGTCATTTCCCGGACAAAAGTCAAAACTGCAGCGAGAACCATCTATGAACCGTACATGCATAAGGTAACAAGTAGCCTGCTTGTTCCCTGTTCCCGCGACCTGGCATGCGGAGCGGACCGCTCGCAACCTTGGGCGCCCCGAGACCGCCACTCCCGCCGACCCGTACGAATCGATTATGTAAGCAAGCAACTACGGCTCTCACCAGAGGTGGAGCCTGGGGCGTCAACATCCGCTTCTCCTCCAGCGCAGACCAAGCTTCACAAAGCCGCGGCTCAGGAACAGCTAGCGCTATCTCGGGGATTTCGACATGACCAGCGTATGCTCTACCCACTTCCTTCATCCAACCCCTGCCGACTGACGCAAACCCACCCAGCACGGCGTGGCTCGGTCCACACGAGCTCCTCGAACCAAAGAGCAGCGTCATCAGGACATTGAGAGGATTCGCAAATATCGGGCCCTGGAAGACCAAGCTAGGTCTCGAGTACGAGTCCCCTCAACTCCCGAAACGCCATCGAACTGGAACCGCTTTTGGCTGACATCGGCGTGCCTAGGTGGCAGAGAAGCAACTTGACCAAGACACCTTTCTGCTCACGTCTCAGCTACTGCGACTCAACCCCGAGTACTACACAATATGGAACGTTCGCAGGCGCTGCCTGACATCGGGGATCTTGTATGGAGCTTCGCATAGTCAGTTGCGCTCCGTCTGCTATTGAACCCTGGAAGAAACAATACTCACACTTGGTGTCTCCCTCAGACCCATCACCCTCGTCCTCGGCAGAGACCAGGTCGAGTCTAAATCCCAAAGAATCCAACAGCGGCAGTCCGACATTGAAGCCTTGCGTGGGTGACGCTTCCCAGACTCCTCAAAAACAGATCGAAGGCGTCATTCGCTCCGAACTCGGATTCACGGTGCCCCTCCTTATTGAATATCCCAAGTGCTATTGGATTTGGAAGTATCGTTTGTGGATCTTGGATCAAGCTACGGACAAGCTCTCTACTGGCACAGCGCGGGCCATCTGGGAAGAGGAGCTGGGGCTTGTATCGAAAATGTTGCTCAAAGACCGCAGGAATTTCCATGCTTGGGGTTACCGCCGACACGTCGTATCGCAACTCGAGAGTGCGGCCCTTGCAGGCAGAAGCGCGGTCGAATCCGAGTTTGATTATACGACCAAAGCGATCCACGAGGATCTCTCAAATTTTTCCGCCTGGCACAACCGCAGCCAACTGATTCCCCGCCTGCTGCGGGAGCGGGGAGCTGACAACGCTTCTCGAAAGGAGTTTCTTGATGATGGTGAGAAATCCCGTCTGTTTTGCTCTTTCAAGCTTTGGCGGGGATCGACTCTAAATATGGCTCAAAGAGCTTGATACTATACGCGAGGCTCTCAACGTTGGACCGGAAGATCAGTCTCTCTGGTATTACCACCACTACTTGTGCTTCAATTTGATCGAATCCAGTGGCAGCCGCGCCATAGTCCCTCACATGCCCGCGGCGGAGCGAAAAACCTACGTAATTGCCGAGATCGCCAATATTCGAGAGCTCGCCAAGGACTTCCGAGATATTAAGTGGGTCTACGAGGCCCTTATCGAGTACACGCTCGCCATCATTCAGCTAGACAGCCGATCTGTTCAAAACGAAGAGAAGAGAGAGATTTCACAGTGGCTTGCGAAGCTGAGAGAGTTGGATCGAAAGCGCAGTGGTCGCTGGGATGACTTTGAGACCCAGCTTGGTCTCACATGATCTATGCCAGCACTGATGCTCTGATAATTCGCTTCAGGGCACCAATGGAATCAGAATATCCGCCCAGGCATCACTGTCACGTTAAACCGACTCATTAAGTGCATTCCCCGGTGGTTATTCTCTGCCCTGGCTGATGCAGCTACTCTTGGCACCAAGATTTCACCATATCGGCCCCCGTGCCAACTAGGCCATCCAAGTATTCCAGCACTGTTTCTATCGGCGTCATGTCCATGGACCCCAGTGTTGGATTGGATGACTTGAGCGGCCGGCCGCCGAAGAGCACGCGCAAGTAGTAGTTGCTCCTGCTCAGCGGCAGGGCGGTTTGCGATGAAAGATGAAGCGCATGGCACACGGGGTCGTTGCGCATCCAGTCGGAGGCGTTGACGGCCGACGTTGGTTGAGACTGCTGCAGTTTCTGGCCGGCCCTGCGCTTGTACAGCTCGAACACGACCTCGGCGCCCATGCCTGGCCAGACCATTTCATCGAGCTGCAAGATTGAGAGCAGCCTCGACAAGGAACCGTCATGGGCCACGTTGTGGTAATAGACAACGTCGGTGGATCCGGCCATGAAGTCACGCAGGTGGGTCGTCAGCTCGCCGACCCAGACGCCCAAGGACGCGGCGCTCGCCGCGAGAGACGCAGGGTGATGGCGGTAGATATGGCCGTACTCCCAATTACCCATGCGGTAAACGGCGTCGGCCAGCCCCTGGGTGACACAGGTGGAGCTGTTGAAGCCACCAACCAGTCGGCAGGGTAGCGGCTTGGCGTGGCATTGCCGTGCTGAGAGGTTGTCGTAGTAGTGATCGAAGGAGGCGTGGAATCCGGTGTCATTGGGACGAACTCCCGAAATGTCATCGAGAGTGCGGAACAGGTCGGCGGACGCTTCGAGATGCTGCTGCCACTGCGGGTTGCTCCCGGACTTGATGGCATTGAACCAACTGCTTGCGGCGCGACAGTTGTATTGCGGCTCTAGGCTATCTACGCCTTCGGGCTGCGACTCGACCCTGTCATGTAAGAAAGCAGTCTAGCACGGGCTTTCATGCCCCGGTATACGCTCTTCATGCTCCATCATACCTGGACAATAAGGGGAAACGGGTCCGTGGTTTGCCACATGCCGCTGATGACCATGCCAGCGACCTGGCTGGTGATGACGTTGTTGGTGACGCGGTATCGGACCGCAGACCTGAAGTCGGCATCCCTGGCGGGTAGCAGGCCAAGCAGGCCATGATAGACGTGGTAAAGGTCGACGCCGTGCTGCCAGGAGTCGAGCAGGCCTTGGGCGGTGATTTGCGGAAAGGCACAGGAGCCAGTCCAGCCCGAAGGCCGAAAGGGGTTTACAGGGGACATGGAAGCCTCGTGGTAGACTCTGGCAGGCTCGGGTCGGCCTGCGGGCTGGCCGTAGTGGAAGACTCGAGCGTCATGGCAGTCCCAGGGATAGGGCTCGACGGGGAAAGCGTTGGATGCGTAGGGGGTGCGCTTGTGATGCCTGTGTATCTGGACGAGACGTCTTGCGATCAGCAGCGCTGTCTGCGGCGGCCACTGTGGCGGCCGAGGCGGAAGAGGCGCACCAGCTCGACGAATCGTAGTTCAAACTCGGGCTTCGGTTGAAGGTACTCGGAACGCCTCACGTGAGGCATGTTGCACCAGTTGTAGATTCCGTACTCGTCGTCGGGGGTGGCGGACGAGTTGAAGATGAAGCCAAAGACGCCGCTGCCGTGGAGCGCCTCCGTCAGGTTGCTGACGCTCGTCTGTGAGGGCGCATGCCACTTGATGTCGGCGCCGGCGCTCGTGACGGGCGACTGGGCCACCGCCGCTGCGGCCGAGGCGCTTCCCAATCCACCGCCTGCGAGCGCGACGAGGAGCCCGACGATGGACGACGACATGGTGATGGGGCGGAGACGAGGTAGCCGGGCTGTTTTTGCGGCGAGGGGGGGAGAGGTTCTGATCCTCACGTGCTACTATTAAATTGCCTGCGGAAATTACAGGCGCCTTACTATTTATTACCCCTCCCTTCTCCCCTTGATCTGCACGTTGAACTCTCGCTGTGGCTTTGTGCTGCATTGCGCGCCTCTAGAGCCTAAGATATAGTTACGGTTAAGGCACATTTTCTACTCTTCGGCAGGCAAAGTGTCTGAAGTGCATATAGACTTGATATACTCTGTAGAGAGCTCTAAATAAGATTGAGGATATAAACAAGGCTGGCCCACGTCACACGGGGACAGGGTCTTGGCATGGAGAGAGCCGCGCCCGCGTCACTCTAAGAGTAAAGGCACCTGGGTAGATTGGCGCAGCTCGCGACATCTCTTTCTTGGTATTATCCTCGCCTCTGCTTCCAACTTGAATCTCTCTGCGGCGAGCCCATGCATGGTGCACCATAATCCACATGCCACCCACCTCTTTCTCTTCATATTACTTGCCAGGCAGCATGCATGGCCACACTTTTCCCATTCCTCTCCAGGGCTTGCTCCAAGGTCGATGCGCGCCATTCGACAGACAAGCACATCTCGTTTCTCAATAAGCACCCCTCGCCCCGGTTCGTCCCCTTCGTGCCCCTCGCCGTCCTCTAAAGCCCCTTTGCCCCCTCGGAGCCCCCCTACCCCGAGAAGCACCGGGGTTGAGTCTCCCAGAAGGAATGTCTCCGTCGTCTCCAGAATCAACTGCTGAACTTGACGGCTCCTCGGATGCCATCTCTTCCTCCGACTCCGACTCCACGTCTGCGAGCCTTACCACCGTGGGTCCGCTCATCGTCGCGCTTTCTCTCTTGGCTCCGAGGCCACGTCCACTGGCTCGTGGGCCCGGCGACGTTTCCGACGGCGAGTATTGGTTCGCCTCAGCATCCGCTGATCGGGAGCGAGATCGGTCGACCTCGCCTCTCTCGTCCTTGGGCGACTGCTGCCGGATACCGATTGTTGACAGAGCGTCGTCCCCGTTTTCGTCGGGCGTCATGCTTTTCGACACAGTCGCAGAGGCGCCGCCTCGAGACTTTCGCTTGCCAATCTTGAACGATTTGCCCCGAAGTGCCATTCGTTCAGACATGGACATGAACTTCTGCTTGGCGGGCACTTCCTCAGATGCGTTCTGCTTCGAGACCTCGGATCGCCTCGGACGGCCTCTTCGCCTCTTGGGCTGCGGGGTTGGTTCAACAGGAGGGGTTGAGTCTGTCTTGGAAAGGTTCGGTTCTGGCTCCATCTCAGCAGTCGCCGCTGCAATCGTGGTGACTCCAGACCGTCTAGTACGCCGTCGTGTGGCACGCTCGTGGTCTGCCCCCACGCCCTTCTCACTCGTCGGTCGTACTGCCAGCCCATCATCCATCATGCTAGCATCTGCGAGTTCTTCGTCGCCCCCAGTCTTTGCAAACACCGAGTTTACCGACTTCCTCGGCCGTCCTCTGCCTCTCTTGACCGTTGCTACCTCCGCGGATGCCGTATGCGGGATTGTAGTGATTGCCTCTTCTTCCACTGCCGTCGTCGACTTGCGCTTCGGCGGTCGCCCTCGTCTCTTGGGAGCCGGTGCCAAATTCGCTTCCACTGGTGGCAACTGGACGCTTGCAGTTTTCAGCGGGGGAGGCTGTCCAAATAATACACGAATGTCATTCGCGGCGACATCGATTGGGTCATCACGGCCTTCACGGCCTTCACGAGCTTCTTCCGTCTGTACCTCGGTCGACGGCAAGGCACGAGGGCCCGGGTTCTCCTCCTCGAACTCCTCTAGATCTGCATCCTCCACTTCCACATACGACGCCTTTGGCCTTGCATGTCGTAGAATGGGCTCATTGGCATCAAAGACTGGCATGGTTTGACGTCGTTGAGGGGCCCGTTCCGGTTTGTCCTGCAACGTTTCCGGCGCCTGAAGAAGTTGAGCCTCTGGTGCCTCCCGCGGCTCATTCGTGGCAGCCTCTTGCACGTCGCTCCCGTCAAAAAGCGCAGGGTCCATGTTGTCAAGTAGGTCAGGCTGCTGGGTGAGGCGAGGCTTCTTGTGGTGACTTCTTCCAATCACGAATTCCGGGTCCTCGTTTTCTCGCCTGGCCTTCCTTTTCGCCGCCCTAATCGACTTCTTCACGAACTCGGGTACGTCGGACTCGGGAAGCTTCATCACGTCCGCAGAAGGGACTTGATAAGGATCGAAAAGAATTTTGTCCGGCGTGTCGTCCTGTTCGTAATAGCCCATGCCGATCCTCTGGCGGATGAAGACGGATGGGTCAGGGTATGATGACGTGCCTAGATCACCAGTCTCTTCCACCGCGCCTGTGATATTCTCGGTCAGAGCTGTTTCGTTTTCTACGCCGTTCGCCTCTCTGCGGGAGTCATCCTCCTCTCCGGTCGATTGTCGCTGCTGGACGACCTCGCTCTGATCTCCGTACCCATTCACAGCGTGTCTCTCAGCTGTGGCGAATCCGGAAGTAGCAGCGGCCACTGCGCCGTCATGCGTCGTATGCTGAGCCTCCACCTGGTGCGTCAAGTCTTGCGCCTTGGCGCTGTCGGCTTGCTCCCGCAAGCGCTGCATTCGCCGGCTGTCCTTGCTTCGGCTTTCTTCTCCCACAGCCTTGAGCCACGAGAGGTTGTGGACTCGAAAGTCGACGAGCGCTTCCACGCTCCGGTCGTCTGCAATGGGTCGAGTGTCGTGGCCAAGAAGTGTGCTCTTGGGAGTATAGGCGTTGGTGTTGCCCGAACGGCGGCAGGCGCCACAGCTGCATATCCCCAGGCACTTTGGACACTGCCAGTATTCGTCCTCGAGGACTTTCTGCGGCATCATGTCGAAGGCCCTGTAAAGAACACCGTAGCAGTACCCTTCGGAACACGCCGGGTTTGTGCATTGGTGCACTCTGTAGCTGTAGTCCTTGTGACAGCACACGTGGCATCTGCGGACCTCGCCCTTCTTCTTCTTTCTCTTGGGCTTCTTCTTGGCTTTTTCGTCGCCATCTCCTGGCTCAGAGTCGCTTGGTGTCTTCTCGCGATCTTGCTTGGTAATGTCTTTCCAGGGGCGCCTCCTGAGAGCCTCTTGGCAAATTTGTGCCACAGTCTTCTTCCCCGACTTAAGGCGAGCCACTTCGAAAGGCTGGGGGGAAATCTGAATATCGATGAATCCGTCGTTTGCAATAACCATGGACCGCCAGGTCTCGTATCTGTCGACCAGCCCCGACCAAGGCCACTGTTCACACCACCGAAGCCCAGAGAGGCAGGCGCACGACCGTCCCATGGCATAGCATTCCATGCAGACGTCATAGGCGTCCTCGTCTCCATTGGCAAGAGTGCGCACGCAGTGCTTGCAGGTCAAGAAGCGGTTGAAGATGTTGGACCGGCAGTAGGAACAAGTAACGCAGGAATCAAAGGGGAGGAACTCGACGTCTTTTTCCTTGAAAGCAAAAGTCTCGTCGACGAGGACCTCGGTGAAGAGGCCAAACAGTCGCTTGAAGTCGCCAGCTAGCTGCCTGGCTCGGGGAGAGTTTCTGACAATCTCGTGACCTATTCCCATGAAGCTCAGCCGGGTCATTTCGGCGTTTCCCTCCATTTCTTTCAACTCGCGACAGTACTTCTGCAGGGTGAAGTAAATAATGGCCTTGTTCCTGTACTGCTCGTCACGGCAAACGAGCCTCGCCTTTGGGAGCGCCTCGTGTAATGCGAGGTCGAGAGTCTCCACGGTCGTGCGATTCCACGCAACCTTCATGGTCCGCGTGCCCCGGTTCCACACCTGATGAGCAGCCAGCGGGGGAATGAGGATAAAGTCTCCAACGCGCTGCTCGACAATGTACACGTCGAAGGGGGCCTTTTTCCAAGCGTTGATTTGGGCAAAATGCTTCTCAATCTCGATGTCGTGGCCAAGCATGGACAAGAAGTACTCTCGCACCACCTCGCGGTCTTTGCTCTCCGTCATGAACCAGATGGAGCTCCCGGCCTTCTCCCCGGCGCCGTCGACAGATGCCTCAACCATGATGTTTTGACCCAGTGAGGCGCACATTTCGCGGTGCGCGGGGGTAAAGGTGCCTTCGTGACCGATGTAGCACATGAGGTTCTCGGCGCGCATGTCCTCGGGAAGGCTAGACATAAGATCGCCCGCTGGAGCCGCGGTGGCCTCGGCGCGAAACAGATCGCCATCCTGGTGGCGCCCACCGCCGCCGGTCGCGTTTACGTTTTCGTTGAGGTAGAAAAGACTAGGGTGGATGACTTTTTGCAAAGAGTCGCGCCACTCCAGAGGGCAGTCAATGTCTTTGAGATAGAGCCGCTGTCGACGTTCATCGCGATAGGTATGGGGCGTCCACTGGTTCGTGAGCTGTTTCATGGATCGCAGATAGTGGCCTGTTGTCATTGGGATATCGGTCGCAGCCGAGATGTCACGAACATTCTCCTCTGTGGCAAGACGTAAGCATTAGCCGGTACGCAGAAGTGGGAATGGGTCAGGGAGACGAACGCTTCTTGTCGTACGTCTTCTCCAGCCAGTCGACGTCGAACAGCCATTTGGGCAGCGCAGCGTCCCAGCCGTCGATGACCAGAGGTTTCCCACCGGCGATGACGTGAATTTGGACAAGCTTCTCAAACTCCTGCGACCCCAAGTTGCGGATTTGCGACCGGGATACTCGCTGTACCCATCTGAAGTTTCGCGTTCGCTCAACCAGGCCCTGCAGATCAAGGTCGGGGGGAATCGGGTCGAACTTGGCTTGCGGATGAAGCGCGGTCGGCATCTTCACAAGGTCGCGTGGAAGCCACGCCAGAGAAGAAGCGGAACTTCAAGCTTGGGCGCGACGGACGCGGCTGGCTGAGTGTCGCGAGGCCGACTAGTTGATGCGGCCAATGGAAAAATAGCAGGGTGCGATGCGATGGTTCAAGTTCGACCGGCCGATGAATAAGCGGACTTGGCGCGAAAGAAGCTGCCCATGGCTCTCCACAGCCAATCAATCCTGCTGATGTCTCTTTTCAGAAAAACGAGGTACGCGACCGCATTACATAAGACGGTGTGCTGCTGGCCGACTCACCGCGAATATGCGATGCGGCGGGCACAGAGCATCTCACCAACATCTTGCTTGCTCTGGTCTGTCTTTGCGACGTGATCAAGAAATCGCAACACAAGTCCCCCGTTGTTTGTGGCAAGGATTTGAATGTAAGCCTCCCTTCCAAGGTCATTGATGCAACTGAGAAAGTTGCAGTTTGCTGACCTCAATGGTCATTCCGTAGGTGAGTTTCAACTCCGAGCATGGATGGCACTCGCGCCGCTTCGATAAAACTGAAATTCAACATGACACACGCCAACCCTGCTTCACCATAGCCACGCCCAATCCTGCTCCCTGCACTGCCTGCTACTGTCACTTGACAGCTCTCTTTACTCTGTGCGCCTATGCTGCACGCCTACCTGGCTGGATGCCAATTGTCTACCAAGTTTGGCGTTAAGAAGCAGGCAAGATCTGCTATTCTTAAGTGGTGCTTGTGAGAATGCGAGTAGACTTTTCCGCCTATTTATCGTCGCATTGTTCCATTCAATTGGTTGGCTGACTCCGGCACAGAGACCTACGAGACCTACGGTGTCGAAAAGCCCGTCTAGAGAGCAATGAGACTCCTGGCGGTGCCCAAAATGCCGCGGCCGGCCCTACGCGGCTCGCCCAGCCTATGCTCTGCCATGACTACCGGGGTCATCTTCCTATCCTCCTCACGCCCGAGGCTCCCTTGGTGTCGCCCGCCGTCGATGCGTGCCTCAAGGCATGGCGAGGGCCTCCACCAGACCAAGACACAGCTGCGGTCGCTTGCCCAAGCCGGCCAGAAAGCTCGAGCCGATGCATCTCTTCCGGCCTACAAGCCGCCCGCCTCTGGCCTCATGTCCAAACTGCCAGCTTCGTGGGTGCCCTACGCTGAGCTCATGCGCATCGACAAGCCCACTGGCACCTACTACCTCTTCTTTCCCTGCCTATTCTCCACACTGATGGCCGCTCCGATGCTGTCACCCGCCGCACCACTCGCCTCGGTGGTTTCTTACTCGCTCCTTTTCTTCTCTGGCGCGCTCATCATGCGTGGGGCTGGGTGTACCATCAACGATCTCTGGGACAGGAATCTCGACCCCCACGTCCAGCGGACTCGGTTGCGACCAGTGGCCCGCGGGGCCGTCAAGCCTTTCAACGGCCTCGTTTTCACCGGATGCCAGCTTCTAGCTGGCCTGGCCATATTGGTCCAGTTTCCCGTGCCCTGTATCATCTACGGTACACTGAGCCTCCCCCTCGTCGCGGCCTATCCCTTGGCCAAGAGGGTGACTTATTACCCCCAGTTTGTTCTCGGCTTGACCTTTTCATGGGGGGCCGTCATGGGATTTCCCGCCCTCGGCCTCGACTTGCTCACAAACACTGCCGCATTCACTGCCGCCGCCTGTCTCTACGCTTCAAACGTTGCCTGGACCGTTCTATATGACATGATCTACGCGCACATGGACATTAAGGATGACGCCAAGGTTGGCATCAAAAGCATCGCCCTCAAACACGACGCGGACACGAAGAAGGTCCTGACCGGGCTTGCCATGGCCCAAGTTTCTCTTCTCGCCGCCGCCGGCGTCGCATCCGGGGCCGGTCCTGCCTTCTTCCTGGGGAGCTGTGGCGGAGCCTTGGTCACCCTCGGCATTATGATCAAGCGGGTAAATCTCAAAAACGTTCAAGATTGTTGGTGGTGGTTCGTCAAGGGTTGCTGGGTCACGGGAGGTACCATCAGTACTGGCCTCGCCGCAGATTATCTGATTCGCCGCGCTGAGATTGATCAGACGTGCGTGACGCCGCAGAGGATGTCGTGAGGGATCGAAACCCGCTCTCCTTCTTGGGGTCACAGAACTTGCTCTTATAGATCTCGACGGCGCGCGGACAATCTTGCTTTGGATGTTTTATGTTTTGGTGAGACCGTGTAGATCCACCCCCCGAGACTTGTCCCGTGTGATCAAAGTGATGCCAATGCCAGCGAAATCATCGGTGACCCCATTGTGCCCAAACGCTTGCGCCCTTCCTCTGCCTTCTCCCATTTACGACCGAGGCTTCTCCTTCTTCTCCTTCCACAAAGCCAGCAGACCAACGCCAGAGACCTTGACAACCTTGAATCGAACACCGGGAATGTCGCCCTTGGCCTTGCCCTTGCGACCGAAACCGGCCAGTAAAACCTCGTCGTTCTCGTCCACAAAGTTGAGGCAGCCATCGTTGGGAACTGCGTCTGTTGTTAATATCGCGTGGTCGCTAAGTGCTTGCATATACAAGGACGTACCGAAAGCCGTGACCTTCTTGCCGTTCTTGATCAACTGGACTCGGACACACTTGCGAATGGCAGAGTTGGGCTGCTTGGCCTCGACGCCAACTTTCTCGAGAACTATGCCTTTGGCGTGAGAAGAGCCACCGAACGGCGAGGACTTGAAAGCGGTGCCCAGGGCGCGCTTCTTAAAGTGAAGGTCGGCCCATTTCTGGTCCTTTCGGTTCGTTCGCAGCTTGCGCGCGGCGTTGAGACCACGAGGTTTGCCTCCAGCCATGATTGCTTTGAGAAGTCAGTTACAGTCAAGGAACGATGAAGAATGCGTGCTTCCAAGGGGGAGTTTTCCCTCGATTCATACTTACCGACTTAACTGAGTATCGCGAGGATGGGTGGTGGTAGGTGATCCGGAGAAACAGCGAAAAGTTGACCTAGCCTGCTAAATTTCAGGGTAGGGTTGCAAGGCCCTAGGTGGGTGGTACCGCAAGCCGGAGCACGTAGCACGTGACATTGGCGACTCCGGGTAATTGAATACCCGATCCCGCGTTCTTCATCCTGTACTGTGCAGGACATCCTGCCTGAGTGGTTAGTCAGCAGCCGGACTCAAGCCGACGAAGCGCCTTTGTCGATGGTGGCCGTTCTTCGCTCCATCTGTAGGCCTTGAGCATTGCAGCTCAAGATGACACCGACTGGTCGAATGCTTGACGACTCTCGCCAGAAGACGAGAGAAGTCAAAGCAAACCCTACATCTCTGCAGTTAAATTCGAAGAGCAAGCAGAGAGAACCGCCGCCAGTGCTCTTCTTACATCCATCGCCGGGAACTTCTCACGTTTCCTTGCCTGGCATTCTGGCGCCCGGAGCTCCAGTCCTCGGCTCACCCAGCGGGAAGCGAGAGCCGCTCAATGTCGAACGTAGCGCGTCCTTTCGGCTCGGTGCCGCCGGGCCCCCTGGCCTACAGCGCGCAGGGCGCAACTTGCGCACTGCGGAGAGCACCCGCAGTGCCGACAGAACGGATACCCTGTGGGCTGAGATGCAAGCTACGCTGGAGGAAGTTGAGCTGTCCGCATCTGGCGGCACCCACGTCTTTGGCCCTGGACACGACCGCAAACTCGCAGACCTTCGCGCCGCCCAGATAGCGCTTGCGCAGGCGTGGGCGAGAAGTGAAGCAGACGATGCCGTCGAAACAGCGCTGCGCGATAGCTCTGTCCACTCTCCGGGCGATGAGTTCCGAAATTTGAAGGGAGCTTGGGCAGATGCGACTCGACATGGGAGCGGTGATGGAGCAGATCCAGCAAAAGGTGCGACTGGGACAAACAACGGGAGACCTGAGAGTAGTGGCGTCGGGGGCGCAGACCGGCTTGGAGCAAAGGTCGAGGACGAAACGGAGCTGGACATTCTTCTTGCCAGGAAGCGGCGAGACGCAAATGATGAGTACTTCCAACGAGTCAACAACGGCGTCATTGACGTTGTTACGAAGCTGGAAGACGTTGCTGTGGCCATGCGGGCGGTTGAGCAAGAGAGTAATGAAGTCTGGAACGAGAACACGAGCTTGAGCGATAACGAGATTGAGTGAAGCGGGACTTTGGCGATCGCATCACCGAAGAACGCGCGAATCTCGAGAGGAACCGTTCGTCTCGCCGCACCTTTCATTCAGTACGCGGCCAGCCGCAAACACAGCAAGACGCTACAGCCAGCCTTGGGGAGAACATTGTCGAGACTGACGAAGAATATCATGCTTGGCTGCAGTGTTTTGCGAAAGCCGTGGTGGGAAACCGCTTGCCGAATAAGAGCCGAGGTTGGCTTTCCGATCAGCCAAATGGGCACACGCAAATTCAGAGCATTATCCAGTTGGAACCAGCGCTAATCACGGAGAACGGCAACCTGATAGGCCTCTGGTTGGTTAATGGCCAACTTGTCACTTTAGGCTGCTGTGCCAATGGCAGGCTAGCCGAAGGATGATCAAGCCACCTGCCCGATACGGCAGTTGGTAAAGACACACTCAAGGCCGGATCAAGGCTGGGTGCGTCAGAGGCTCGTGACAGGCCGCCTCTGCGTGGGCTTGCTCGTCGCATCCAGCTTGCCTCAGTCAAACAAAAGCCTGTCCTGAGCGCGGAAAGCAGCATCCGCCTCCGCCTCCAGATCTGCATCTCTCACTCGCATTACAAGCGCGCTCATACCAGACGTTTCTTACGCACACAGAGCATAGACACGGTATCCCTCACTGACCATGAGACTGACTCACCATCTCGTGGTGGCACTTGCCATCCTGCCAGGGTCGCTGGCTATCGACTCGAAGAAGTCGGCCATCGTCTCGTTCGACGATGGCACTCCTAAGTCGGTCATCGAGGAGGCCAAGAACTCCATCCTCAGAGCCGGTGGCAAGATCACACACGAGTACTCCCTCATCAAGTACGCGTGTCCTGCGGCTGCATCCACGATACGTACAATCGCTAACCATCTTGCAGGGGGTTCGCCGTCATCGCACCCGAGAAAGCGCTGCAATCGATGCAGGGCCAATCTTCTGAGCACGGCATGCGGGTTGAGGATGATGGGTCAGCTACCACCCAGTAACGGGGAAAGGATGAGATGATGCTTGGACTGTGAGTGACGAGAGCGGCCACGTTCCAATGTTGAACGGCCGCTTTGTTGTGAACCATGATATCGCGCGCAAGAAAAGGCAGCAACGCTCTGGTCAGCCAAGAGACTTTAACACTGTAACACTTTAGGCAGGCAGTATACAGTAGGCATTACAGTGCGCATGAGCATTTATTCGGTTACTGTCGAGAACATCACGCAAGTGATAGTAGTACCGTAGATGATGGCCATACTGCAGCAAGTTGTGCAACGCTGCCCAAGGGATATCTCGTCGAGAAAAGGGCGGGAGCGCACCGAGAATCAAGAGAGGGCGGCGATGACGTCTGCACGAGGTAGGCCGTGCTCCCTTGAATACCTAGGGAATACCACCTACGTAGGTACTGAGCGGCTCAGATGCCTACCTCGGTACCTCCTGTGCTGGATAAGCCCGGAGTTAGCTGCCTCCTGCTAAGCTGTCGTCTCGTCTCGCATCGGGCTCGAGAATCTGCGCCAGCTTTTTAGCTAGGTGTGTAGCATGGTATCGACCTGCCCATGCTGCCCTCTGGCTTAAACGCCCGATCGGCGACGTCAGGACCCTTTATGCAGGCCGGCAGGCCACCTAAGAACCATGTGCAAGGATAAGTCTCTACAATAGGCAGATACCCACCCAGTAAGCCACTTGCCCGCGTAGGCGCCCGTACTGGATTAGCGCATTCAAGTGCGCCTAGCAGCCACATTTCTGGCCCATCGAGCTTCACACCCAAACACCAGGCTGCCAGGGGCTAGCCAACATCTTCATGCCTTGTCCCTCGTCGTGAAGCGGCCTCATACCCTACCCACAAGGCCTTGCTGCACACCTTGCTTCTCTGTCATGGGCGTTTGCATTCTTTGACGTACATGCCCGACATGCTGGCCCCAGCGGCATCCTCTGCTTTCCAACAGCGAGTCGCGCGTCGCGTTGCCCTCTTTGCTTCCTAACCTACGGAGTTAACCTACCATCGCCCGCCCTTCAACCTACCTATAAACCCATCCTGCATCAGTTCCGTCCTCCTCGCCAGCCAGAGCCATGCCAGTATACAGCCAACGCGCGCAGGCCGCGCTCCTCAAAGCCGTCAGTCCCCTTGCCATCGCTTCTCCATCCAGTCGACCGCCCTCTCATCCTCTTGCCGCACCTCGTCTCCAAGCTGGGGCCACACTTTGGTATCCGCTGACTCCGCTGTCTGCACCCACACAGATAAATCGCGTCTTCGACCTGGACCGGGCGGCCGAGTCTCTGGACGAGCTCGCCGATGGCATCATCCTTGCCCATATTCTCCACGAACTCGACGCCGAGTTTGATCCTACGCACCTCGAGTCGAATCAGGGCACCTCGAGGTATCTGACGAACAAGCGCAATATCCAAGCTGTTTACAAGGGCCTCTTTCGCTTCATTCGCCGCCGATACCCAGAACTTGGCTGCCAGGCCAAGAAGTTTGATTACCATGCGGTCGCGGAGAACCCTGAGCCACAAGGCATCAGCCAGGTACGTGCGCATGCTCATGCTGTCTGAGCTTCTTAGAATCGCCTTGCTGACCCTATGCTCTTCCAGCTCCTGGCCGTCATGGTAGCGGCCGCCGCAATGGGCCCGGAGAATGAGAAATATGTCCCAAGAATACAGACCCGCCTGGACCAGGACAACCAGGCCGAAATCATGCAAATCATTCGTTCCATGCAGCAGGACATTGCCAACTTCAAGGATGACGATGATCTAGACGAGGCTCTCGATGCCGTCATGGAGGCTCGCGATATCGATCTTGTTGTCGAAGAGCAGAATGCGGCTCTGCGGCATCAGCTCGATAGCACAAAGAAGACCCTCTCCGACTACATCACCCGCCTCGAGTACCTACAGCAGAGCCACGAGGAGCTGAAATACGACAAGGAAAAGAATGATCGCGAGCTCGACGTTCTGCGCAAGGCTACTCAGGATGGAGCCAACAGTGCCGAAGCCATCAAGCTTCTCGAGGCACAAGTCCACGAGCAAATGGACATTATTGCCCGAAACGAGGAAGCAATCAGAAACCACGACAGAGTCAAAGCCCATTTGGAGAGCGACGTGCAACGGTTGAGCCAGAAGAGTATGCAGGCCGACGAGCTGCGCGATCAAGTTACCGAGTGGAGGCACAAGGCGGAGGAATTCGAGAAGAAGGCCAACACCGCCGAACGGTACAAGCAGAAGCTCGAAGCCCAGCAAGGCCTCGCCAAGGAGGTGCAAAATCTCCAGTACGAAAGAGCTGAGCTTCAAGAGCAGCTGCGATCCCTCGTCCACGACAGGGAAAAAAGCGAGCGCACCAGAAAGGCCGAGGATGAGCTCACAAAGATGATTACACAGTCTGAGCAACACTTGTGGGACGAGCGCAACCAAAAGAACCAGCTCATCAAAGACATGACTGCGATTGAGGAGGAGCTGGTGCGGCTAAAGGCCCAGCGGGCTCACGACGAACGCTTCATACAAGACCTGCATGAGCAACTGCAGCAAGGCGGCGGCAGCGCTCCTCAGGGCGACGTGCTGGGGGCTTTGCCAACCTCATCCACCCTCGAGGATGAATTAAACAACGCGGCAAGCGAGGACGGGCCACCGAACATGCCTCTAGAGTTGTCCAGGTTGAAGGCCGAGAATGAGCTCCTTCGACGGACTCTGGGCTCCAACGGAGATACTGCACTGCTCCGGCGAGAAATGGAAGAGCAGAGGCGCCAGAGAGACCGAACCCAGCAGAACTTCAACGACATTTTTGAGAAACATACCATTATGCAGGAGCAGCTGAGCGCCTTGATGAACGATGAGACCAGTGAGAGGTTCGTCCACAACCATTCCCGCGTATCTGTTATTCATTCCGTAGCGGCTTGTGCTCACATCATGACGTCGCAGCTCCCAAGCCTTCATCAAAATGCGAAGACAGCTCGTGCAGGCGCAGTCTGGTCTTGAGGAGGCAGCCAAGCGCTCCACAGATTTGCAGACCAAGGCCGCAGACATGGACCGAGAGCTCATCAGCGTCAAGGGACAACTTTCGGCTGCGAGAAAGGATGGAATCGAAGCTTTCAACGAGCTCAAGGGCACCGACAGCCTTGTTTCCGAGTCTCTCAAGGCTGAGCTCGATCGACTACGAGAGGATTGCAGTCTAGTCGTGGGCGAACGAGATGCCCAAAAATCGCAGTTGATTGAAGCCCTCTTGGCCAAGGAAAAGTTCCGCAAGGAGATTGAGGAAGGGAAGGAGCTTCATGATACGAGCGCAACCGAGCCTATCGACGCGGATGCCTCAGAGGCTGCCAAGAAGTCAGGCGAGAAGATTGAGAAACTTCGCGCACGTCTCAAGGAACGAAAGCAGGTGAGTGGAAACCGTCCATGGTTCATACGTCTGGGGTTCTGGGGACTATCCTCGCCTCTCTCTACTCCTCAACCATACTTCCCCTGAAGCCTTGTCAAGCATGAGGAAGCGCCAGGAACCTGGCCAGCTGGCTGGAGCGAACCTAGTCGCGCATTGCCCTCCACCTTCCTTACTCCCCATGTTTCGAGAGGCGATCTTCTATAGATTGTCCAACAGGAGAGGCACAGTTGCCATGTTGGGCAGGCCTGGCGTCGTGGGATGCGTTCACTATCATCGCCAGGCTCCGCTTGACGGTTGATTGCGAGAGCGCTCTTCATTTTGACATTATTCCCATTCGCTTGCCCCCTTCGATGACAGTTTCCTTGACCCGACTTCACCTTGGTCTTCGTATGACTGGATTCTAATTTTATCTTCAGCAATTGGAGCAATCGGAGCAAGACAAGCTCGATTTGCAGAGCAAGTTGCAGGCGGCACAAGAAGGAGAGAACTCATCTGCACAGAAGGTATCATCTCTCAATCCTTATTCCCCAGCCTCCCCCCCTCCATACTTCTGCCATGGAAAGAGACAGGGGGTCGCCTCTTGGATCGGACTCAATCAGAGACCGATGATATGTGCATGCAGTGGCTGACTCGGAACTTGCTACAGGCTGCCACTGACCAGACCATCAAGAATCTGCAGAGAGAAAATGCCCTCATCACGTCAGCCTGGTATGATCTGACAAGCCGGCTTCAAAGCAACCACCTTGTGCTCCAGCGGCGGCACGACGCCCCCCGGAGCTGGCTGAACAAGCAGAGGCAGATGGTCAATGGTCAGTTGCGCCGACGCGACTTGCTCTACCTCTACTGACCTCTCTTTCAGCCACCCCGAGGAGATAGAATCTCACGGGTTTGGCCACTCAGCCTCAACGTGGATGATGGTGAATGTGGCGTATTTCAATCATACCCAAGAACGACCTGTCTCTGGGCCACGGGTCGATTCCCCCCCTTTTACTTGTCTTGCTCCTCCACACCTTGTGTCATAGCATTGCAAAAGAGCCCGTGGAGTGATTCCTGGCTTGGCCCACGCAATACGGCATTTTCCCTTTCCTTGCTACTTTCTCCGCTTAGGCGGTTCGGCAACGCCTATCCCTATTCCCCCTTCTGTGCTGGCTCTCGTCAAGGGCAGCATGATCAAAGAGAAGCGAGTTTCAAGCAAACCGAGGCACAAGGCCGCAATGGCATAAGTATCTTTACATTTTCGCATTTTGACGCGTCGGCGGCTTTCTTGAATCGACTTGAAGCTAGACCTTCAGTGTGCGGTATGCAGGCAGTTTGGCTATTGATTAGATATGGACTGGCTAGAACAGATGCGCAGGGCAGGCCCCTGTGCTTAGATGGTCGTCGCACGCCAAACGTGCGACGGTGACATTAATATTGCTAAAACCCGATACTGGTTCTATGTCGTTCTGGTCTAGACTATGACAAGCGGCTTGAGGAAAATAGGCCAGCGGCTCGGGCCTATTTTCCACCAGGCGGCTACCCTGCGATGCCGCGCCCAGTAATGGTCCGCTCAGCTCTTGCCAGCGATCCTGCTTAGGAGACCGGGAGCGCGGCTCTTGTCGCGTCCCTCAAGGATATCCAACACCTTTTTCCAAACCTGGCCGGCCGGCTGACTGGCATCCACGCCCTTCCAAATACCTGTCTTCTGGTAATAAGCGACGACGGGGGCGGTCTGCTGGTGGTAGGTACCCAATCGCTTCTTGAGTGCTTCGGCAGTGTCGTCGCTGCGCTGAATGAGGGGTTCTCCGGTAACGTCATCCTTCATTGGTTCCTTTGGCGGGTGGAAGGTGGTGTGGTACGAACGACCAGAAGCCGGGTGGACCAGGCGGCCGGTGATACGGGTCACGAGGAGGGCGTCATCGATTTGCAGCTCAACGGCATGCTGAAGCTTTTGGTTGCGCTCCTGGAGCATAGAATCGAGACCCTCCGCTTGGGGAACGGTGCGAGGGAAGCCGTCGAGGATGAAGCTACACGAGCCCACAAGTTAGCAAGCACGAAGCTGAACGATGGGGGGTGGCGGCTACATGTCGAAACTCACCCGCCTCGGCACTCCTTGTTGTTGTCGAGCTCTGCTTTGATCATGCCAATGACAATGTCGTCGCTAACGAGACCGCCCTGATCCATGATTTTCTTGGCTTCGCGGCCGAGGGCAGTCTTTTTGGCTACTTGGGAGCGCAACATGTCGCCAGTGGCCTGCGCAATGGACTATCAGAGGGGCCCAAGGGGGAGCAAAGGATTGGACTCACCAGGTGGCAGCAAGAGAAGCGCTCCTTGATCTTGGGGGCCTGTGTTCCCTTGCCTATGAGCGACAGCGAGTGGTTAGCGACTTGAGCAAGAGCGATGCAGGTGTTTGGCAGGTGCGCACCAGCTCCGGGGGGTCCAATAAGGATCATCCGGATCTCTTCTGTGGAAGGAGAGGAGCCCGTGGCGCGTTGCTCGAGGCGCTTGATGCGCGAGTCAAGGGCTGAGATGACATCCTTGAGCTGCTTAAGCTCGTCTTCGACGAAACCCATGGCTGCGAATGGAGGCAAACGGAATTGGCGGTTTGGAAGAGGCGAAGCAAGAGCCCGGCGCCAGTTATTCAATTGGCCGAGCCCGGGAGAGGGCGGAGAGGTAGAAGAAGTGAGGAGGCGGCGGCGGACGAGGAGGAGGAGGAGGGAGACGGCGAGAACGGGGCCAACGGACCGGACGGGAATCGTTGAGCGGTTGGCGGACTGACGATGGAAAGGGCTTTGGATTTCTTCCGAGTCCCGCCTTTTTCGGCTTTGGGGAGCCCAAGCTCCGTTCAAGCGAGCTCGCGGATTGGCCCGCGGACGGCTTAAGGCTGATTACCTCTGTCAGCCGGCTTATCACGGGGTACATCAAGTCAGCCGCTCGTCGTACTGTGGTCGCTCACTCGGGCGTAGCCTAGCATAGAGCGGTACTTCACTCCTTTAGCTTTGATAGGTTCCTCGGGCGCTGGTGTGCCACGCCCATCTCGGCCGGCTTTTGGTTTGAGCCTGTCACCAAGGAAATCGTAATTTTAGGAGGAATAAAATCGCCAGGTTTTCGAGCATTGTTTGCATCGATGCGGGCGATAATATTCACATGAATTACGGCTGGCATCAAAAGCAATGGCCGAGACGCCTTCAAGGCCGAGCTGCCGAGTCAGTCGTCTTGCCTGGATGTCGAATCCCGAGGCAAGTGCCTGGCAGGTGCTTGTACCAAGTACTGGGTGCGTGTCCTGCTCAGGTAAGCAGGCCTCCCCCCCCCCCACGTGACGAGCGAGCGGCAATGACGGCGCCGCGATCCGGAGCTCCTGCAGCCCTGCACTGCAGTTGGCTTTCTGGAGCTCATCGACCTTGACCGCAACTAACCCGAGCAACCACTTCCCCGTCAGGTCACCCACGACGCGTTCTCGCTGCTCGCCAGACCTTCGGGCCCTCTTTTCCAAGAAAACAACAGGGCCTTCACCGGCAAGTGAGCTGGCTGGTTCCCGGCCCGAATCTGTGGCAAGGCACCCGTGGGCGTACGCACCAACAACAGTGGCAGCTCCCGTACTGCAAAACAACCGCCTCTCCCACGCTCACCGCTCGCCACTGCGCGAGCCAGAGTCACAAAAGACCCCGACGGCGTCCGCAGACCTGCCTCACGATGCCTACCACCACCGCAGAAACCCTTTCCCTCGTCACCCGCAACGTCTCTGTCGCGCCCCTTGTTCTGCTCTCTGCCGTTGATCACTACAACCGAACTGTCCAGAACAAGACAAAGCGACGGGTCGTTGGCGTGTTGCTGGGCCAGAACGATGGAAAGAACGTCAGAGTGTCCAACAGCTTCGCCGGTGCGTTGTCCGCTGGCCTTTTCCTGACCAGCTTCCGTCTAACAGTCTTCCAGTTCCTTTCGAGGAGGACGACCGGGACCCCTCGGTCTGGTTCCTGGACCACAACTACGTCGAGTCGATGAACGACATGTTCAAAAAGGTCAATGCTAGGGAGAAGCTGATAGGCTGGTATCACTCGGGCCCCAAGCTTCGGGCTTCCGATCTCGAAATCAATGACTTGTTCAAGCGCTATACCCCCAATCCCTTGTTGGTCATCATCGACGTTCAGCCCAAGGAATCCGGCGTGCCCACGGATGCCTACTTTGCCGTGGAGGAAATCAAAGATGTGAGCAGCTGCCAGTCAAGGGGGTGAGAGAGTAACGGTCTAAACAGATTGCTGATTTCGTCTGCAGGATGGCACCACCACCTCAAGAACCTTTGTTCACACCCCTTCCATCATCGAGGCCGAAGAAGCAGAAGAGATTGGCGTCGAACACCTATTACGCGACATTCGAGACGTGGCTGTCGGCACCCTCTCCACGAGGGTCACCAATCAGCTTCAGTCGCTTCAAGGGCTACATTTGCGGCTGCGCGACATTGGCGCCTACCTGCAAAAGGTTCTCGACGGGCAGTTGCCTGTCAATCATGCCATTCTTGGCAATCTGCAGGACGTGTTCAACCTGCTGCCGAATCTCTCGACGCCCGAGAGCGACGGCAAGACTGGCGGCGGCGAGCTGGCGCATGCCATGAGCATCAAGACAAACGACCAGCTCATGGCCATTTACCTCAGCAGTCTTATCCGGGCCATCACTGTATTCCACGACTTGATAGAGAACAAGATCCAGAACCGACAGCAGCAAGAGGAAAAGGAGTCGAAAAAGGACGAGGCCAACAGCAAGGACGACAAGAAGGATGCTGGCGTGAATGGCGTGAATGGAGGGACCAAGGAGGATGCTGACAAGGAGAAGGAAGGCAAGGAGAAGAAGAAATGATATGGTGGCGAGGCCTAGGGAAGTGGAGGCGCAGGTGCATAAGAAACGGATCCTGGGGGCTCACGGGGCAGATGGACGGTTGCCTGGGGAAGTAGACCTGTATCAGAGTCGGGTCAAGCAAGCCGGCGTCTGTTGTACTGCATATGAACCACGTCAAGAACGGGCGGTTGCCTTCTAGCCCGGGTGAAGCTACTTGTATCGCCAGGGCCTGACAAGGACGACGCCTCATTGAACGTTTTGCGAACAACACTACGGCTATGGGTTCAATGAACGCCAGCAGCTATTCCAGCCAGCTCGTGCCTCGTCACTAGCCTGTCATCAAGTCCATTTCCCAAAATGGTAGGCCATGTCTCGGCCAACAAGCATGCCAAAAGATGTTTACAGCAAGGCACATCCTCTCCGTAACTCGAAAGCCCATCAAAGCTCAAGCCGCCAAACGATAGCATCTGCTTGTCCCGGCAAACTTCTCGTGTCTCAGGCGGTATTGGCGGTGGCGAGGACCGTGGCGATGGTGACGGCGATGCTCGCGGCTCGAACAGTAAAGCTCCGGCCATCGGCTGCGCATAGCTAGCGAAGGCCTCGAGAGCAAAGTTGGCGCAGGAGCAGCTCCATGCGTCGAGGTGAATGGCGTAGGTTCTCGACGGTGACGCTGGGTCTCGGCGGCGGGGGCGCGCCAGGGTGGAGGCGAGGGATTGGACAACGTAAAGCCGAGCCAGGGGTACCTCGTCCGTGGTATGTGCGAGCGACGATATCGACGGCGGCCGGCCTCGATTCCCTGGCTTGCCGTCTTCACCGAGGCCATCTGCATCGCGACGGCGGGTATGGAGACTTGACTGTTCCTCTGGCCTGTCGGGGCCGACGCGGATGCGGGCCACCAGTTTACGATCGAGCAGGTCGAGGGCCGGGAGGACGATGCTCGGGAAGAGGACATGGAGGGTCAGCAGCAGACGACGGCGGTCCGCCCCGGCGCTGGCATTTTGGGGAGGCGGCGACGGCGGCGGTGAGAGCGACTCGACGAGCGAAGTGAGCAATTGACGATGAGACGGAAGGCTTTGCATCATTGTCGGGCCAGACCCGGAAGGCAGGTTGGGTCAGGTCAGGTCAGAGCTGTAAGAGTACATGACCATTCTGAAAGGATACCTTTGACTTGGGTTCGCCGCGCCGTATGCTGGAGGATGCCGCAAAGCAATGGCCTTCATTATTGTTGCTTCTGTTGCTATCCTTGCCGGTGAAGGAATCAGAGTCGTGGTTCTTTTGGACGCGCATGAAGGCCGACGCCTTATTAATCATCAACCGATGTCATCTGATGATGGAACCGCCCCATCGCGTCTCATCAGGTTCGTCGCTTCTGCTGCTGAAGGTAGCTTACAATTCAAGTCACTGGGCTCGCTGAAAGCACGTCAAAAGTCGTCCCTTTCCTCTCTACATGCGAATATGGATGCAATTTCTTGATTGTTGTACATAGACGGGCGACTACAGCATGACGGACGGTTCGCTGTTGCACATGGAGGAGATCTAGCATTGCCTGGCGGGCCCGGCACAAAGGCAGCCTCTTGCGAGCTTATACCCAGTCCTTGGGATCTCTCAATACATCCACCAGCCGCTGCTCCCTGCTCTTGGGCTCCGGCTCATGCATGTATTTCCAGCTGGCCGTCAGCGGCAGGCTCATGAGGATGCTCTCGACGCGTGACCCCGGCGTGTTGAGGCCAAAGGCCGTGCCGCGGTCGTGAACCAGATTGAACTCGACGTATTTGCCGCGTCGGATCTGCTGCCACTCTTTTTCTTTTTCCGTAAACGGCATGTCCTTGCGCTTCTCGAGGATGGGAAGGTACGAGGGCAAGAAGGACTTGAGGCAGTCTTGGATAAAGGCAAAGGTGTTTTCCCGGTCACGCTCCGACTCGTCCAGGTCGTCGAAGAAGATGCCGCCGACGCCCCGGCACTCGCCGCGGTGTTTGTTGTGGAAGTACTCGTCGCACCACTTCTTGAAGCGGGGGAAGTATGTCTTGTCGTGCGAGTCGCAGGCCTCCTTGAGCGTCTTGTGGAAGTGGATGGCGTCCTCGTCAAAGAGGTACGCGGGCGTCAGGTCGCTGCCGCCGCCGAACCACCACGCCTGGGAGGAGCCGTCTGGATTGGCCGTCTCGAAGTATCGGTAGTTGAGGTGGACGGTGGGAGCCATGGGGTTCTTGGGGTGGAGCACCATGCTCAGCCCGGCGGCGAAGAAGTCGAGCGAGTCGACGTTGGGGTCGAGCGTTTTGTGGTCGGCGCGCATCTTCTGGATGGCGGGCTTCGGGAGGGAGCCGTAGACGACGCTTACGCCCACGCCGGCCTTTTCGAAGACGTTGCCCTCCTGCAAGACGCATGTCGTGCCGCCGCCGCCGTTTTTGCGCGTCCACTCATCCTTGCGGAACTTTTTGCCGTCCACCTTTTCGAGCTCCTTGACAATGAGCTTCTGTTGCTCCTTGATGAACTTCTCCATGCGCAGCCGCATCGGCGAGTCGTCACTGACGCCGCCCTCGCGCTTCTTCTGAGCGTCCTTGTCGGCCAGGGAGGCGGTATCGAGCTTGGCGCCCTCGGCAGTGGTCTGCGGGGATGACGGGGGCAGTGTCAGCGGCAGAGTCCGACCTCGGACCTGGGGACAGGAGCTTGGCTCGTACTAGATGCATGAACAGTGAGCCTGCGATGCCGAGAGCGGCCGCGGCGCACCATATCGGCAGGCGCATGTGCCGGTCAGAAGACAGACGGCGGCGAGCAGAGGTCGAGGCTGCCCTCTGTGACGCTGCTGGGCTCCTCCGTTGAACCCTGGCAAGCTGGGTTGCCGATGTCGTTGAGCGAGGCCGGAGCTGGATAGCGAAGCGCCGAGCTTCTCTTGCTGCCGTGGTCATGATGGCGGTAGGGGCTGGACGGGACACGGGTGGGTAGACGAGACAAGCCGATGCTCGTGGATCGGTTCGCCGCGAACGAGGAGTGAGGGAAGCTCTCGATTTATGTGGATAGCTCGGTCAAAAAATAGTGCAAGCCGGGGCTCGGGTGGCCGGACAAAGCCGGGTGGCGAAAGGCTGCCGGGTGTCCTCCTCCCTTCTGCTACCGATGCTGCCACGATGGAGAGGGAGGGGTTTTGTCGGTAAGAAGGGCCGACATTGGAAAAAGGAGGCTCGCGATTGATCCACCCTGCGTGGCGTGGTCGTCGGCATTGATCGGACGAGCCGCCAAGTCTCCGTACCGCGGGGTACAGGGTAGACTGATAGATGCAGGCAGAGGCGTAAATCAACGATGGGTGCCAGATTTTTGCGCAGAGAATCACATTATGTAAACAACCGGTTGACTCCGAGTACGTACCTGGAGCTCGAGACTATACAGGGGGCAAGCAAGCAAGCTACATTGTAGCCACTCGAATGCCGGCAAGGCCGGTCCTAGACGGCAAGGTAATTAAGGCAGTGAAGTGCATCCCAGGGGTTCGACGATGATTACAAAAGCAGACACTGCTTTGCCTTCCTGACCCGTGACGAAGGCACTGGCTGCCTGGAGGGGCCGCTTTATCCCGGGTGAGGTCTAGCGCATGATCTTTCCCCCACACAATCGATTCTCGTGCCGGGTTCAGGTCACGCCGCGCGCGGCTGTAATTCGTCCGCCTGATGTATCTTCCCGATGTTTCTTCACTAATAGAGTACCTGGACACTTTAGGTACAGCCCCGTGCGGACCCAACGTGCACGCACGGTGATTAGACAGGCACCTGACTCCTTCCGCCGTGCAGTAATTATGTTACAGGGCGAAAGGTACAAAAGGGTGATGCACAGTATACCTGCTACATACAGTCTGTCCCCTCGCCTCGCCATCACTGCCCACCGCCCCTCTCTCCCTCTCCGCTTTGCCTCCCGTCGGCGCCTCCAGCTCTCTGCCTGATCACGCATCCAACTGAAAGCACCCGAGCGGAGTCACCCTCACCACCTTGCTTTCGTTCTCTAGATTTCTCCTCTCCATCTTGCACATCAACGCCTACTATCACGCCCAGAAGCTCGCCTCCGTTTCCCGTCGCATATTCCCCTGCGCATTTGATCACCGCCACCAGATACACTCCATCACTTCGGGCATCCGTCACCATGCGCAGCAAGTTCAAGGACGAGCATCCCTTTGAGAAGCGCAAGGCCGAGGCCGAGCGCATCCGCCAGAAGTATGCCGATCGCATCCCGGTAAGTAAAGGGCTTCCTGTCATCGGAATTATCCTCACCTTGAAGCTTTCGTCTTGTCATCTGCGCCTCGTCGGCGCTCATCGTCGCTGCTCCCTCCCACTTCGGCCGCTACCAGCCTCCTTGCAGCCGAACCTCTTTCCCGACGCAGAAAACTGACAGCGCTTCAAACCACCAGGTCATCTGCGAAAAGGTCGAGAAAAGCGACATCGCCACCATCGACAAGAAAAAGTATCTGGTCCCATCCGACCTGACCGTCGGCCAGTTCGTCTACGTCATCCGCAAGAGGATTAAGCTCTCCCCCGAAAAGGCCATATTCATCTTTGTCGATGAGGTCTTGCCTCCCACTGCTGCTCTCATGAGCAGCATCTACGAGGAGCACAAGGATGAGGACGGGTACGATTCCGCGTGGCACTCCCCTCTCCTGGAGCCCAACGCCAGCTAACCAACTCGCGCAGGTTCCTGTACATCACCTACTCTGGGGAGAACACCTTTGGTAGCGCTTGAAGAGCGTCCCGCCATCCCGCGGATCCCCGTCAAGAATGACGATGCTGGCGTTTCGGTTGTACAGCAGCGGTGCTTTTCCCGGCAAAGGGTATTTGGTTATCTGTGGCACTACGTGTTCGGTTTCGATTCCTCGCTCGAGCGTACCGGTGGAGACGCTATAGAATTGAATCTCTCATGGCTACCAACCGACCACGCAGGATCTCTGGACGGGGTGCGTGACGGTGCCAGCTGCTGTGCGGCAGTGAGCAGCCTGCCGCCCTGGAGTTCTGCGCCTGATACCCCCAGCTCACCACGTGATGGTCCGACCCGAAAACGGCCGCAGGGGCTTCTCGTCGGAACGTATTCGCTGTCAGGTGGCGGTGGAAATGCTATGTGATGAGAGAGAGAAACATACGTATGCGCGGCTTGCAAACCAAATCGTGTTGAACTGGACGTGGCTGGAGGGTAACGGGCATGATGCGCCTGGACGGCCACCTTGAATAAACGATGCCTAGTCTTCGACAACTGTCGCTCTGATGTGTCGTGGTCTATGTCGAGGGGAAGTTGCGGGACAACGCCCAAGCGCGTTCCACTGGCTTGTCGTGATGACTCGGGCTCAGCTGCTGTTCGTAAGTTGGTAAATGCTTCAACCGCCTGTTCTCTGGTGCAGTAGGTAGCCCGCAAGGTCATGGTCGCAAGATGAACCAAGAGCAAGGGACTTGGGTGCCGAGGTGCCAACGGTGCATATATGGTAGCTGGCGACGAAGAGCGACGAAGAGCGCCGAAGAGCGACGCGAGGGGATGCGGAGCCAAAGTTCGCATCGGCATGGACCTGGCTGCTCACGTCGGCTCATGCCCCTGGCACACCCCGACTTTTCGCGCAACAGCTTGCCGTCCAACCGATACGCGCGCGGGCTAAATAAAGGCACATCGTCAAGATCATGTGGGCGGGCGGCCCCCGGTAAGTGCATGCCACCCCAGGTACTTGGTACCGGGCTCTCGTCTGCATCTTCACTCGAGATGATGCCGCAGCCAATCGATCCGGGGCCGTCCCCCATTCTGCATCGCCAACGCGGCGGCCCGCTGTCTGTCTGTCCGTCAGGCCCGCATCGCCAAGCCCCTGCGGAGCCCCGGCCTGCTTGTTCTGCCTGGCCTTGGGCCATTGCCCCGCCAGCCCTTTTTGTTGAGCCGTATTGTGCGTGGACAATGGCAAGCTGCTTCAGCCTTCCGCCCTGAACGGTCGGGACGATTCGCCTCGCAAACGCCTTGCCTTGGCCGACATGGGACAACCGCCACTCTTCGTTACAGGACCTTCCTGGCCAGCCATGGGCGGCAAACTTGAGTGGCTGCCCACCCATGCTCGGCGCTTAACCGCTGTTCACGCGCATTGCTCCTCCAGCGGCTACGGCCTTCGTCTCGAAGGCCGCCTTGGCCGAGGGTTTAACCCAATGGCTTGCCTCTTCGTTCTGTGAACCAAGTGCAATCCGGGCTGAACTATTCACTTGTAGGATTCTTTCTTGCGAGCTGTGGTGTATGCCGTGAGCCCTCTTCTTTGTCCTTCCGCTCATTGCCCCTTCTTTCGTCGACAAACAACGTGACAATAGAGAGATAGCTTGGACGAAACTCTCATTGTGTGCCTGGTTCTGGTTTGAGAACTTGTCCATTGTCTCCCGCCCCATCCCTTTCTCCCGACTCACGACCGGCAACTTAATAGTCGACATCGTAGCTAGTCGCGGCAGGATCGCGCTCCTGGCTTCGTGGACCTTCATTTCTTACCTTCATTTCGAACCATCTGCTTCTCTCCGCCTCTAGCGCACTCTGTCAAAGATTGCTACAGACTCGACATGTTTTCTTCCTCGCAGAAGCGCGACGGCGGGGAGCCGGCCTACCCCGACGTCCCGCCATCCCTCCGGTCCGACTCCTTTGAGATGAGCGACGTGCCGAAGACACAGCAAGCTCGGGGACAGTCGGAGCCATCGACGACTCCATACCTCGGCCTTCCATCACGCCTCTCACAGATATGGATCAATCGCTGGACCGTCCTGCTGTTGCTCGTCCTCGTCCGCGTCGTCTTGCTGATCGCACAGCTCGACGAAAACGTCGGCAATGCAAAGATCCAGGCCCTGTCGGCATGCACCAAAGTCGAGGATGTAGGGAGTGCCATGGCCTCGATGCCTCATTATCTGTCCATGGGCGTCAACGACCTCGCTGCCAGCGGCATAGAAAAGGCTGTCGAGGCCGTGATCAAGGGGCTGGACCTCATCATGCGTGGCGTCGAGGGTATCATCTTCTTCTACATCAACTTCCTCACTGCTACATACGTCTGCCTCATCACTGCCCTGGTCCATGGTAGTCTCAAGGTTGTCGCGTCCGTCACCGAAGACGCCACAAAGGCTTTTAACAAGATCATCGATGGGGCCGTCGGCGAGATTGAGGACGTGGCAGGCGGCCTGGAAAAAGCCATCAACAAGGTGACAAATGGAATCGAAAACTCCATCATAGGAAACTTTGTTCCAGACATACCAAAAGTCGACTTCTCCAAGCCGATTGAGAAGCTCAAGAAATTCGACCTCAACACCGATGACTTTGTCAAGGACGTCCGCAAGCTTGACAAAGATCTTCCCAACTTTGCTCAGGTCCAGAACCTGACCAAGCAAGCGATATCGATGCCCTTTGACCTTGCCCGCAAGGCACTCAACCAAAGCTTTGGTGCATACAAGTTCAACCGGGACGTGTTTCCGCTGGCAGAGAAGCAAAAGCTCACCTTTTGCTCCGACAATGACAAACTCGAAGGCTTCTTCCGCAACCTTTTTGAGCTTCTCCAAAAGGCCCGCGTCACCTTTGTCGCCTTGTTATCGGTCCTGGCAGCGTCAGCCATGGCCCCGATGGCGTGGTTCGAGATTAGGCGGTGGCGGCGGCAGCAGAAGCACGCCGGACTCATCGCCGGCAATCAATATGACCCCATGGACGTCGTTTACATTGCCTCGCGGCCAGTAACAGCCACCTTTGGCATCAGGATTGCGTCTCGACTCGAGGGCCGGCGCCAAATTCTCGTGCGCTGGTGCTTCGCGTACGCCACATCGGTGCCGGCAATGTTTGTTTTGTCGTTGGCCATGGCTGGTTTCTTCTCCTGTCTCTGCCAGCTCATACTCCTCAAGGCGGTCGAGAAGGAGGTCCCTGCTCTGGCTCACCAGGTTGGCGAGTTTGCTGGCGAGGTCGTCACGGCTCTTGACAACGCATCTGGCCAGTGGGCTGCCGGCGCCAACGGTGTCGTCAAGGGACTCAACAACGACATCAACAAAGACATTCTCGCCTACGTCACAAATGCAACAGACGCCGTCAACAGCACGATCAACGTCTTCCTCGACACCATGCAGGAAGGCCTCGAGACGGTGTTCAATGGAACCATCCTCCTCGAGCCGATCAAGTCGGTGCTACACTGCGTGATTGGAATAAAGATTGAGAGTGTGCAAAAGGGGCTGACGTGGGTGCACGACCACGCGCACGTCGACTTTCCGCTCTTCGAAACCAAGCTGTTTAGCATGGGAACCGACGATTCTGATTCTGGTGACTCGGATCTCCACGGCTTCTTGGCTTCGCCGTCCTCGACCACGACAGACGAGGTGACGGGCGCCGTGAAACGAGTGACCGACTGGCTCTACAACAGCCTTGTCCAGGAAGCGCTCATATCCACGGGCATTCTCCTCGTCTACTTCATTGTTGTGCTCTTGGGGGTAATACGGGCCCTGGCTTGCATGGCTGTTCCCGATAAATCCCGGGGCGAGGGTGGTGCGCTCTACCCCGGCGAGGGCGGACCGTCCCTGAGTGCAGGATCAGGGCCGCCGCACTGGAACAACCGGGACGGTGCTGGAGACTCGGGCGAGAAGAGGTGAGAGTAAGGTGGCGGGGGGGCGGAAAGGGGTACCCAAGATGACGGCGGTGGCTATGGGGCGTGAGTGAGCCTTTGCAGCTCATGAGACGGTCGGCAGCGGCGTTGGCATGGGGGGAAATTTAGATTTAGCGAAAGGGATATACCCGACGAGGTGGCATGTCGAGATGTTGGATAATGGCCTTGAGCACTGCCTGGAATAATAATACATACCGGCAGTGTACGAATTATAGCGGGGGTAACCCACGGCCAAGCTCTTGACTCATGTTGGACCAGGGTGGCTGTACTGTACTGTACTCCGTAGAGACAGCTTTGTTAGTCGGTTAATTAATAGTATTATAGCTTGGCAGAGCTCCATCTGGGGTTGGGGGTGGAAAGCTGCCGATTACCCTTTGGGGCAAGTCCGGCTTTTGTGGGTCTGCGCTGCAGATGCTTGATGCGGGCGTCGGCAGGCTTGCAGCTCCAGCGGTACTCGGTACCTGTCCTGGGCCCCTCCGCGAGCGGAGTGCCTATTTTCTCCGGAAGCAACTTCTGGTCCTGTCCACGCCTATATAAGCTACGAGCGCGAATTCAACTCTCTTCCCATTGCGCCCAGCACTCGAAGTAACGTCAGGCCTGCTGAATTCGCATCCATCATGGAGGCCATCAAAGAGACTTTCAAGCGCTGCAAAGCTCAAAACAGGGTCGGTACCCGGAGACATGTGTACATTGCTCCTGAGCTGACTCAACGCTTCCTCCATGTAGGCCGCCCTGGTGACGTATGTCACGGCAGGCTTCCCACGGCCAGAGGAGACGCCCAGCATCCTGCTGGCAATGGAGGAGGGAGGGTCTGGTGAGTGGCAACAGACAACCGCGCCAAGGCAACGACGACGGCCAGTGTCCTGACCTCGAAGCCCCATATCAATAGACTTGATCGAGCTCGGCGTACCCTTTACCGACCCGATCGCCGATGGACCAACCATTCAAACTTCCAATACGGTAGGGTCATCAACTTATCGAGCTCAGCGGCAGCTGACCCGTCACAGGTCGCACTGGGCCATGGCGTTACGATTGAGTCGACCCTTGGCATGGTCAAAGAAGCCAGAAACAAAGGACTCAAGGCCCCGGTGCTGCTCATGGGATACTACAACCCGCTTCTCAGGTACGGAGAAGAGCGGCTGCTCCGGGACTGCAAGGCCGCCAGCGTCAACGGCTTCATCGTCGTCGACCTGCCCCCCGAGGAGGCCGTCTCGTTCCGAAAGCTGTGCAACAGGGGAGGGTGAGTGCTCCGAGCTCGCTACAGTCTTCACCCTACCGCTGACCAAGAGGTGGTTTCTCGAATGCAGACTGTCATACGTGCCACTCATCGCGCCAGCCACCTCGGACACGCGCATGAGGATCCTATGCCAGCTGGCCGACTCGTTCATCTACGTTGTCTCCAGGCAGGGAGTTACCGGCGCCCTAGGATTTATCAGTTCCAACCTTCCGGAGCTGGTCGCTCGCGTCAAAAAGTGCAGCGGAAACAAGCCGGTGGCTGTTGGCTTTGGCGTTAGCACGCAAGAGCACTTTCAAAGTATAGGCGCCATCGCCGACGGTGTCGTCGTGGGCAGCCAGATTGTCACCACAATCCAGAAAGCCGACGTTGGCCAAGAGCCCAAGGCAGTGCAAGCCTACTGCGCCTACCTCTGTGGTGGCGTGCAGAACGGGACGACGCGTGAGGTCGGCCTGGTTGAGGCTGTTGCTGGAGCTCAGGAGCCCAGCGGCGAGGACGTAACTGTCAATGCCGTCGTGACGGATGATGATCGAATCACGGCAGAGCAAGACAAAGCCCTAGTTGCCCAGCTGGCTGCGCTTCACGGGAAGATCCCGGAGCGATTTGGAGAGTTTGGTGGACAGTATGTTCCCGAGAGTTTAATGGACTGTCTTTCTCAGCTGGAGGAGGGCTTCAACAAGATCAAAGACGACCCAGCTTTCTGGGAAGAGTACCGATCCTACTATGACTACATGGGGCGGCCTTCGCGCCTGCATCTGGCCGAACGACTGACGGAGCATGCCGGCGCCGCCAATATCTGGCTCAAGAGAGAGGACCTCAACCACACGGGGAGCCACAAGATCAACAACGCCCTTGGGCAGCTACTACTGGCGAAGAGGCTTGGAAAGACAAAAATCATTGCCGAAACGGGTGCTGGACAGCACGGCGTGGCCACCGCGACCGTGTGCGCCAGATTCGGGATGGAGTGCACCGTTTACATGGGAGCGGTAAGTTTAGCCTTTTCGACGGACGAGCCCTGACATGGAAACACTCTGACACGGGTTCAATAGGAGGATGTCCGCCGGCAAGCCCTGAATGTGTTCCGGATGCGACTGCTTGGGGCCAAGGTTGTAGCCGTCGAGGCAGGGAGCAAGACGCTGCGCGATGCCGTGAATGAGGCTCTACGCGCCTGGGTCGTCGATCTCGACACGACGCACTACATTATTGGCTCCGCCATCGGCCCTCATCCCTTTCCGACCATTGTCCGTACCTTCCAGTCTGTCATCGGCACGGAGACGAAGGCGCAGATGATGGAGAAGCGCGGTAAGCTCCCGGATGCCGTCGTGGCTTGCGTCGGCGGGGGGAGCAACGCTGTCGGAATGTTCTATCCCTTTGCCAACGATTCCAGCGTCAAGCTTCTTGGCGTCGAGGCGGGTGGCGACGGCATCAATACAGCCCGACACAGCGCCACCCTGACGGGCGGCACCAAGGGTGTTCTCCACGGCGTGAGGACCTATGTGCTGCAGGACAAGCACGGGCAAATATCCGAGACGCACTCCGTCTCAGCCGGGCTTGACTATCCCGGCGTCGGTCCGGAGCTGAGCTCGTGGAAGGACGAACAGAGGGCCAAGTTCATCGCCGCCACCGACGCTCAAGCCTTTACCGCCTTTAGGCTCATGAGCCAGCTGGAGGGCATCATCCCAGCCCTCGAGTCGGCACACGGCATCTACGGCGCCATAGAGCTGGCAAAGACGATGAAGAAGGGCGAAGATGTCGTCATCTGCCTGAGCGGAAGAGGTGACAAGGACGTGCAAAGCGTGGCGGACGAATTACCCAAGATTGGGCCGCAGATTGGCTGGGACCTGAGGTTCTAGATGGTGACACGGGCAAGACAAAAATTGCACACATACGTCAACCATTTGACCTCTTCGCTCCAGCGACCAAGGGGGAAAACATTTAGCAACAGGGCATATCTGTGGTGATAGACGACGTGGCATGGGTCGCATCTTAAGACTGGGGCGCTCTGGGGCAGGTATCCAATGTAGCAAGTTGACGGCGAAGACATGATGTGATGCTTTTTTTTTGGTACGCTTCAGGGGGGGGTGGCAGTGTTGACATAAAAGTACATGAATGGATTAGATGTCGGCGCGTTGCTTACCCGCGTCTATCCCCGTAGGTTCCAAATCTGCATCGTCTGATTGCTGCAGCAGAACCGCCTCGGCCTCGTCGGATAGCTCCTCGATGCCTTCTACGTCTCCCAAGGTGTCATTGCCCAGCACAAAGCTACCGGCCACGACGCCGCGGATCTCGTCTAGCGTAGCGCGGCTGCGGACGCTCAAAGGCCCTGGGGTCGCGAAGTCGAGGGCATATTGAATAATGTCGTCACGCTTCACGATGGCCTTGGGCTCGACGCCTAGCGCGAGCCTCTCCTCGTTGAGACGCTCCTGGACAACCCTTGTCTGCATGACGAGCCAGCGCAGGTTCCAGCCGCCGGGGCCGAGCTCCTTGAGGCGGGCGGGCTTGCTCTTGAGCAGATAGTTGTCGATGCCGCCCTCGCGGCGGATGGTCTTGAGGACGCGCAGGGTGAGGCGCGTCTTTATGCGGGCGTCGAGCGAGGCCGAGTAAAAGACCTTGACGTGGACATTGGGACGCCAGAAACGGCGAGCCTTGTTGCGGTACCGCTCAGCGATGATGTTGCCGAAGCGGATGCGAGCGGTGCCGTAGAGGCCTCGGTTGGACTGCTTGTAGACGCGCCGCTCGCCGTAAGGGTAGGGGGGGATGAGGTTCGAGGGCAGGCGGTGCGGCTTGATGGTTTTGACCTGGGCGGGCTGGGTGGTGGAGAAGGCTCGCGAGGCAGCGGCTGTTATTCTCGTCGTCTTTGTTGTTATCGTAGCGCTCGCATTCGTCGCAGGGGAGAACCGGCAGGGAGAAGAGAGAGGAGAGATTGACGACGAGGGGAAGCCGCGGCGCAGGGTCTGCAGACTCTTCGATAGGGGCCGCAAGGGGTTCAAAGCCCCCGGCGGGGGCGGCATCGTGCCGGCGGAGGGAGTGGGGGGAAGTGTCGATGTAAAGAAAGCAGACCTGGGGCAGCGTTGCCGTCGCGTCGTTCAGTGCCGCCACGTCGGGGTCCACGATCTTTTTGCTGGAATCGGGTGCCGGAATCGTGTTCTCCCTGCGAGGCCCTGCGCCGCCGCGGAGCTGGTGTGGAGGAGCAGGGCCAATTCGGGAGCTCAGATGTTCCGGCCCGACCGGGCTCGAATTCATCTGAACGCCGGCTCGTCATGTGACGGCGTGCGAGTTTCGCGGCGACGTCAAAATGGTGCTATCCTCAACCCCCCGCCAACCTCACGACTCGCATCCATCGCAGCCACGGCGCCCGGAACGTGCGCAGCCGGCCGATGTGCGCTGACGGGCGCGGTCCACGACGTTGCATGGATTGTCCGCTCATGCGACAACGGACAACGTGTGAGTGCCGACGAACCGCAATCGACGGAGGAATGAGAAATGCGAGATGAAGCCTTGTCTCTCCACACCGGAACCGCATCATAAGGAACTCTGGCCGCTCATTGAAAAGAAAAGCCTGACGAGAGGGGTTTCTGCTTATCGCCAGGCATCGTCTCCGAGATGCTCCCTCCCGTGGACGATGACGTCCTCCGGGATCATCCGGAGTTTGCCAATCTCTACTCGACGCTGACAAACGTCATGCTCAACCCCGATGCCTCGACCAAGCACGACCCGGCCGCCAAGGAACGGGCCGCTGTACGAGAGGTAAGAGTCGCGGATTGAAAACATGAACATCCAATAAAGAAGAAGAAAGCGAGAGAGTCGAGGAGGTTGCCCGCTCGCTCACACCCTCTTCTCGCGCAGGAACTCGATAAACTCCGTCTCTCGACGGCCAAGCACCATCTCCTCGAGCGCGCAATTGCCACGGCGTCACCTCCGGAACCGAAGCCAAAGCCGCGCTCTACCTCTTCGTCTTCGTCGAACCAGCTCCGACAGCAGCGACGGCCGGAGACGGGCACCGCAGAGCTGCCCGAGTCCCTGCTCGACCTCCTCCTTGTCCTCCCTCCACTGCTTGACGCGGACGCGTCTCTCCCCCAGGACTCGGCGGCGCTTCTTCTCTCCAGCCCCCCGCTCTCCGATCTCGACTCTCTACTCCCGCCGCTGGCAACCCTGGTCTCATCCAACCTGCACTCCTGGGCGCTAAGCCTCGCCCGCCTCACCCACCCGACCACGAACCCGTCCTACCTTCATCGCCACATACCCTCCCTCCCCAAGGACTACGCAGACCTCGTCGACAGCCTCTTCGCGGCGCGGCAGTCCCTAGCGGCGGCCCGCCTGCGTGCCCTCGCCTCCCTGACCCAGCTCTTCCGCTGCTACACCCAGTCGCTCGTCCACCTCGTCCGCTCCCTCGAAGCCAAGCACGGCGTCCTCGCCCGGAGCGTCGAGCTTCGCGCCTCGGACGTCTCGCTTCGTGCGCAGCGCACCGAGCTGGAAGCCACACACGCCGCGCACCGTGTCGCAAAGGAGCTGTACTCGCCCCAGGCCGTTGCCGCTCTGCGAAGCTACGCCAACCACTTGAAGGATGCCAAGCTGAGGACAGCCGAGCGGGTGCGCAGCTTGCAGACCGAGCTGGCAGAGTACGGCGTCGGTGCCGCTGGCGACGAGGGCAAGGAGAAGACGATGAGAGAGATGGCCAGGGTGTACCACGGAATGAGAAGGCAGATCGAGGATGTCAAGCAGGATCTCGACCGGCTCCAGGATGGGTGATGGCGCCACTACAGAACTGGGACGTGCCACATGTGGAGCCGACGAGCGGCGCATTGCGCTCCGAGCCGAGCACCGAGCGCATTGAGGAATAGGGCCGGAAACAGGTGCTGAGCGAGGAAAATGGCTCCCAGACGGCAGTCCCCATCTATTCCAGGTACTAATACATTTTCTTTTCCGGGTACGAAGCCAACAAGAGACAAGCCTGGCGCGACTCAGCAGCCACAAGTCGCGCGGTGCCTCATTATCCTTTGACCCGCTCCATCAATGCAATGAACCTTGACCAACGACCGCCGATGCGTGAATTAGTGCGCGATGCATGCCACTTTCCGGACCCGCCAGTCTCGTGATTTTACACATAGGCTGATTGACTTAGCCCTTGACCTTGAAAATGGCCTCTGCCAGCCGACCGACGTTGTCCGAGGTGATGCCGGCGACGGAGATGCGGCCGTCCTTGGTAGCATAGACAGAGTATTCCTTGGCGAGCCTTTCCATCTCCGCAGGCGTCAGGCCTGTGTAGGCGAACATGCCAATCTGGCTCGTGATGTGGGACCAGTCATGCTTGGAGCCGAGCTTCTCAAGGTTGCTCTTGAGGAGGGCTCGCATGGTGATGATGCGGTCAGCCATGCTCTTGACCTCGCCGAGCCACTGCTGGTAGAGCTTAGGATCGCCCAGGATCTCGGTGGCGATGCGGGCGCCGTGGATGGGAGGGTTCGAGTACATGGGGCGGATGAGGATCTTGAGCTGCGACTCGATTCGCTTCTTCTCGGCAGCATCAGCACAGACGAGGGAGAAGGCACCCACGCGCTCGCCATAGAGACCCTACGTCACGCAAAGCAGAAGAGAGAGACAGAGCGAGTCAGCACAAGACGATGTTGGCGGACGTCTTGGGTTGGCCAGACTCACCATGTTCTTGGCAAACGACTGACAGAGGGCAACTTGGTGGCCCTGCGCAACGAAGTGGCGGACAGCAAAGGCGTCCTTGTCGGTATCGCCGCTGGCGAAGCCCTGGTAGGCCATGTCGAAGAAAGCAAAGTGACCCTGCTTCTTGACGAGGCGCGAGATTTCCTTCCACTGCTCGGGGGTGGGGTCGACGCCCGTGGGGTTGTGAGCACAGGCGTGGAAGAGGAAGACGCTGCCTTGAGGGGCGGCCTCGATGTCAGCTATCATGCCCTCGAAGTCGAGGCCGATGGTGTTCTTGTCGTAGTAGCGGTACTGCTGGACGGCGAGGCCGGCGTCGGTGAAGACGGCTTTGTGGTTGGCCCATGAGGGCGAGGGAATGTAAATCTTCTTGTCGCCCGGGTAGAAGCGCTCGAGGAAAGCGGCGCCAATGCGCAGGGCACCAGTACCGGAGATGGACTGAGTGATGGCGACACGGTCGAGGGCCGGCGAGTCGGCGGCGTAGGCGAGCTTTGCGGCGAGGGCAGGGAACTCTGCGACACCGGTAATGCCGGCGTACTCCTTGTTTGGCTTGGCGTCGACGACCTGGCGCTCGGCCTGGCGGACAGAGGGCAGGACAAAAGGCTTGCCCTGGTCGTCGCGGTAAGCACCGACGCCTGGAGGAAAGCTGCGTCAGCGACAGAGGCTCTGGCGGTGGTGAAGCGTACCGAGGTTGATTTTGCGGTCGAACTTGTCGGCCTTGAAGGCCTCGGTGATGCCTGGGAGGAGAAACGACGTCAGCAGTCGAGTTGGAGGACATGGCATCGGGGCAGATGGGGCGTACCGAGGATGGCCTGCAATGGAGAGCGGCCGATATCAGCACACAGGAAAGCAAGCCATTGAGAGGCAAAGACCAAGACTCACGTCCTAGGCAAGGTCAGCAGTCAGATGCTTACTGGCCACTCGGGGGTCGCTGCGACGTACGGGAGGGCCTTGGGGCACGGAGCTCCAGGTCGAGGCAGCACGGGTGGCAGCGGCAGTGAAGACGAGGGGGCGCGCGGCGGCTTGCCTGCCCGCGATTCGGAGCGTCGACAACATGGTGGCAAGGATTTGGGGGGGGGGATAGAAAGGTGTAGAGGAAAGCGTCAGGCTTTGTGTGATGAAAAAGGAGAGGGAGGAGGAAAAAAAGGGCAGAGATGACACTCGCTGGGTATTATGTGAGAGCTAGAGCTGGCTGGTGGTAGGCAAGCAAGAGCGACGTTTTCCACGTGGTAGCGAATACAGTTTTACCCCAGCAAGGTATCCGTATTGTAGCTCCTCGGCGAGGTACCTTCAAGTACAGTACTCGGCAAGGGAAGAGTTGATGGCCTTGGCGGCGTGGTCACGCCATGATGTACAGACAATTTATTCAAACGCCATGTCTCTCTCCAGATACTGCACAACGGACGGTTTGGACGATGATGGCTCGCGGCATCAAAGCACAGTTGATGCTAACAGAGATGCAGGTAGTTTGTGGGTATGCGCCCAAGGTACCTACTTGTCCAGGTAGGTACAGTACCTAGGTAGGTAGGTACCGTAGGTAATTACCTGCAAAACGTGCTCTATATATATAGGTAGGTATACTATATATATAGGCGGGTGCGGGCATTTAAGCGGTACCGCTACTTACTGGGCGCGGCCGCTATGAGTAGGCTGGGCGGGCTGGTGTTGGTATATATCTTAAGAATGGGGCGAGTATGCAAACAGCAATATAGTAGTATGCAAATAGCAATACTTATATATATATATAGTTATACCCGCGGACTCCCCTTTTCAGGCAAGATAGCGCAATCTATACCCTCTTTTCTCAATGCGAAGACCTCATAACTAGTGATAAGTTCTTATAGTACCAGAGTTGGTGGGAAGACTCTGGGAGTAGGTGGAGCTGGTGGGATGGCCCTCGGAGTGGGTGTAGCCGCCAGAGCCGCCAGAGCCGCCAGAGCCATGGGAGCCATGGGAGCCGCCAGAACCATGGGAGCCGCCCGAGCCACCGGAGCCGCCAGAGCCACCAGAGCCGCCGGAGCCACCAGAGCCGTGGGAGCCGCCGGAGCCCGCAATGCCACCGTAGCCGCCGGAGCCGCCGGAGCCATCAGAGCCATAGCCGTTAGGACGGCTGCCAGAGCCAGTATCGGTAGTATGATGTGGGGCAGTGTGCGAATTAGTAGGCCTCTCAGGACAATACTTGACGCCGTCAGGGCTGACATGAGGGCCAGAGCCGCCGTGACGGCCACCAGGGCCGGGGGGGCGAGGAACACAAGTGGGCTCTGTCGGTCGACTGGTGGGCCGGCAAGGAACGACGCAGCGGCCCTTGGCCTGCAGGTGTTGCAGCATGTCGGTGAAGAGAGCCTTGGCCGGGGCGAGGTTCTGCGACCCGGCCTCGGTGCTGTTGGCCAGGGACATGCCTTGGCCGGCGGCGGCGAGGCCGGCCAGGGTCGTGTCGCGGCGGGCAAAGCCGGAGCAGAGGGGCTTGCAGACACCGTGACCCTTGCCGCGACCCTTGCCGCGACCCTTGCCTTCGCCTTCGTCGTTGCCCTCACCTTCACCCCCATCGTCGCCCCCATCGCCGCTCCCATCGCCGCCCTCACCGCCACCTCCGCCTTGGTGACCTCCCTTGCCGCCACCAAAGAGCTCGTGGAGCTTATCAATGATGGGCCCAATGGTTGTGCCGTCGCGCGTGACGAGACGGTTCTGGTGAGGGGCCTTGACGTTGTCCTTGACGTAGTTGAGCAGCTCCGCCATCTGCCCTTCACTGACCATGTCGAGATCGAAGCGGGAAGCGGTCCTCTCGACGTCGTCAAAGTCGATGTCGCAGCACTTGCAGCAGCCGCTCGGGGTTCGGTCTACGCCGCCGCCGCCGCCGCCGCCTCGACCTCGACCCCCCCCACCTCTGCCGCCGCCGCCACCACCGCCTCCCTTATTGCCTCCACCGAAGAGATCACGGAACTTGTCAATGATTGGTCCAATGGTATCGGCGTCTCGAGCCTTGAGGCTTTGGGGCTGGTTGGTAGACGCCTCGTCGTTGGCGAAGAAGCCGCCAAAGGTCCTCTTGACAAGCTCAACGAGCGGGCCCATTTGCTGGCCATCTCGCTTGTTGAGGACGTTGTTCTTGTAACCGTCCATCAAGACGTCGAAGTCGTTGCTGCGTCGCTGCTTGTTGCTCGACGTCGGGCAACAGCAGCTGCAGGAGCCAGCGCCGCCGCCACCTCCGCCTCCGCCTCCTCCGCCATCCTCTTCGTCCTCACCGTAACCGCCACCGTCACCCTCATCTTCGCCGCCGCCTCCGCCGCCGCCTCTTCCTTTCTTGCCGCCGAATAAGAGATCGTGAAACTTGTCGATGATGGGTCCGATGGTGTCGGCGTCTCGGGCCTCGAGATTCCGAGCCTGGTCGCTAGACGGCTCCGACCTCGAAGGAGCGGCGGATCCGGTGCCCGCCAGGCTCACGGCCACGGCAAGGACGCTGAGCTTCATCTCTTTGAGCAGGAGCTCCAAGGGACAAGGCAGGTATTAAGCAACGGAAACAGAACTTTCCTTGCCAATGTGCAGTTCGGATTCTTTGTCGGGGGACTCACAGGCTCCCTTTATACCCGTCGATTCTCTGATCCTGACCTCATAGTGAAAAGCCCCCTGATGGTGTGCGTCGTCTCATGCCAATATGCCCCCTGCAACCGCCTCCCGCCTTTTCCGCCCGTGAGAGTGTGCATCCCGCTGGGGACAGGATCGCCTGCTGACTGAGGAATCAAACCGGTGAGCAACGGTGCCAGTCCATTCCAGATATGCGGTTGACAGAGCCGGGATCAAACAGAAGCCATGCCTTCCTTGAGTGGGAAGATATGTGTTTGACTCTTGTTCGACCAATAGGAGACCCGCATGTCTCAGGGGCCAGGGGATGCTGCATACCTCTTGTGCTCCGACCTCGAGGCAGCATGGATAGTATGCTGCGATCAATGTGCGTCTTTTCTGGAGTCGATTGCGCGGCCATGAACGAATGGCTCCGGGAGACGGGGGTTGGCCACCCCCTTTTCGCTGGCTGGCTGGCTAGCGGTTTGTGCGCTGGCAAATCGGCGCTTGGGGGTTTCCGTTCCATGGTGGCTGGCAATTCCTTGGACAAAAGTGACGACTTCGAAGAGGCGGAAAGTCTCCCTCCAGGTGACTGATCTTTCCCTCCGCAAGCCTTTGCTGCAAGTCCATCGAGCATGATAGCCAGTCTGCAGCTGGTGACGGCCTCTCCGGGATATTCGTCCTTTCCAACCCCCACCCTGTCTTCGATATTGCCCGTCCGACCTCCCTGAACTCTTTACTTGTCTCTTTCTTTGTTCTCCCTCTCGTCTCAATGCTCCTCAGAGCACCGTCGGCATGTTCGTTGCCCCTTCAGAAGGAAAGGAGATCGATTGCGACCACGACGTTTTTCTGCGGCTTGGCTAACGGCGATGCGTGTTCTTTAGCTTCCATTCCATGACCAAAGATGGCCTAGAGTCTTGAGGTTTCAGCGCCGCTCCCTGTCCTCCCATCCATCCGAAGACTGGCTGCATTTCGTGGCAAGAGGCATTCTCCTCCGCCGGGCTCGTCTAGCCATCCCCCAAAAAAGCGACGTCAAGGGCAACAGTATGACTTGTCGGTAATGGACAAGGCCAGAGTTGCACACGAATGACGCGGACATTAGGCCTGGTGAAGGCTGAGACAGGTGCCTGAGACCGTTGCTAGGCCGTTTGACCCTGAGGTTGATCTCAACTGGTGTGACGTCCTGCGAGGTCGACGAATCGTTGCCCCAGCTTTGCCCCAGCTTTGCTCGTGTCTCATCTGCTCATGATACTTCGAACGGTAGCACACTGTTTCTTTGCATCATAGTTTCTTGCTGCGTGAATCTCTGCTAGCCTCTTTCCATTGTGGTCCCACGTCTTCATGACGTGTGCGTATGACAAGACACGATGAAGCTCCGGGAGGGCGTCGAGTTGCCGCGACGGCTTCACTTGCGGGCCGGTTGCGGCAAACCCGTCAAGACGCCAGCCACGCCCTGCTCAAAGTCACTCAAAGAACTGGTTTGCCGGCATCCAAGCTCATCAGCCCAGTGGCGAACCCAAAGAGGGACACCTCGAGGTGATAGCCCACCGAGGGCGGGAGGGATTTGAATCCTGCAATCCCGCGCGCACGTGTGCAAACACCTCGAGCGTGGCACGGATCTGCACCGCCTCGTGTAAGCTAGTACTCGCCCAAGGCATCATCAGTACGAAATAGTGCGCCTGGTTCACCTTGTTCCTGGCTGACTGTAGGCCTGCCGTAGGACGGCTGGCATTCACCAAACCCTCAGAACCTCGTCTAAGATAGAGTAAGTTTAGAAGCCGCTCGCACTGACCCGCACACGGCCACGGCCGCCAGGAATTCTCCTTAAGTATAGCTGTCAGCGCCTCGAGACATGAACGACCTAGGGGATACGCGCATCACACTGCCGCGGGGGCAGGACGGGCAGGTCTGCACCATCAATATGTGGGATCGTCTCGTACGCCAATCCCCAAAGGAACCATCACTGCGGAGGGGGTAAACGACCCGTTGCCGAGAGGCTATGTCTGTGCAAAGTTGTCTTGGTTATACATTATGTACGTGGTCCGTAAACGTCGTCAAATCCTCCCCTTGATGGGAGTCGCGGCCTCATCATGCCTTGTCGGCTGGCGCCTTGTTGTCGACAATGACTTCGTACCGGTCCATCACCTGTTCCTCTACCGTCTCGTGGAAAACATCCACGTCTGTCGTGGAAAACTTCCTGGCACTCACGCGCTTCTCGAAAAGCACATCCAACTCTGCAAAGGTGCGGCCTCTTGGCTCCGGCAGGCGAAAGTATGTGTAGATGATGCACAAGAAGCATATGCCCGCCTAGCAAGTTGGAGTTAGCATGTCAGGAATGTCCGTTACCAAAGGAAAGCGGTAAACCGAGTTTTGAACAATCGAAGGGGAGGGTGCGGTCGAGTTGCTTACCCAGAAGAAGCCGGTAAAGTTGCTCCAATTCCACGCACTTGGATTCAGCATATATGGCGTCAAGACGCCGGTTATGATGCCCACGATGTTGCTATAAGTTCCTGTCAGCTGGCTTGGAGGCACGCAGCGCAAGAAAAAGGGAGGCAGCTTGCCAAACGCACTAGAGGTTCCGGCCCAGCACCACTGTCTTGATCTGCAGCCGCCGCGAGGACAGCTCGCTGACGAGCGAGTAACACACGGTGCCGACGGTGAGCTGATAAATCAGGGCCCAGACAATCATGATGCTCCCCGTGGCCAGCGACGCCTCCGTGCGGTGCGCCTCGGGGACGAGGCCGAGGAACCCCAGGACGAGGAGCATGGCACACAGCCCGCACAGCCCGTACAGATAGAGGGACCTGCGGCCGATGCCCAGCGTCATGAGACCCCACGCACCAAACACGCCCACCATGTTGATTGCATACTGGCCCAGAGCAAACGAGTACGACGTTTTCTCCGGTAGACCGGCCTGCTTAAGGAAGTAAGTCGAGTAGTTGGAGAAGGAGTTGCCGCTCAGGTTCTGGATGGCCCAGGTCATGCACACAACCTCGGTCCGGCGCAAGTCGACGCCCTTGAAGCAGTCCCAGTAGGTGGCGCCAGTGGTCATCTTTTCCTCGAGCGCTGTCGTGTGGACCATCATGGCCACCGTCTCATCGGCGTCAAAGTCGGTCTCGCGGTCGAGGCTGGTCAGGCGCAACAGGGACGACTTGGCCTCCTGAGTCCTGCCTCGACGGACCAACCACCAGGGGGACTCAGGCGCGAACCAGATGCCGATGAAGAGTGGCGCGGGCCACATCCACTGGAGGGCGTAGGGGATGCGAAACCCCCATTCGTCGTCGCGACTCAGCATGGCGCGGATGACGCCAATGCCAATCTCCTGGCCGAGGCCCCAGCAAAAGTTGACATAGGTGGTGAGGTAGCCGCGCAGGGCGACGGGACAGACTTCGGAGGCGTACGTGACGGTGAGGGTCTGGAAGATGCCCCAGGGGATGCCGCACAGGATCTCGGCGACGAGGAGGGTCTGGACATTGGCGGCGGTGAAGAAGATGGCGGTGAAGGCGGCGACGAGGACGAGGCAGGTCAAGACGGTATACCGATAGCCGAAGCGCTCCGAGACGAAACCATTGATGAAGAGGCCTATGATTTCTCCGACTTGGGCGCCCTGTAAACGGGGGGGTGCGCAGGGAGCATCGTTAGCAATCTTGGCACGCGGCGCGGCTTTCGCTTGGCCATCGCCGGCGGCTCAAGACCAGAGGAGACGAGGCGCAAACGGGCTACTGACATTGCTTAGGCCTGCTTGCCAGGAAGCAGGGACTTCGTAGGAACCATTTGGCAGTTGTACGCCATATTTGCGCGTGAATTGGGGAAAGGCGTCTGTTTGCGGGTCAGCCGAGGTCCACTGAAAGAGGCCGAATCCGACGGCGTTTCGCGGGGGGAGGGGGGGGGCATTTGGAGAAAAGGCGACGCACAGAAGTTGTTGACAAGACTTATGTCATATCCCTCCATGACGATGCAGGTGGAGATGAGGAGACTCCAGGCGACAGCCTTGGGGTAGAGCTTGAGGCCCTGCAGGAGCGTCATGGACTGCTCCTTGGAGGCGGCGGAGCGGGCATTCTCGATGACGGTGCGGCGCACCTTGGACGAGTCGGGGGCATCTTCGTCTCGGGGCGCGGGCGGCCTCGAGGGCTCGTCGCCTGCGGAGGCCATCGGGGCTTGTGGTGGTCGGACGAGGTCGCGCGTGCCCTGGCCGAATGCTGATGCCTGGACTTTTGGCGTCCGGGGCGCCGGAAGCGGTGAGATAGTAAACGGTCGGCCGGGAGGGCACGGCGGCAGTGGCACCGGTCGGGTCGGTGACACAAGGAGTGAAAGCAGCCCATCCGAGGAAGAAAGAGGGGGAGGGAAAGAGACTGCATGCAGCGTCGCATATGGTGGAACGAGCCGAGGCTTGTGCGCTCCCTATGTTTCCATTTTCTCTTTCTTGCGCGGGCTGTCTGTTTTTCTTCCCCCGCACGCACGCGTGGAATTGATGACGAGTCGACTCTCCCGAGGCCGAGAGAGAGAGAGAGAGAGATAAAGAGGGAGAGAGAGGGAGAGAGAGTCGAATTCGGAGTCGGAGGAGAGGGGAGGGCGGTAGAGAAGGAGGAGGAGGGGGAAGATCAAAATGCACGTACGTCTGGGCAGTCAACGAACCAGAGCCATGGCAGACGGAAGAGCCCCGTCGCCTCTGTCAGCCTCGGGTGGATAGAAAAATTGGATAACCGGGTATTACTAGATAAGAAACATGGGTCGCCCACTAGCAGCGCTGTACAGTAGATTTCACGATGTGGGGGGCCATTGACACAAACAAAGACCACGTTTTGTTTATTTTACTTTTCTTTCAGTGTTTCATGGCCATTCCGGACCGACATCGTGGCGATAGACTTTGTGGCAGAGAGCACGTGGATACATCCATCGCCCCTGAAGCCAAGATGGTAATACATCGCCGGAAGAGCAAGCGAGTCGTGCAGGATGCAATCCCCGAGTCTCCGCCCCCATGCTCCCGAACCTACTGTACTTGCTTGCCAGCTTGCCGAGGCTGTTTGACAAGCAATAAACCGGGGCGCATGTGGTACTGGCATCTGCGTGCCACAGCATCGTCGTGTAACCGTCGCCTCACCCTCGCCATCTCCGCTTCCAAAAGTCAGCCCACCACTCCCGGAACCCGTACGCCTTGTCCTCGGCCTCGAGGTGGACATTGACCGAGTTCCTATGCCCCAAGTGGCCCATGATTCCTCTGCCCTCCCGCGCGGCCGCTGCCCCGGGCCGTGGAGCCATCGCTCTCCCTGTCGCTCTCTGCCTGATCTCGCCTGCCAGCAAGGGCGCCACGTCGGCAAAACACGCCGCCAGCTCCCTCTGCAGTGAAAAGTACGGCTTCCTAGCCAACTCCGGCGCCATGAGGTTGTAACTTCTCGTGATGTTGTTGAGATTTTCAATCGACAGCTTCATGTAGGCGCTCTCCGTCTGCTCCCAGTCCGCATCCCGGAAGGGGGGCGGCGACGCGCCCCCGGGCTGGGCCTGCTGTGTCTCAGCCGGCCCATGTGTTTTCTGCCGCAGCTTAACCGTGACGGCGTGATCCGTGCTGTTGGTCGGCACCGCCGTGTGCTCCGCGCCTCGCTGTCGCGGGTTGTGCATGCGCTCTGCCGCGGCGTACTCGTCGGCTCTCTTCATCTGCTCCTGCAGCGAACCCCCCGAGGCTGCAATCATCCTCGCCGCGTGGCGCTTCCAGTCGTTGCGCAGCCGTTGGCGAAAGACTCTGGAGGCCTTGACCAGCTCTTGTTGCTTTTCGATCCACGGTGGCACAATGTCTTGGCGTTGAATCATCTTGTTCAGGATGTACTCGGTTGTGTCGATAAAGGGATTGTCTACTCGCGGATCCCTCTCCACGCCCTTGCCGCGAGGTAGGTCCTTGAACTGGCCCCTAGCAATGGCGTTTTCGATGCGCTCATTCGCCAGGGCCGCCAGTCCCGACACGGAGACGCGTATGGACCGCGCGCCCGGCTGGAATCTCTCACGGAACTCCCTCTTGAGCTCGTCCCGCTCCTCATCGCTCAAGCCCTTGGAGCCTTTGATGCCCATGCTGGCATACATGGAGGCCTGGTCTCGTGCGCTCACGGCTCGTTGTCCGGGGCTCTGGGCCGGACCCCGCTTCAGGCGCATGTCGACGGGGGGCGGCTGATACTTGCCGCGGGCGCCGGGCTTTAATGGCTTGTGGGCATCGTCGAGCATCCTGAGGACGGAGTCTTCGGTCGTCTCGGATCCCGTCCAAGGTTGCGCGGCCGCCGTGTGCCTCGTGCCTTGGCCGGCCGCGGGGGGAAGGCCGGCATCAGCGTTCTGGCCCTTGAACTGGGCATCGGCGATCTTTTCCAGGAGCTTCTTCTTCAGCTCGTCCGAGAAGCCGGCGTCCTCTACAGCGCGTCTGCCGGAAGCTCCTCCGCTCAGGAGGGCGTCCTCGGTGGCTTCCTCGAGGCGCCGCGCCATTGGGCCAGGCTCCGGAGCCGGCATCTGCGGGGCTTCATGCTGGCTGGCAGTATTTTCCTCCTCAATGCCCTGCTCGTTGGTGTTTTGACTTGAAGCTTTGCCTGCTCGAGAGGATAGGCTCGCCGAGGCTGCGCGCTTCACGCGGGTACTTGCCCTTGCGCAGGTGCGGCAGGCGAAGGTTGTCCAGCTGAGCGTGGAAGCCATTGCTACGCTGCCGCTAGTGCCGGGAATTTGTAGCAAGCCGCGCGTGCGGGCTGACTTGTTCGAGTCGCGGAAAAGAATGGCTCGACCATGATGCCGTTGTCAAAACTGGGAGTTCTGTGAGGCAAGAATGGCACGAGGTGGCGAGCAGCGTGATTAGTCAGCCTATTGTATGGACTGCCGGAAAAAGCCTCAAATTTACCCTCCGCCGAGGGCTCGGGTCTTGATACAGTTGGGTGTCCAAAATATCCATCAATCGCTTCCAAGCGGACGAAAAGAAGGATCAAACATTGGAAATCTCTCACGCACGCCCCCCAGCCGGAACAAGGACGCCTCCGCGGAAACACCCCTTATTGATGTGCAGTATCATGCACGTACTCTTAGTTTATCATCGCTTATCTGCGGTTCTTGCAACTTCTGTTCCGCTGTCGCACCACTGTGCCAAGTCAGGTAGGGTGATTAAGTTACTATCTACTGTACTTTGGACCCCATACCCCACGCAAACAAGCAGCCCTTCCCCAGATTCCCCGCACTTGCGACCCCGAAACCTCAGACAAGCTGCTGTGGAGGCCCGATGGAAACACGCCAACTTGTCATGCATCAGCCGACCTCGACTGTCCCCGGCTCCTGTATTTTGCACTCGGTGTCGAGACCCAAGCATCCGGGCCACTCCCAAGCTCACACGCTCTCAGGTCTCTCCAATATGACGCGGCAAGGTGGCGTGCGCTTCCAGGCGCAACAAGGGCTCCGTTCTTGGGGTCCGGCCATCAACAACAGGGCGCGCGCAGACGACCAGGACCCACTGGTGATGGCGACAGGGCGTAGATGACATGGACTCCTCGCCAACCACCCCCCCCTCCCTCTTTCTCTTAGTAAATATATATATATGTATATCATGTCTCTCTCGGCGAAACCGGCGTCTGGTAAAATAATCGTCGTCAATCAATCTCTCGTTTCGCATCACAGTGATCTGAAGTGATAGACACCGACATCAGGTACGCTCAAGTCATGACACAAACACGTGGTGGGACAGCCCGTCGCCTGCAACCACCTTGCCTCTCCACTTCGCCAAAACGTAAATCATTCATTGCTTTCTGTCCCCGTTGGTATCTAAAAAGCTAATGGTGTACAGCAGAAAAGAGGACGGCCAGGCTGGGCGTCGCTCAAGTGTGGTGCGGTTTGAGCCTGCTTCAAACCAGTCGCAATCCTCTCAGCCCCCGCCTACATTATGAGGTTGAGCAGCCGTCTCCACGCGGGCCATGACGCTACCTGTCCCCGGTAGGCGTGGATCGCGTCCCAGTCGAGCTCACGCCGGCCCGTATCCACGTCCATCTGAGCCGTCCGGATCCAGCCTTCGCGCTTCCAGAGATAGCCGCCGGCCCAGAAGAAGAGCACGACCGGCGCTGCCAGATACGACTTAAAAAAGCCCTCGGCGGTGCCCATGCCCGACTTGCCCGGGGGAGCCACAATGGCGGTGTAGAACTGAGCAACACAGCGTTAGTCCACAGCCCAGACATTCATCGAGCTCCAGGCCGGAAAGAAAAAGGGCCGACAGAGGGCAGCGAGAAATGACTAACCTGTGCGGCCAAGACGAGGAAGCAGAGACCCAGGCCGAGCCACGAGCCGTAGACGCCGCCAGCGGCCTTGAAGGGAATCTCGTCGAGGGTGTGGCCATGAAATCTCCAAGCCTTGCGGAATCGGATGTGGGCCAGGCAGATGGAGCCCCAGGTAAAGAGGGCGGCCAGACCCGACAGCGCCTGCAGCCAGTCGAAGACGACGGGGCCCTTGGCGTCGAGGTTGATAAAGGCCAGCAGACCAAATATGATGATGAAGATGACGGACGGCAGAGGCCGACCGGACTTATCAATGTAGGTGAAGAGCTTGGGGGCGTAACCTTGCTGAGCAAGGGCTGTGAGGGTGCGTGAGCCGCCGTAGACGCCCGAGACGCCAATGGACAAGACGGAGACGAGAATGACAAGGTTCATGAAGTGATCGAAGCCGCGGAGGTTCGCGTACTTGCCCACCAGGACAAAGGGCGAGGCCTTGACGTCGGCGTAGGCGTTGTCGGTAAGCAGAGCGGGATCGTTGGAGTCGACGAGCAGGCCGACAAAGAAAAGGCCAAGGATGTAAAAGAGGGTGATTCGCCAAAAGACCTGCTTGATGGCGCCCGGTAGCGACTTGGCAGGGTTCTTGGATTCGGCGGCAGCCAGACCCACCAGCTCGGTCCCGGAGAAGGAGAAGGCGGCGGTGACGAAGACGGAGCAGAAGCCCTTGAAGCCGTTCTTGAAGGCACCAGGGTCGTACCAGTAGCGGGCGCCCCAGTATTGGTTATATCGGCCGCTCGAGGGCCCGCCGCCGCAGACGAGGACGAGGGAGATGATCATGAAGATGACGGTGGCGGCCAGCTTGAAGCACGACGACCAAAACTCCTCTTCGGCGTAGCCGAGGGCGCCAAAGACGTTGATGATGATGATGGCGCCCAGAAACACGGCGACCCAGACACCGACGGATATGTCCACGTTCCAGTACTGAATGGTCAAGCCGCAGACTGTCAATTCCAGTGGCAAGACGATGGCCCACTGGAAGACATAGTTCCAGCCCATGGCGAAGCCCCACGAGGGGTCAATGAAACGAGCCGAGTACGTGTAGAAGCCACCCGAGACGGGGTAGAGGACCGAGAGTTCACCGAGAGCATAGACTGGACGACGCAAACGAGGTCAGCATCAATACGACGCGTCGAGCGCATCGCGGGCGGCATTGAAGGGACGGGCGCAAACTCACCGACGTTGAACATCATGATACCGATGATGAGAAAATCAATGAAAACACTGCCAGGGCCCTGTCAAGCAGCGCGTCAGCCCACCGCAGCAAGGGTCGCACGGGGCCAGAGGACAGCACATACACCTTTGCTCAGGGCGGCGCCGGACCCGACAAAGAAGCCAGCGCCGATGGAGCCGCCAATGGCAATCATGTGCAGGTGGCGCGTCTTCATGGGACGGTCGAGCTCGGTGGTGCCGAGGCCATACTGGGCCTTTTTGAAGGACTCCAAGTTGAGGCCATTGCGGGTATACCAGTTGCCCTCACGAAAGGCGGGAGACGTGGCCTCCTTGGAGATGACCTGGCTGGTGCCCTCATAGGTGGGCAAGCCAGCGGCCTCGCCCTTTTCGGCGCCGAGGGGCTCGTCTTTGGAAGACATGTTGGGGGGTGAGGTTGCCTCTGCCTGTCTGTCGGCAACGCAAGGAACTGGATGGGGTGTTGTGGAATAGGGATGAAGATGACGATGATGGTGATGATGGTGGTGATGGTGGTGATAAAGAAGAAGCAGAGGGAGCAGCTTGTCGGGGAAAACAGGGGGGATAGAGGAGGAAAAGCAAAAGGGCCAGCCAGCAGAGCCCAGCAAAGCAGGGGGGGGGGAGGCAAGAGGGTGGGAAGCGCAGGCGGGTTGTCGGGCCTTCTTAAGCCGGGGGCCGTGGGCTTCTGGAAGGACGGCGATGGGCTGTGGCTAGGATGGCTGGCGCGACAATTTTTGCCTTGCCATGCATATGTACATACATGGGATATGCCTCGGGGGGAGGGGGGGTGTGCGTCGCGAGAGAGGAGTGAATGGGTGAGCAGCAATGTGTTGTTGCACCATGGGGCTGAGAAGAGGCACAGGTCAGTCAGTACCTTGGGTACTATCTAAGTTACAAAGGACAGCGCAAGGCGAGTCGAGCAAACAGAGGTCCCAAACCTAGGAGATGGCGTCAAAGAGGCAGAGTTGGGAGGAAGAGAGAGATGGGGAGATGGGAGAGGGGGCCCGGCAGAAGCAAGCTAAGCGAAACGAAACGACGGGGCGCGTTTGGAAGCGTTGTCAGAAGTCATGGTCTTGCGTGTGATTTTTGTCTTTGGAGTCTCTGTTGACAACGGGGCTGCGACACGATGGAGAGAGGAAGGAGAGGAGCCTCGGCTTCGCCTGTCCGTCAGATACGAACGGAGACAAAAATACCGGATAAAAGGTGCCTCGAACCCCCTCCCTCCCTCTCAGTCCGCGGCCTAGAACGCTGGGGTAGTGGCTGAATGCGGATGTACGTGCTCCCACTGAGAGGGAAAAGGCGAGACACCCGTCGACGCCGCCGGCCCCTTCTATCCACAGCAGTCCATCTGGATCCCAGTTGGGTTTCGGAGTCGATTGATTGCTTATCGTCACCGAGCGCATGTTTATCTCACCCCTTGTCTTTTCCCTCCAACACCGTCGACGCGATGGGCTTGGCTGGCTCCCCACAAGATTAGGTTGCGCCCATGCTTGCTTAGATGCTTGGCAAACTCGACATAACAGTAATTAGCGTGGGTGATGATTACGGTAAAGGGCGGTTCAGGTATTCTGTAGGTGTGCGCCGTTGGCCCTAGGGTCCAATGCAGCAAAGCACCGGTCATTGTCCATGCAGAAACGGCCACCCCCAGCACCTTGCCGTGGGGGGAGAGGCGCCTGAAGCTCACCCGCCATGCCGCCCGCCCCTCTCCAAAGAGGGGAGGCACTGCAAATACTAGTACCTGCCTACCGGTACAGCAGCCACAGGCCTTTGCGCTATAGCACCTCGGTACCTTACGATGCTTACCTACCTAGGTAGGTAGTAGGTACCTATCCTACCCAGATAAGGTAGGTGTAGTCAGGTAGTCCGTGTTAGATGCAGTAGTAATAGCCTCTCTGCCAAGCGACCAGGACACGATATCATTCTTCCATCCACATCATGTGCTCCGTTCAACAACCTTTTTTTAAGCTCCATCCATGCGCCGTTTAACTTAGATACCGGCCGTCTTGGCTTTCCCAGGGTCGCCCCAGCTCTCCAGACTCTCCCCGCTGCTCCACCAGCGGCTGCTGCTCCACCAGAGGCTTAGCCCCTCCCCCTCCACCCCCAGGGGCTTAGACCCCCCAACACCCCAACCCCAGAGTGGGCTGCCGAAATCAGCACCCCCTCCTTCTGCCAGATGGGGTTGATTGACGGCCTCTCCAGGCGCCATCGCACAAACATCAAGACGACAAACGTCTCCAATGCCCAGTCGTCGTCACCACCACCTCGGAGCGCCTGTTTCTTGTCACGCCCATTCCCACCCACCGCAAAGGCCACCAGGAACCATCAATGCAAACGAGGGAGGGGTTCCCCCGTCGGTTCCCCCGTCGGTTCCTACTCGTCGGCCTGCCATCCCAGCGAGCAGACAGACGCCCCTCAGCATGCTACAAAGGTCCCCTGCTCGTCGTCGTCGTCAGCCGCCTCTTGTCCCCGTCCCCGTCCTTTGTCGCTGATGCCCCCATTGTTTATCACTTCGCCACTGGCCGAGGGCAGATGTGCTTGTACCTGGTGAATACGCATGCGACAAAACCAACGATGGAAAACCAAAGCCCGCCCGTCATCGATCGATCGTACGGAGGAGCGTCGATGATGGCTTGCGGCCGACATGCCACCAACAACAAACACCACCAGATCGTCGTCGTCAATCCAGCCCGTATCCCCCGACATCTTCCCATGCGTGCGTGATGCCACATGCAAAACCAGACGCCAAGAGTCTGGAACTCTTCTAGCCCATGTTGCTGCTCCTGCGCCACCTGCCTCTTCCGGGCTCCTACATGACATGGTGGAGGCTTCTGTCAAGGTCTTGACATGATATTTCTCGGGCAGGGATGGATGCATCCTTTACATACATACTTGGGGATGCGTTGCAAGGCCCCTGGCCAAAGCAGCAGCCGCATGACCAACCACAAGACCAGAGGAGGCACTGATGAGGGGAACAGCCGGTTTCCCCCTCCCCAAAACGCAGCCAGCCGGCCCTCCTTGCGGATGTGTCTCCATCAAGTCCGTCCGTGCTAGCTCTGCCATCCAAGTTGGGATTGTACTGTAATTAGGAAAGTTGTAATTATGGTGCCAAGTACGCCAGCCAGTAACTTGGGTGATTTATTGTATGCAAGGGCGCTCGGTCCTCTTCCTTCGGCCCTCATCAACGCTACGACGCCCCGGCCCTCGTCAAGCCCCCGCCCCCCGACGTGGCCATTATTCCGATTCGAGCAATTGCTCGGTATGGCGCCGAGACACAACAAACTATAGACTAGAGTCGCAGAGCACAAGAGGATCTTTCTGCTGTCTTGGCGCCGCCTCATCCCCTGGACCGAGCCCTTCTCTCGCTCGCCAGGGACGGAACCATGCCGTATCTACACCGTAATCCCGACGAGACTGTCCGTCTGTATAATTAATACCTCGTACACGCTGTCCCGTCTGTCCACACCGGGAACGAACCCGCTGACTTCCCCTCTCGTCCCATTGGCTCGTTGGCTCGCCGTCGAGCCCTTGGTGGCCATCCTTGGGTTGGGAAGAGGAAAGGGGGGGCCGTGTCTTGTCGGCACACCGCCGTCCGTTCGCGATGCAACACACACACGGTGTCGTCTTCTAGAAGGCGGCTTGGCTTCCACGGCCAACCAGAGACGTCGACACTACTGCACCTCCATCTGTACAGTAGAGCAATAGAGAGGCAAGGCCTTCGGGCACCCCGAACGGCAGCCCTCTGGCGTCGTCTTGCTCGGCACCAATCCGCTGTTGGCGAGACATGGTCCCGGCTGACGATGGACATGGACGGGGAGCACGCGACTGGTCCTGTGGCACCAGGCACGGAGCAAAAGGGGCTGTGACCAGGCGGATCCATGGCAATGGCCGCAGGGCCTCTTCAAGAACTCGCATGTAGGATCCCCACGCCATCCATCCATCAGCACCCGGCTCCTCCGGCCGTGAGACCAGGCATGGAGCTCACGAGCTCCGCCGCCCATACGGCTCCAGCGGGAACAAGGCCGCCACCACGGCCGCCGCCACCATCAGCGCCGCGCACACGTACAGCGGCGCCGGCGTCGCCGTGTCGGCAAACGTCGCCACCAGCGCCGACGCGATGCCCATGACGCGGTTGCACGCCACCGCCACCCCGTTGCCCGTCGCCCGGTGCGCGCTGGGCAGCACCTCGGCCGTGTAGGCGTAGAGCGTCCCGTAGTAGACGTTGATCAGGCACGCCACCAGGCACATCATGGCCGTTTCCTCGCCCGCCGACTTGACCTGCGTGTACGCCACGAAGAAGACGCCCGTCGCCAGCGCCCCCGCCGCCATGGTCAGCCTGCGGCCCAGCAGCCTCGTGTTGCACATGAGGCCGGCAATCACCGGCCCGGGGATCCCGCACGCCGCCGTCACCGCGTAGTTGCGCCACACGTCCTGCTTGCCGCCGCCAGACTCGAGGCCTCGTCGCTTCAGGTACTCCCTGGTCGAACGGTCAGCGCAAGGAGTCTCGTGCGAAACCGAGCCCGAGAGACGCACGGCAAAAAGACGTAAAACAGCGGATAGGCGAGGCCGATGAGCGTCCATGACAGCCACAGCATCAGCGTCGACCGCGCCATGACCCGCGTGGAAAAGAGGCCGCTTAGGTGCCGCCACGCGCCCGCCAGCACGCAGCGTCGCCTGTTTCGCGCCCGGGGCCGCATGGGGCCGCACGCCTCGAGCTGGCCGAGCGTCAGGGAGCACGGGCGGCCGTACTTGAGGGCGAGAAACTGGAGCGTCTCGACGAGCTCGGCGTCGCGGCCCATGCTGAGCAGGTACTTGGGCGTCTCGCGGAGCCGGATTATCGCCATGCGTAGCAGTGAGAGCACGAAGACGAGGCCGCCGCCCGTAAAGAGCACGTATCGCCAGCCGCGGTTCTTGAAGGCCGAGCACGTTGCCGCCTCGTCGTCGCTGCAGTTCCACGGCTTCGGCACCAGAAACACCCATCCGATGAGGCCGGCCACGGCCTGACCGAGCCCCCACCAGCAGGCCAGCATCGTCAGCACCCACTGCTTGCTGCCTGGCAGGAACTCGAGGAAGACGGTCGTGTCGAGTATGAGGTTCCCGCCGCCGAAGAAGCCGAGCAGAGCGATGAGGCCCCCGAGCGCCGGCCAGCCGGTCACGGCCCCGGCCACGATGCACGAGACGGCGCACAGGAAGAGCGTCACGTTGAAGGCGTATTTGCGCCCCAGCAGGTCCGCCGTGCAGCCCCAGAAGACGGCGCCCGCGAGCATGCCGCAGTAGACGGCCACGGTGAGGGCGTGGCTGTAGCCTCGCTTTCCGAACTCCAGAAAGGCCTGGTCGGCAACGATGGCCTGGAAGAGGAGGATCATGGAGTCGACCGAGTACCTGCGACTCGTGTGAGCGAAGCCTTCACCATGCTGCGCGAGGCAAGGGGGAGACGCACCCGAATCCGTTGAGGAAAAAGAGCTTGAGATGGTAGGGGGTCCATCCAATCTCGTCGATTGCCTGGACGAGTCAGAGAGTATTCCCGACGTCAGCGCCAGACCCGGCCACAGACAGCGTGTCTCGACTCACGTCGTTGACCAGGCGCATCTTCTTGTCGAGCGCCGGGTCGACATCCCCGAGCGACAGGACGTCCTTGGCCCCGTCCTCGTCCGGCTGACCGGCGTACGACTGCCGCTTTTCGGCCGTCGCCCCCTCTGGAGCCATGTTTGCGCGCGCTCTCTCTGGTCGGACCCGGGGGTTGTCGGTCTCCTGTTTGCCCTGTCGCAGTCAAAATGGCTCCTCGATGTTTCCCCGGGGCAGCAGCAGCACTCGAGATCCGAGCCAGGACGGAGATAGAGGCGATTTTTCTGTAACAATGTACTTGTATGTGAATAACTCTTGCTTGACCGTGGCAGAACGATAGAAAACCGTAGGTAGGCGTTCGAGGAGCAAACAACCAAGCAGCGTGTCCTGCAACGGCTGTCTGTTGCGCGACCTCGGATCGAGGGAGGGAGCACAAACCTCGCGAGACACGTCAGCGGCAAAGCTCGTCGGTCCTGGCCCTTCAAACACCCGGCTCACTCCTCCTCGCCATCAATGAGGCTTCGCAGGGGAAAGGAGCGAGGCAGCACCCGACCTGCCTCCCGTCTGTGGGACAGTCGCCGCGGCTGGTAAGGAGACCTCTCGAGCAACGGCGGCCGCTGCTGCGGGTAACCAAGCCGTCTTCCCCTTCCGTCTTCCCCCTTCCGTCGAGGTCGAGTCCAGCCGCTGATCAACAGGCGGCAGGGAAGCGGCGCCGAGTAAGGAGAGGTCTCGCGCAGGCATGCTTGCAGTCTGTACGACGACTCGACGTCTTGGCGCAGCACAAGCTGCGTTGCCACCATTCCATACTGTACCTTATGTTTGCTGCTTACAGAATACCTAGGGAGGTGTCATGGCCCTTCTCGAGGCCCTTCATCCGCTGTCCAACCGTGACACATGACCAACCTCCGAGCAAACCAAACCTGACATTATGTATGCATTCCACCTCTTCCTCCTTTTCCTTGCAGTAGTCATCAGCCTGGGCTGCGCCGAGCCCCGTGACTCGACTTGCTCACGCGCATGCTTCGTAGATACCGGCCATTGCCTCATGCTATCAAGCTGTGGTCGCTTCACTCTTGGGTGAAGGACGCGCATCAACGGCCGTGTCCGTGGTTTTTACTTTTCGTGGCCCGTCTCCCGACAAAACGCCTTGCTTTGATTTTTGCCACCACGCGGTTCCACCAATCTTTGAATAAACCTATGGCCCCGAAACAAGACAAAAAGATGACAGGCCGACCAGGCGAGGAGGGGAATGGAAGCACGCGGACGGAAAGAAAAGCTTCTTTCATCGAGGCCCAATTGAACCGTCCTTGTCGGCGGTCCCTCAGATCCGGCCACCCTCGACAACCTCGCGCTCCAATATTTCCACTTCTCCTGATTCGCCCGTTCGTCGCCTCTCCATGATCCATCGCGTTTCGCCGCGGTCTTCTTCCTTGAGGTACGACACGCTGTCGGCCGAGCTGTTATGCCGATGATGACCCCTTCCTGCGCGACGTAGAGCCTCGTTCGTGCCGGCTCCTTCTAGGGCCCCTACCACGCCTGACGAGCTACTTCTCGACCCCGCTGATAGGCAATTCTCGTTTGGCTCCTTCGCCGGAAGCCCACCCGCCTGTGCGCGCTGCTCTCTCGGGGACGTGGCCGAGGATTGTGGCAGCTTCGAGCCCGAGAAGAAGGCAGACTGCTCCGCCGGACTCGCTCGTGCCGGACAGGGAGACGAGAGCGTTGGCAGCGCCATTGTCAACGTGGGGCTCCCCGACGCACTTAGTCCCTCCGAGTCACGGCTGGTAGTGGAGAGGAACGAGTTTTTGCGCCCGTGACCACTGCTCGAACGGGCCAGCGGGCCGGGGATGTTGAGGTTCCACGGAGAGCCGGTCACGTCTCCGCGTTCCGATAGAGGTGACCCCTCCTTGCTCGAAGCCAGGCTAGCCTGTGAGCCGCCCCAGGCCCTGGAGCGCAGTCGGAGGAGCGCAGAAAGAGTCATGTGCTCGTCGCCGCGATCGGCCATCATAGCTAGCTGCGCGAGGCCGGGACTCTGGATGATCGGTGTCGACGAGCTCAGAGGCGGGAAGCCGAGGCTCATGAGGGAGTTGCGGTTCGAGTACTCGGACCGCTCCGTTATCGGGGTGAGGTTTGGCTCTCTCGAGATCATGCGGCCGCTGCTGCTACGGTCCAGCCCACTCATCCCCTTTGGACCAAAGAAGCCCCCGTTGGCGTACTCGTAGTCGGAGCCCTTTGACGAGCTGCCGGCACTATGGGGGGTGAGGTATTGAGTGAGCGGATTGGAGTAGAATCCAAACTCTTGACCGTACCATTCATCCGAGTCGTTAGCCAAGGCACTCGCGTTTGCCTCTGCGATGATGGCGTCGTCGTCCAAGTCAAAGTCATTCATATCGTCATATGTCAGCCCGAAATCGTCGCAATCATTGGGCTCCATCAGATGCGCCGAGTCGTCCAAGTGGCTCTGCGGTTCGTCGTCTTCTTGTTGTGGCGACGAGCCCCATTGAAACTTGCCCGAGACCGCGGCTTGGTGGGCGGCAGCAGCGAGCGCCGCTTGGTACGCCGCCACGGACTCAACCTCGACGTCGGCGTGTGCATGGGCGGCATCGTCAGCCTTGGGCAGGGGTTTGTCGGCGACCTCGCCGTCCTTTTGAGTCTCCACGCAAGGGGACGTATGGGCCGTGGACCGTGACGTGCCCGAGTGTGCGGAAAACCGTGAGGTTATGTCAGACTCGCGCTTGACCGCCGAGTCTTGGGCTGCAGCACGCCGCAGCTCCTGAGCTTGAGCGAAGGCTCCGGGCACGGGTCGTCCAAACCGGTCGGTGTCGTTGTTATCAAATATGGACTCGTCAAAGGGTGCTGTGTCGTATTCAGGCTCCATGGCGAGGTCTTCGGCGAATTCCCCACGCGGGTCTATCAGACCATCGTCGAAGTATAAATCGTCCTCTTGCTTGGGCTCGAAAGCCTCAGTAGGGGCTCGAATCCCCAGTCCGGAGACATCACTGCTGAGGGCGTAGTTCAAGGACATTGGTTGGGACTCCGGTGACCCGGGAATGTCGACGGAGCTGGGCGTGTCCTGGGTCATCGCAAAGCCAATGACTTTGCCGCTGGCATCTCTTGGGGTGGCCGCGATGCCCATGCATTGCGGGCTTGCCAAGGCCGAGGTTGGATTGGATCGTTGAAAGACAAAGCCGGCAAAGTTCTCTTGGTCATTGTCGGGATCGAGGCCGTCTTCGAACGCGCCCTCGAAAGTGCCCTCATCTTCCTCGAGGTCGGCGTTAACGCCCGGTATCCTTTCTTCCAGCCCGTCGTCATCCATCATGGCATCATAGTCGAAAGAATCGTCGTCAAAATCGTCGAACCTCGAATCCCTAACGATTTCAGCACCTGTGGATTTTCTCTCCAACTCGCGCTTGCGATGCCTCTCTTCGAGCAACTTCTCTTGCTTGGCTGCGCCAATCATGTCGAAACTGAATCTCGAGGACGTGCTTTTCATGTGCTTGGGCAGCGCCGACATTTCGGACAAGGATATATTGCCAGAACGTGTAGTCCGCGTGGATAAGTGCGTCCGTCGCGGCTCACGTGCATCACCCTCTGGAACCTTTGTGAGAGATGCCGAGGATGATGTCTGCGAAAGTAAGGCAACACCATCCATGAGCGGCACCTGGCATGTAGATTTATCCTCGACGAGGGTCAACGCTTGATCAATGAAGCATGTTTTGGTCTTGGCAGACGAGACACTTGGGGAGGGATTGACAAGTTGTGACTCTGCGCCAAGGGATTCCGAATGTGCTGGATCCGAGGTATGGCTTGAGTTGGTGACTTGGTGAGTGCCCGGTCCCGCAACACCCTTGACACCATCGGGCGAGCAGACGCGCTCGTCTGCTTCGGACCGAGGAGCTGTGCTAGCACGGTTCGAAGTGTGGTGTTTGCGCCTGGGGGCGCTGAAATCGTGAACCCGAGTGCCTCTAATACGCGGGTCATAGACGGGCTCTTCTTTGGGGCTTGTCAATGGCAGGGGGCGGAGATCTGGGACATTTTGATTGTTCTTTCGCCTCATAAGGAGGGTCGACATGGGATTCTTGAGAAAGGGCAGGCTTTTCCTGCTCCTCGGCGGCTCCGCGGTGCCCGGGTTTGAGGCGGGAAGCGACGCATCGCTGGGAAGGCGGGTTCCCGGCGGCCTTCGACACGTGGCCGCCGTGGCGGAGATGTGCAGCTCTGTAGGCGTGCTGAATGAGGTGGTCTGTTTGACTATCGTCCTCGGCTGCATCCCGGTGTCGGCGGGAGCCGTGTTAAGACGCCGGCGCCAGGACGCGTCTTCCGGAGAGCCGGCGGCAGGGTCTCCCGAGCGAGGTGAGACACCCACCAACTGCGCCGCCACATCGCGACGATAGTTTCGCAAGGCGACGCCGCCAAGGAAGCCTGTTTCGCCACTGCTGGGTATCCGCGATCGGGCGTCGGGAGGGGACATGCCATACGCGTCTCCGAGGCCCGGGTCTTGCAAGTCGGCATCAGCTGATGTCACGCGTGTGATGGGCGGCAAGGTCGGAGGCAAGGCGGATGTGCTCGATGCCGACAGCGGCAGGGCATCAAACGGAGAAGCCGGGTCGGGACCCGGGGTAGACTCGTAGCCGGCGAGAGGCGACCAAGGCTGTTGGTGATCGGTCGTCGGGGACGCGGGATTGGATGCGCCGCGCCGGTGAAAGCGCAAGTGGGAGAGCATCCTCGGACGTCGGGCGTGGCGGGTGTGATGTCGGGGAGGGAAATCAGCAGAGAAGGCGCTCCTCGGCAGGCCCGGCGCGTCGGACTCGGCAGAGGGCGATTTGGAGCTGAGAAGGCGATGAGAAGGGCCGATCATGCCTGGAGGCGCGATATCACGACGGCATTGTCGAGGCAGACAAGGGCGCGTGGGGTGAGGGGAAGACGATTGGCGAGAGGAGAGAAGGCTGAGGTATCGCACAGGCGCGGCGCAATGGTCCCTGTGGCCGTATGTATTCGTCGACGCGGTTTGTGTGGCGTCGGAGGGCCGGGAGACGGGTGAAGATGGTCTTGTCTAGAGAGATGGAAAGCATTGGATGAAAAGCATTGGATGGAGGAGGTGACATTGATCCCACGACGACCAGACAGTGCGACCCAGCTTACCCTTGATGCATGCACTTGCAGCATAGGGGACTGGAATCCACGTGTGTCAGCCAGCCAAGCGCCCTTTGCCAAGCCTGTACCCGGAGGCACACAGGGAGTAGCCTGGATGTCGCATTGAACGCAATCAGAGCGCGGCCGCTACCTGAGCGAAACCCGTGTGGAGCACGGAGGATACAGTGCCGAATGTCTCGGGGCTTGAGGCAAAGTTGGTGCGTCAATACCTCATAATGAACCAGAGCCAGAGACGCCAGCTCGTGACGAAATGAACCCGGGGATGGCCAAGCGGCAGCCGTGTTCCTACTCACCTCGAGATGCTTATGTCTGTATGTACGGAGGAGTATATGTGCGGAGAAAAGCAACCCCACGCGTATCCTGGGAAGAAGCCGGGACCGGAAACCGTGGCACGGGTCCGTACTGTACATGCGGCACAGTGTAGACTGTGCAGAGAGACGCAGTGAGACGCCGCAGAATGGGCAAGGGATGGGATGATGAACCCTGATGAAGGACATTGGCATTGGATCGCCTTTATTTAGAAGGGCGTCGCAAAGGGCAGGCTAACGAACAGCGACGGGGCTGCCCCGACGGCTGGCGTTTCGATGGCTTCCGGCCTGTCGAGACCAGCAAATTTTCTCCGTCTCGAGGGGCCGAGGGCCTTCTCCCTCCCAATCAATGCCCTGTATTAATTACATACCTACGGAGTACATACTTACATATGGTCTGCTGTTTGTGCCTCATCCGGCCAAGGAAGGGCAGTTGCCTGTCAAGGGCCCTTGAAGGTGAAGGGGGTCGGATTGAGGCCGCAGCTGCTGCTGCCATCGACGCTCGCACTCCATAGATCCAGAGATAGGCAGGTAGCTAAGGAAAAGAGTGTGCCTTGGCTGCACCAAGCACACCAAGCAGAGACTCAACACCGCCGTGGATTTTTCCTCAAGCAAAGCATGCTTTCGATGCCCTTTTCTTAGTCTGCGGCAGGTGGACCCAGAATTGTTCTGGAAGATTCAATCCAGCAGAACGAACTTTCAAGGACGACAACGCAAGCGGCGGCAAGACAACAAGGCACAAGCCCAAGAGGGCCCGGGCCGCCGCCGTCTAGGCGCTTGCTTGTTGCGCCGAGACAGTGCGTGCTTGACCGTGTGGCCTCCCCCCCCTCCAATCTCCGGCTCGGTTTGCTGGGTTGTCAACTTGGTGCGGCCAATGAAACGCCAGAGCATCAAGGGGAGGGCGGCCATTGGCCTGTGTCTCTAGCCGCCTTGTGCTTTACAGTGCGTATAGCTGTCCCAGTCACAGTGTGAGACCATGGGTACCTGGGTACTCGCTCCGTGCCGGAAGAGAAGGTGCCGAAGGCGGATGACGCCTCTAGCGTCGTCATCACCCGACGACGCTTGGGGACAACCTCACCAAGCAAGCTGCAAGCACTCAAGCACTGTCTCTACAGCTGGAATCGCCAGGTCCTTGCGCAACACCCACTTGGCCCCAGCGACACATCATAGTTCGTTCGAAGTATATGGTGGTGCCTGCAGGGACTTGGCACCTCACGGTAGCATCGAGACGGCATCAAGCACCCCCCGGATCAGACCCACTAGTGGTCCGTCACGACTCGTGTGGGGGAGACGGGAGCGGCCTTTGGGAGCTGACTCGATGCCTGCAGTACAGAGTACTCTTTCTGCCAAATAGATGCCTTACATATTCAACCTGCTACGGGCTCACGGTCCCCGCGCCACCGTTGCGCGGCAGGGGCTCCGTCGACGACGGCGTCTCGGCCGTCCGCCTCCGTCTCCTCTGCGTAATCTGTCAAGATGCGATATACGTTCACGATCAGGCTCAGTGGCGCCAGACTCCGACGACGTCGAGCCGTCACTCCTGTGCGACTCCTCTCGTATAACCTGCTGGTGACGCGGTCTGTGTGCGGGGATGCCCGTTGCCGCTCAGCCGAGCAGAAGGACATCATCCGCAAGCGGCGCCGTGAGGACACGCAAGCCCTTGGCTTCGTAACCGGATTTGTGTCGCATTTTGCTTTGTTCATGCCCTGCAACTCTCGTTCCGTTGCCTGCATCACTGCCATTATGACAGCCTCCCGCCCTTGGGTCTTGCTAATTACTCCGGGCCACAGAAGGGGCGCGCCCTTATTAGTGGTGGTGGTTGCTGCTTACTGCTGCCTCTTCATCTCCGTGGCAGCCTTCATCCGAAATGCTGCTCCAGGTCACAGCAGCCAAGTCCAAACCCTGATTACCTGGGATCTTCGTTGCTGCAGTGTTGTTTGTCACGCCCTCGGCGTCAACCGACACGCGCCTCTCGCCCTCTAAATCAAGCATCCTTCCTTTCCAACGGCGTGCCCAGCCTGCAGACATATCCGAAGAAGGCTTTGGTGAGGAAGAGCCTGATGCATTGGAAGCCAACGCTCAACTAACCACTCCCAGATTTCATTCAGGCCAGAAAACCACCATGGGCTCTCGGTGGACGACCCGGCTGGACGACTCCCAGTTCCCATCTGACTGCGCAGGCCTACAAAGTCTCTTTCCCAAGGCGCACCTAGTCTTCTTCACGCAGCGCATCCGGCGAGGGGGGTTGCGCCTGTTTTTCCAGACCGCCGTCTTTGTCTTGGTAGTCCTTCTTCTCTTGCCGCGGACGTCTTGGCGCTATCGCAGCCTCTTGAACTGGTCGAGCGCCAAGTCGCAAGATGCTGGTAGGCTGAGGGTAGTCGTCTTTGGTTCCCAAGACTTGCTTGGCAGCTCCCCCGGTGTTCGCGGCCAAGGGGCCACGTGGACGGAGCAGCTCTGCAAAGAGGTGAGTAACGGATCCTTGGCACTAATAGGAAACCAACTGGTCGTGCTCACGACATGGCAGCTCAACTGCCACTCGTACCTCTCTTTCGTTCCCGAAGCCGGCTCGAGGCGTGCACTCACATCTGACGCCCTCTACGCCAACGAACTTGACGCACTCGAGCAGCGCATGAACACAACCGACTTGGCGGAGCCGCCTGCTCTCAACTACGAGTTCGCCTTTGAACAGTATCCTGTCCCGGGGCAGACGCCGGACCTAGAGGCACAGATCCAGCAGTTCCTGTCGCTGCCTCCCGACCCCATCGCGTCGCGCAACACTCTCTGGGTCATGAGCTTTGGAACCTGGGACATTTGGAACTTGGCGGCTCTGCCACTTGAGATGGGCGAAAACGTCGTCGATGCCATTGTCTCACGACTCTTCGCGCAGGTCGATGTGCTTTATCGAAAAGCGCTGGATCCGACATCGATTGCCTACTCAGACTTTTGGTCTGGCGCCAGCAAATCTGACATTGAACGGTTGGCGGGCGCGAATGTCACCGCAAAGGTCGACGAGCGGGAGCTGGAAAGCTTTCGGCTTGTCGTCCCGACGCTGTTCGACGTCACGCTTGCCCCCGGATGGCAAAGACGGCCGGAGCCCCCGACTCCGCACAACAAGGCCGAACAAATGCGCAACGCAGCCTCCCTGACAAAGCGGTGGAACTCAAAGACAGTAGAAGAGCTGGGACGTTGGATGGCCAAGGGAAGGGCAAGGCCCGAAGCCATGGATGAAGAAGGCATCGAAGAGGCTATCGAGGTGACCAGGGCGGGCTCTGTTTCGGAGTATGTGTTGACCGCTCTGCGGCCTCGAGGTGGCCGCAACGATGATGCCAAGGTGGAAGAGGGCGTCATTTACACGCCATATCCACGCAGAGCCGGGCTGCAGACCAATTCAGCCGCCATGGTGTTGGATGCCATGACGGAGGAAGAAATGCAGCGGTCCCATCTCAGAGACAGTCTGGGTCGGGGCACATGGGCCGTCGACTCCCGACTGCGCTTCTTGGACATCTGGAACCCGTGCTTGAGGCCCGGAAAGGCCGGTGTGGCGGGGGTCGAGATGAGCTTGAGCGGAGAGGCGTGTTCTAATCCCGACGACCACCTATTCCATGACGACTTCACCGTCGGGAGGCGGGCCATGCGAGAGGTCGCGCGGATGACGGCAGAGAGGGTGTCGAGCGAGTTGTTTGTTCCAGGTAGGGAGCAAAGGCGTTGAAACAAGGCATGTCAATGTGAAGGCATTGCAAGTCTACTCGGATGAAAGCAGCAGCAGGTGGATTGGATTACTAAGAAATCCTGGAGTAGGGTTGCTAGGGTTTGGGGTTTGGGGTTTGGCAGGGCGGGACGCTGTCGCGGATGGTGCTTGGAGCGTCTCCACCCTGCCCGCTCCACCGAGAGGCGATCAGAGGGCGAGGAAATGACGGAGCAGCAACAAATCTCGTCGTCGATGACGCCATTGGGCCACGGCTCGAAACGCTGCACAGCAACAGGCCGGTGCGTGTGATACTTGGGAGAAAAGGGTCTTCACTAATGAATCCTTCCAACACGCCATCTTGTCCGTGCCAGTCGACGGGAGCTCGAGCACATGCTCGCGCACACAACGGGTTGAAAAGGCGTGCGGCACTGTCTCACCCTCGTCCGCTTCCGGCTTTGCCCGCGGTGGGCATGCTCATCCATGCAAGCATGCAAGCATGGAAGCATGGATCGATACATTGTACCCAAGACCCGAATACGAAGCACATGTTCATTCAGCACCGACCAAGAAGAGGGACGGACCGACGGACCGACGATGAGCCAGCCAATTGGGCCTCGGTCATGCCCTCCTCCGCCGCCTGCTGTTCTTTTGGGAGTCCATTTCGGCCAGGACAACGGTTGGCGTGGGCGAGCATCGGACGATGTGAGTCGCCGCACGGACCTGGGGCAGAGAGAGTGCAGACGGCGGAGCTCCGAAGCTCGGGGACATCCTCTTTCTCGGCCTTTCTACCGCGGTGCTGTGGTTTCCTTTTCTTCATCCCCGTCACCGGTCGGGTCCAGACTCGAGGGCTGTCTTTCCTGGGGGCGGGAGTGCTGAAAGCGGCAAAGCCGCCTGCAGTGTTCTCGTACGGTACCTCGGCCTGATGATCCCGCCCCCGGCTAAGCATACCAACGGTCCCTGTATCCGGGGTGAATAGGCGTACAGCACAGCACAGTAAAGACGCACTCAATAAGCACGGACAAACACCCGGGCCAACGGTCCTCGGCAGGTCCTCGGCAGGCACTGTGCACAGTGCGGCGTCAAGTCGGCACAGTGCGGGCTCGCGTGCGTGCTGGAGATGCCCTCCGTTGGTTCCCGGTTAGTTAATTATTACTGTCTCCAGACTCGGACGATGCTCGCAGACGCGCCACGCTCCTGGCGCTACCGCTTGCGAGATCCAGTGCCTTGTCTCGCTCATCCAGCGCTTATCTATGCCGCATGACTTTTGGCAAACATCTCCACTTCTTCCTCCCATCACGCCTTTGATAGCTGCCGTGACTAGGCTTTAAGTTAGCCCATCTCCTCCGCTATCTACTGTATCTATCTCTTCCCCCCCTCCACCCCCTCTCCTCTCCTTCTCTCCCTCTCTTCCGCTTTCCACTCTCTATTGCACCAAGAAGATTCACCCACACTCTCTCAACAACCACCATCTTAGCTTTGCGCCTCCGCCACCCTCACGCCGCACCAAAGCCAAACTCTGCGCCTCTCACCGCCCGCTCGTCCGCCGTTCCGAAGCCAAGGAGCGAGAGAAACATAAAAAGATCGTCTAGACGTCCCACCACGACTCCGAGCCCTCGCTATCAGTCATCCGCGCCAAGGCTCAAGAGATTTCCTTCAACTACAAAAGACGCACGAGATACCGCAATGTTTGCAACCAGAGCTCTCCGGCAGGCCGCTGCGCACGCTGAGCGCACCCCCATGATCAAATTTCTCGGCCCCCGCTCCATTCCTTGTGAGCATCCTCCCACTTCCGCGTGTCTGGTTTCTCCTTCGGCCGACTGACTCGACCACGCAATAGCTTCGGTCGATCACTCCCCCAGGCCTCACCCGGCCTCGCCCTCGGGCAAGCTTCCCGAGTCCTTCTCCGCCTATGGCAACAGCTCTTCCGCTTCGCGTCACTCGTCCTTCAGCTCCTACCGTGACCACGCACAGCAGCACGGCCCCCTTCAGAAGACGATTCGCAGCCTCGACGCTGGCATTGGCGGCTCCTCGGGCTCCCAGCTCGGCCCCGTCGAGCCCCCAAAGGGAGTTTATTTCGACATCTCCGACCTGCCCTCCCGCTTCCGTCGCACCCCCGTCGAGCTGGCCGAAATCGAGGCCATTGAGTCGGGCGGCGCCGCCCTGTTTGGTTAAACTCGCATTATGGGAATGACTAGGGGACGAGAAGTAGAAAAGGGGGAACGAATATGAAGAATTAGGACACGTACGAGGGCCAACCACGACACGATTGCCGGCGGCCGCGTGCCGTGATGCCGCACGGGTGGTTCGCCAACGGCATTCCTACCGAAGCTTGGCTGCAGGAGCTCATTGTGTCGAACCGTTGGGGCGGTCAGCGTGTCTGCATCATCTGCCTCGGTTCGAGGACGGCGCGCTTCGCGTACATGCGGGTGTCGACACCAATCATTGGTTCGCCGGCTTTATCAGGCCACAGCCGGTCTGACGGCGGGCCCTGGAGAGGCTTGCATTGGTTCGTCGGCACCACGTCGTCGGCAGCGGCTCCGCGACCGTGTTTCAAGCCTGCATCTTGATTGCTTCTGCACATCTTGTGTTACCAGCCACTCAAGACACTACTTGGCAACGCATTGTGCACTGTACCAAGCATGTATATAGAGCCTCTATGGGCCAGTTGCACACGAGACAATATGACACGTTTTGCCAACCCGGCTCCCAAGTGGCTTTCTGCAGAGTTGTGATAAGGAGCAGGAGAAAGACGCGAGTAGAGGGGCGCCTTGGCGTCTCGAGACTTTGACAACGGTGATGGCAGTCGAGTCGGCAACAGTGACACTCCCCATGGAAGAAGGCGACGCTCCCGTAGACTTGTTTCCCGACACACGGGTGATTCGATTGAGCACTTGTTCCAAACAGATGCCCCTTCTCTCCCCTGTTCAAGCCTCCCGCACCCCCTCCCCCCTCTAATGCAGCATCCTGATTTCATTTCTCCCACACCTCACCTGCACTGATCGCATGAGGAATGCAGTGCCTGCAAAAGGGGATGGAGGGGGGAAAAGTGTCCAGGCAGAGAGAGGGGGGAAGGGGGTAAGAAGAATACGGTCACAGCGGCACAGCAAGTTGCCAACTGCCTCTCAACCCCAGTCGCCCCTTTCATCGGCAAATAAACAAAACAAACAATAAAAAAGTTAATTGACCGAAGGGAAGAGGGGGGGGGATGCAAAGGACCGGTTGCAGTCGGGTGGAGAAACGACTTGGTTGGGCAAAGGCCCCCCTCCCCTCCATAAAATCCAATCGGAGCCGACGAGGCCGCAGAAGCTACCTAGTATCTGGCGCAACGCACTCTAGCTCAAGTTATTCGCCTAAACATAGAACAGGTACCTTTGTAATAAAAGCTCGCGCGGACCAGCGTGTGCTCGCGGGAGCGGCCCGCGGGCGTGGATCCTCGTCCCATCTGTTCCTCTCCCCGTTGCTGCTGATGCGCGCCGCGCTCTCTCTCTCTCCCAGGTGGACCTCGGAATGCGCCCGACACGAAAATGGCCAAGGAAAGGGGCAGGTGATCGACACCCCCCGCCGCGAGTGCGCACGTATTGCCTTCAAGGCCTGAACGGGGTAACGGTCGCAAGGGGCCCAAGAGTGTCTGTCTCCAGGGCTGGAGCATGTCGAAAAACATGAGCAGGATGCCATGCATGACTTCGAGAATAATCAGTCGACTAGACCATCACCAGGTGGGTGGGCAAGGAGAATCCTGTTTCAAGAGAGAGACGGGGAAATCAAAATCAAATCATGCTCGTGACGTGGGCATTCGCGGCAAAACAAGACTGGCAACGCCGCCCCCGCTCACCAGATATCATGCTCAAGCATCCCCTTTACACCTGCGATGTCGGTTTTTCCCCGTACTCGACCCCTACCTGCCCGTGCTCGACCCCCACCACAACGTCTTCAATCGTCTCGTCGCTAAACTTGAGGTCATCCTCTACCGACACGTGGTCCTTGATCTTGAAGAGAATGACGGGCAGTGCAAAGATCAGGGAGCCGGCCAACAAGCCCCAAGTCACCCCAAAGAGTGTGTTGTAGGGCTGTTTGCTGCCGTCCATGTAATACGCAATGCTGGCTCCGAAAGATTGAATCGATTTGTAGAAGCCTAGGTGTATCATGTGTCAGCGCACCCAACGAGGCCATGATTTAGGCCACCCACAGTGCCGGCACGGGCACGACGTGAGGGCAGCGAGATGAGACTCACCAGCCAGATTAGCGGCCTTGCGACCAGAGTTTGAGAGGGATCCCATGAACCTGCAGTCATGTTTCCGTCAGCATCCTACCTCCCGGCGGCCTCGGCGAAATCAAGGGACAAAAATATCGAAACCGGATCAAAAGCACAAAGCTGCTGCTCTTTTCAGAGGGTTCGAGGTCGGGACGTACCAGTAGATGCTAGTCTGCCAGATGGCATCAAAGAAGCCGTAGAAAAAGTAGAGAAACAGGGGCCCGATGAAGCGAGTGCCACCCTCGGTCCAGTCGACATGTTCGTAGCCCTTGGCCTCGGCCACCTCCCGGGGGGCCTGCTGCTTCTGCCAATGCCAGCCGCCACCCCAGATGATCAAGGTCAGGCTGATGAGGAAGCCAAAGGCAATCTTGGCACGGACGCTGCGGCGGATGGTATGGATGTCGAGGCAGTAGCCCATGAGGACGGCGCCAAAGATCTGGGCCAGCCAGTAGAGCAGATTGTTGAGGGCGCGGGTGCGGGTGTTGAAGTGGGCGGCGTTCATCACGTTGTTCTGGTACGTGTAGAAGAAGTTGGAGGCGAAGAACATGGGGAAGAGCAGGAGGATCCAAGGCTCCTGGAAGAGTGTATCCCACAGGCCTTTGAATTCGCTGGACCAGGACGGGTTCTTCATGAGAATGACCTTTGTGTTGTCTTCACGCATCACCTTGCCTGCGTCGCAGAGCATCAGAGACAGGCAGGCGCCGGCGAACATAAGGATGATGAAGGCGATGTAGGTGCCGTCGGTCACGGGGCCAGCCCGCTTGTTGATGTTTTGCGCGAGGGGGATCTAGATTCGCGCGTCAGTCGGGCAAGGCAGCAAGACGGAGGCCAAGGATCGAAGGAGTATACATACCAGGGAGCCGATGACGGCACCGAGGTTGAAGATGACCCAGAACCAGGAAATGTAGCGGCCCTTGCTGTTCTCGGGCGGGTAGGCCATCATGATGGCGCCCTGGGCGGTCCAGAGCAGGGCGGCGCAGAGGCCGAGGAAGGCGCCGGAGAAGATGACGAAGCCGGTGTTTTTGGTGTGGGAGTAGGAGAGAAAGGAGGCGCTGTAGATGCAGTAGCCGAGGCCGCCAATGGAGAGGGTGAGGCGCAGGCCGAGGCGGTTGGCAAAGGTGCCGGCAAAGAAGCCGACGACGGCAAAGGTGCTGTAGAGGGCGATATTGGCGTGGTCCTGGACCGAGGTGTCGACCTGGCCGCCGCCGCCGAGGCCGGTAAGGGAGTTGTACATGCCGGGGCAGAGGAAGCAGACGATGGAGACCATGAAGAGCTGTACCTTGGGCGAGGCGTACCAGAGTTCGCGGCCGAAGAGGCGAAAGGGGCGGTACATGAAGCCGCCATCATGTCCAGGGGAAAGGCCATGGGCCACCATGTGGCCGTCGCTAGAGCGGCTCGCCGCCATTCCTCCGACCCAAACCAGCGCCCCGACAGATAGAGAGGTAACGAGTCGAAAGCGAAGAGCGCCAAAGCTGTTCAGGCGTGGCGCACGTGAGGGGGCACGGGGGCACGAGGGCCGACCGTGGGCCGCTGACCGGTGAGGCTATCGCAATGGAGTGTAAAGAGGGGAAAGAGAGAGAGAGCGCGAGGTAGAGAGATTGATGTAGAAGAAGAGAGTGTGTGTGAGCATGAGAGAGAGTAAAATGAATGAATAGACGAGCGGAGGGGAGGGGGGAGAAAGTGGTATTTCAATTATCGCGACGTCCCATCAAGTGCAGGCTGGTTGCAGGCCGGGGATAGCGAGCGACCGGGGGGGGGGGATATTCCTGTGTGTGGGTGACTGCAGAACATCGAATGAGGTGAAGCGAGTGAGACGAAGCCGGGAATATTACGAGAACTAAAATATCAAAACTACCGGTACACAAACGAAAAGTAAAACAATGGGGGAGCCAAGGGCAAAACGGAGGGTCGCATTCAGCAAGACGAGGTGAAATGCCCGCCCCTGTAGCCATGCAGACACACCTGTCGGGGAAAGATGAGTATGAGAGGTGAGAGAGAGAGAGGACAGTGAGAGAACGGGGGTGTGGAGAAGTGGAGGAGATGGCGGCAGGGATGGGCGAGGCAGGAAGCAGCGAACGATGGGTAATTGTTGCGGGGGAAGCAGTGGGGCCATTTCCGAGGCATACAGGTAGCCATGTACTGTACGGATACCGTACAGTATGAAATACCGGAAGATACCTACCCACCTTGCGCATACCTACACATAAAGAGGTACTGCCGGGAGAAGGCACCTACCTAGGTAGGTACCAGGTAGCGTCCACCAGAACCAAAGTTCTGGCAAAGTGATTACCTAGGTACATACTTGCGGACGGTCCGCTGCTGCCACGCTGCCACGCTGCCACACCACCCACCGTCACGGGGCTCTGCTCGCGCTCAGCATCACATGCAATGCCGTCAGGGTCCGTCCGTCCCGGCACCACCATGGCAGCGAGGGAGAGTTACGTGACACTGCCAGAGAGACAAGGGAAGAGAAGAAACGAAAAGGAAGCATCGAGACTGTTGCTGCGAGTTCTCATGTACTGTACGTCCCGTGTCTGTACGTCCCGAGCCTGTACTGTACAGACCGATACCCTTGCAATCCCACGTGGCAGGAGGCACCCGAGTCTGGATACTGTACATTGTATCCGTACCTTGCCAAGCACATGAAGGCCTGCAAGCAAGTACCTAGCTACGTACCTCTACCGTGTACGGGTAGGCGCGGTATTGCCAGAGAGGAGAAACATCTACGGATACCTACCTACCTTACCTACTGTACCCAGGTAGGTACGTTACAATGCTTCACCCCAAATCATAGACACTCGCGTCCCGAGTCCATCTTCGTTCGGAACGGGTCAATGTCGACCGACCATCGATGGCCTTGCCAATGGCATCATCTCCCCTGTTGCCACGCCTTGTTCTATTCTCGTCTCGCTCGATGGATATTGCTCAATGTCGTGTTTCCACGGTCCATTAATTAGCTAGCTGCCCGGCTGTCTCACGTACAATGTACGTTGTCGGCCCTGTATTACAGCGCTGCATGCTCCGCCGCTGGTCTGTCCACATGGTACCCCTAGCGCTCCGTACGTCCCTTCGAATAGCGGCAGCTATTAAGTAATGGACCGAATAAACAGCGCCCCGTAGGGCCCAACCGTCGTCGTCGTCCACCCAACCAACCAACCAACCAACCAATCCTTGCCGCCATATTGAGGCTGCGAAACAACGATGGCAGCCTTTTCCCATGTACTGTATGTACTGCATGTACTGCATGTACTGCATGTACTGTATGTACTGCATGTACTGTATGTACTGCATGTACTGTATGTACATGACACCTCGACTTGTGAGGCCATCACCAACCGACAGTGCGGAAACCCATAATCCATCCCATCCATCCATCCCCTGCAACGTAACGTAGCCCTCCACCCTTCCCCGGACCAACAACCCGCCTTTCCTTTTTCCCGACTCCCCCGCCTGGCCCCGTCTCCCCACAGCCTCAGAATGCTCCCCCGCCACTGCACTACAGCATAGTAATTACCCTAGGCCCTACGTCGGGAACCACTCGTCGTCTCCCGGTCCGGTCAGCGGCACAAGACAAAGGCTGCAGGCAACAGCGCGCCCGTTGCGCCTCCATCCTCCGCCCCCGACCCGGACCCCGCCTCTCCGGCCCAAGCCGCCAAGCTCGACCGGGTCCCCGGCGTTACATCGCCCGCCACCTTGTCGTCGTCCCCTTGCGCTGCAACCAGAGAGGAGGCCTTCGTCCCGCCGACATGTCTTGACCCTGGAGCGTGCCATGTGTAAATCAACTACATGTATCCGTAATCGCCATGACAGACAGGATCCCCAGACAGGATCCCCAGACACGCGCCCATCACACGTTGACTCCCCCCTCTGCAGTCAGGCTGCAACTCTAGGAAACGTCCCTCCCCCATCCAGTCTAGCCGCCGTCGAGAGCACCCATCAGCAAGCGGCATGTCACGTCGTATACATTCTTCAAACGGCATTGCCTTCTCTCGTCGTATGGGATATCTACATCTAAGGCTTGCTCGCCCCATGTCCACCCGCTTCCTTCTCGTGGACCCGAAGACTTCACAGCGACAGCCAGCCAGCACACAGCTTTTCCCTTCCTACACTACCCTTCCCCCTCGGCGCAAAATGACGCTATCCGAGAAACGAAGAGAAGAAATGCCCTGCTTTGTCCCGCCCGCCGCCTGTCAGCTTTTCCCTTGCCCACGAGCGCTGTCGCCGACAAAAATTCACACAATCAAGCAAACACGAACACCAAGTGCCCAAATTCTGTCCCATACCCTGAAACATGGAAAAACTTGACATGTCACAAGCTTCGCGCGTCTCGCCTCTCTCGCCCTCGACTCGGGCTTCCTCTCACCCCACAGCAGCCAGTCAGACCTGCCCAATAGCGTCGTCTTCTTTTCACATGTTCCTCGTCGGCGCGTGCTTCGAGTCTCGCGTATCAAGGAAGCATCGCATGCTGCTTCCCAGGGGAATCATGACAGGCCCTGACCAGAATGTGTGCCGACAAGAGATCCTCAGCCTCGTATCAATGTGCTTGCGCGTGTGCCGTATCTGGGGTCGTTATGGGATAGGCCCCGAGCCCGTGTCCAAAAAAGGAAAGAAAAATAAACCCAGCGCCGTCCTGTTCCGTGACCCGACTGTCGTTGCGAACAAGTCGCGAAACCCGCGGCACCGTGGTGATCAAACAATAATGGAGCAACTTAAACAGCAAAAGTAATAGAAAGAGCAAATGGAGGGTGGGGGAGAAACCCGGGGTATCAAAGTCGAATGTTAGGTACCGATTATGAATATGTGCGTAAAGGTCCGAAGGTAAGAAGTTGGTAATATAGCATCCGGCCCGGCCGACTTGACGGGCGTTTCGGCGCAAGGGAAGAAGGGCACGATAGAAGAGCGTTGATTCCTCTTCGTACGAGGACCAACGCATATCGGGGACTTCGGTTCGTCCTCAAGCCGGAGTAGGGGTCTGGCCACCTCGATCGCGGGACATCCACGCAAACAGGTCCGCGCGCGAAGCCCCTGATCCAGACGAAATGGGTGTCGGTGGCTCATTTTCTCGGCGGTGAGCCGACTCGCGCGGCTCCAGAAGCAAGCTCTTGCGATAGTACGTGACTTGCACGTTTCCTTGGTCGCCGTCGCGAACCCGCCGGATCTGCGCACCAAGCCAGTCCTGCATATCGGGCACCTCCATAAGCCGGTAAGGGATTTGGAATCGCTGAAGCTCCCCGATGATCTTGGCGGTTCGGCAGTGCTTGTCAAAGTTGACAACGGTTAAGCCGCCAGCGCCCGCGTCATCGGTCTCGGTGCCCAGCGACATCTGCTTGGTGGCAGGGTTGCCGATGTCGACAAATGTCAGGTCGGTCAAGTACATGCCGAGAAAGGGGAGGCATGGAGGGACATGGTCGTGCAGCCGCGTCCGCAGCACCTTGTGGTTCTGCGACGGCTCAACGATTTCCTGCATGGCACGCAGCATCTCCTTGCGCTTGAACGAGATGGCGTCCCAAGTCTTGCGCAGGCGGCTGATGGTGCTGCTGTTGAGGCTGCATATGATGGCCATCAGGCCATCGTAGTTGTGGAGCTCCAGGCAGTGGTGGGCAATCTTGATCCACTGCTTGATGACGGCCGCGCGCTTCTTGATTTCGGGGTGCTGGAGAATCGTCTCGGCCACCAGGTTGGACAGGTCCGTCGACAGAGACGACATGGCCTTGACGTGCGGTGCTTCGGCTCCGCCGTTCTTCATCCACTGCGAGGCAAGCAGCTCTTCCGGCAGAATGGAACAGAATATGGCCATCTGCCTGACAGTCAGCTGGCGGGCCAGCTCCAGGGGCTCAAAGTCCAGTATAGTCGGCGTGTTGCCCCCCGCCTTGAACGAGTTCAGCGTGTGCAGCTGGCTTTTGGAGATGACCGGCTGGGGTAGCGGTGTGTCCGCCGGCACATACTGGGCGATGGCCGTGTTCGTCTTGCCCATCGATGACACCAGCCGGGGTACCAGCAAGCCATGTCCGGAAACTCGCTTGGCCAGCTCGAGGAGCCGAGGCCCGGCCGTGGGGAGCACGGCGCCAAGTCTCTCCTCGGCAAAAGAAATGATGAGTTTCAGCGCCGCCCGGTCGGTCTGTTCCCTCCAGTGGGACTCGAGCCAGCCCTTGAAGGCGTTGTACACTCGGAGGCGGACGGGCGCCGACATATGAGGGGACTCGCCCACGTATTCGAAGCGTTCGATGAGGGCCTGTGTCAGCTTGACCGGCGTGCAGAAGAGCCGAAAGGTGAGGTAAAAGGTGGAGACGAAGGCAGCATCCGGCGTGGACTCGTGGGTGGTGAGCCGCTCAACCAGCGCTGGCAAGGAGCCGCCGGTGACCTGGCCCTCCTTGTTGAACATGAGTTCGTGCGCATAGGTTCTCTCGAGGAGCCTTGTTTCGACATCATCGGCCTCTTCGGCTTGCGAGAAGCTGCCCGTCATGCTCAGTTCTGACATGGACGGCTGGCTGCGCGGCGCCAGGCCATGGTCCGGCGTGGTAGCCCTCGTCGACGTCTGCGAAACAAGACTGGCCTCCGAGTCTCGGCTCAGGTACGTTGCGGTGCTCCCGGCACTCGAGGCCGCGAGGACGTCGAATCGCGAGGCGTGCATTTCTTGCTCGCTCCTTGAGGCATCGGCGCCCGACATGTGGTCGGCTGGAAAGGGAGCGGTGGAGCCCGCAGTCCGAGGACGGGGGGCAGGTCGGGCCGACGAGATGGATGAAGCTGCGCTCGAAACGTTGTCGTCGTGAACCGACGCCGGCCGGGAAGAACCGGGAGAGCGGCTCGGCGGCTGATGCTGCTCCGTGGGGATGCTGAGCTTGGGAACCCGAGGCAGCGGCTTATCGACCGCACCGAGGGTCCGCCGCCGAGGCGGCGGCGGCTCAGCAGCATTGCAAGACTCGCCAGGGCTGGTGGCATCGGACCGGCCCGTGACCGACGGGGTCCTAGTTCGCTCCTGCATGACGGCATCGAGGACGCTCAAATCGATTCCCAGCGCGTTCTCGCCCAGCTCAAACTCGAAGTCCCCCACCCTCTCGACGGCCGCCTTGGCCTTGGCAACGCATTCACCGGCGGCCCGCACGCAGCTTGTGGCCGCCATGAGTAGCGTAGCGTTGTCGTTGGGCATGATGAGATCCGAGCCATCCTCCGTGGTCGAGTGACCCAAAATGTCGCGGGCCGACAGCACCATGGTCTTGATCCGCTCAAACATGGCTACCCGGACATGACCGAGGGCGCTGAGGCTCGAGCTGTTGTATGCGCAGACACCGTCAATGACGGCCAAGAGCTCCCCACCGGACGTGGCTGATAATTTGATGGCGAGTGCGAGCTCGGGCCGCGAATGCGACTGCAGGTTCAGCCTGCCGATGAAAGAGCCTAGATGCGAGAGGAACTTATCGTGGCTTCGATTGAGGCGTTCCGAAGCCAGATGGTGCGGCCTGGACAAGGGCGAGGGACCGGCCAACGAGACGCGATGCGCCATTGCGCTAGAGAGGCGATTGGCCTGCTGCAGGCTTCCTTGCGACAGCCTGTTCTGAGCGGGGTGCACGGGAGCGTTGAGGGACGTGAGGCGTTTACCCCAGGGCGAGGCAGGAGCGTTTGCAGCCGAAGTCTCGCCCAGTTCCGATGCTGGCGCGCCGGGTCCACCGTTGGCGTCAAAGGTTGCTTGCTCGGCGGGGGGCGTCGGCGGTACATACGATTCCTCGGCGACGGTGGCCATGACGGTGACAGCGGCCGAGGCCCGAGACTTGGTGTCTTCGTCCAAGATATCGAGGAACCGGACGGCCTTTATGATGATTTTGAATGCCTTGAGAATCATCTCGTCGATGATGTCGTTGACGTCCTCCGGGGGCTCGAGGGCGCCCTTCTGACACTCCTGCAACCGTTTCGCCGTCTTGACCAGCAGCGAAAGTTCGGAGAGCAGCGACTTTCGAGCCCTTCGAAGCGAGTCACTGCGCAAAACAACGGCAGACTCCCTGTTCAGGCAATTTGTGCGTTCCTACGATCAACAGGGCGACAGGTTAGACGGTTATGCTCGGTGCCGGGGGGGAAGTCACGTCATGCAAGAGGGGGACATACCAGGAGAAAGCGGACGCCGGCGATGATGCCCTTCATAAACTCTTGGTTCCTGAAGATTTCATTGTCGTCCACGGACGTGCTCCGCAAAAGGTCCCAGAAATTTAGAAGAGCGTTGAGGAGGCTGCGCATGTCGTCGGGCTCGTAGGCATTGCAATAGTTTGTCGGCAGCCAGCCCCTGGCGCCCGTGGCCAGCAGGGTTCCGTCTGCCCATCCGTTGGTGTGAACCGAGTGCACCAGGACGACATCTCCCTCGTCAAGCGGCAGGGTGACGCTCGACTCGGCCATGGCACAACTGGGGCTGAAGGGGAAGAAGGCCCGTAAGAAGTTGTGGAAGAGGGGCGGGTCGACGGCCGCCTCGGGCGACAGGTCCTCCTGGGAGCCATTGGGAGTGGCGGGGGGAGTCATGTGGGATTGCAGATAGAGATCGACGTGCTGTTGCGACGAGTTGCACGATCCATTGGCAGCGTCTTCCAGCTGGGACGGGTGTATCTCGAGGGGCGCCACGCAAAGACTGGCTCGCTCAGCGTGATCGCTCAGCATTGCGCTCGCTGCGGGCGGCGAATGGGCTACTGTAGCATCGGACTGAGGTGGTCGGGAGGCCCTGGCTCTTCAACCACTGCCGGGCAACGGTCAGCCACGCTCGTCTATCCTCTCGTCGAGTTCAGGTCTTTCTGTTTGGTGTTGTCTGTTCTTTAGGGCAAAGGGAGCAAAAGTCGTCGCATCCAACGATAGTCTGTGTCGCGTTGCAATTCCAAAGTCGGTTCGACTGGAGAGGAGAAGGGGGTCAAGGGACAAGCGAAGGGGAAAGCTGGCAGCTAGGTACCTGAGAAGAGAAGGGCGTCGGACACCGCGATGGGATGAGGTTACCCGTCGAGGGATTCTGGAGAGCGAGACTCAACATCAGCACAAGGACAAACTCATAAGCGCGCCTCGAATGTTGTGGCAAGGAGTATCAAAGCGCGTCTGGAATGGAGAGAGAAGGCTCGAGGGAGAGTCCGTGGTGGAGCGCCGCGGCCATGGAATGTGTGAAGGCCGTCGTCGTCTTGTATTCGTACAACTGCGTCTTGTCGGGGCCGACGAAATGCGCGCCGAGGAAGACAAGTGTTGAAGAGAGAATAATCTGCATATTCCAGGACACGACGTACCGGTAGAAAGGCCGAAAGGCGTTGGTGGATGATGGAGGGGGTTGAGGCGAATGGTGTTTGTAAGTCACGGCAGCAAAGCTGGTCCCAACCGAGAGCGAAGCAGTCTCAAGTCAAGGTGCTCGCTCAATCGGCTGTGGGAAGGAAGAGAAGTGGTCGGTCAGCGCCTCGGCCTGGCAGTGAGGAGAGAGGGAGAAGGATGAAGAGTGAGGTGTGAAAAGGGCAAGTCAAGGTGCGGTGAGGGTCGAGGGTTGAATGAGGTGAGGCGACAGGAGCAGGCAAGGAGGAGGAACGGACGGGGCGATGTGGTCCGGGTCCCAGGCGCGGGGGACCTTGCAGCGCTGTGGAGGATGTACTGTACCTTGGCGGCCACTGACGAGGTGCTATCTTGGTCGTGGTGGGGAATGTACCCGTACACACGGTACAGCGGTCAAGGGGCCTTGAGGAAAAGGTACCTGCCCAAGCGGTGCTTCTCTTCCCTTTTGCCGTCGAAGAATACCTAGACGAATTGCTATGGATGGGCAACGGAAAGGATGGGAGTGGAGAGGCCGAGGGGAGAAGCGGAGTATGTACAGGTGGAGGAGGGGAGAGAGATGCAGGACGAGGAGCAAAAACGAAGAGCAAAAGCAACGACGTGGGGATGGATGGATGGATGGATGACTTGCTGGTCGACGGACCATCAAATCGGCTTGGCTTGTTTGGAGCACGGACAAGGCAGCCAGAAGAAGCCGACCGGGTGCCGGTGCAGGGGCTTGCTTTTGCTTGTCTCTTGTCGTCAGTCAGTCGGTTTTTTTTTCTGCGGGTCGAGGGTTCGGGACCCCTGCTGGCGGATGGGGCCCTGGCTTGGCGTTTTCTCGATACTGCTAGTACTAGTTGCACTGCCCTGCACACAGCGGTTGTCGAGTTACACGGCGATGGTACCAGTATTACAGGAGGTTTACGGGCATGTGCAATACGGGCACGCGACCTACAGTACAGACTTACATACGAAGTACAGACACACAGGGTTGGTATTGTAGACCTGACGCGGAAAGGCTCCGAGCGCGCCGCCTCGGTGCCGCTGCTGGCTCACGAGGCCGCCTGGTGCGCGTCAGCGGGCGGCGGCGGCCTGACATAGGGGTTTGGCCGCCCGATGCCGCGTCGGTCTGCCTGCCGCGGGACTAACATGGTGGAAGGGGGGAGGAAAAAGAACAGAAGAAAGGAAATATCCACGTACAGTAGGTACATACGGTGGCCGCTCCCCAGATTGCCACCTACCAGGGAGGCTTCGGAGCAAGGGTGACGATGGCGGCGCTGCCCCGGTTTCTAGTCTGTGCCAGGCAGGGTAGAGAGATGGCCTTAGCGGCGGCGTGGTGATGAGATGGCGTCTTTCAGATCAGGGGACTGATCGCCAAGATTCTATTTTTTTCTCTCATCAGGGAGACAGATTGTGGAGGGCCGAGGAGCAAGGGAGTCGGAGGAGAGGGCAAAGTGCGGGCTTGCGAAACACTTGCAAGAGGACAACAAGAAAAAATAAGGGTCGAGCAGGGACGAGCAGGGACGAGCAGCAAGACGAAGACGAAGAAGGAAGAAAAGGGGCAATTGCAGTGACGACGATCCCGGTTGGCAGCAAGAGGTTTTGCATTTGGTCCTCGTTTTCTCCCTTTCTTGTCTCTTTCTTCAGTTTCCCTCTGTATCGTACTCTGTCTGGTCTGCTCCCGGCCCGGTCTGATGGGCATCGCGTGTGCCATTCAGTGTGCCATCTACCTGGACATCTCTCTCCGCCCAGCCCCCCCCTTCTTCCTCCCCCCTCCCTCTGTCTCCCTCGCTCCCCCTCGCTCTTTATCTCGCCCTTGCCCTCGAGGGCTCAAGGTCTGAATCCGCACCACCCCTCGCCTCGTCCCTGTCTTTCGGGGATGATGGGTTGTCCAAAACGTGGCATGGGCATGAATGATGGTGTTGGATGTGGGGGGGCACGGAGGTGGTGGCCTGAGTGATGGACTCTTTGACGACGCCGTGGTACTTGACCATGGCGCACCAGTAGGTTCTCGAGCCACGGCTGTTTGCGTGGGACAGCACATGTGGGCTGCACTCACTCAGGTACCACTCAGGTACCCATCCATTTGTAGGCAGGTACGGACGGATACAGCGCTCAACTCTTACAAAAGGTGTTTTCCGTCGGTCAAACAAGCCTCAGCGGCCAGCAGATGCGGCTGCGACAGCCCCCCCCCCCCCTGTTTGAGAGTCTTGTACTTTGCATAGTACAGTACACACATGCTGCTCGGTGCGCGCTCTCGTTTCCAATGGTGGCTCCGGCGACGCTGGCGGCGTGACGAGAACGGGCTTGCTTGGTCCGGCAGTGTGCCGAGGGATCAGCTCATCCATCTTACCTTGCCGTGCCGTCATGTATGCACGTAGGTTCGCTCAGCGGGCGTACAGTACATACGGATAAGCATGTGCCGTGATGCTGAGGACTGAAGACTCAGGTCAATTGAAGGCTCACCAATGAATGTGCCTTGCCTTTTCTTTCCTGGAGCTTCACGTCCGACGGACTTGTTGGTGTTTGCAGGACAATGACATGCTGCGGAAGCGCGACGCGTACTGTACAGTACGTGCAAAAGGTGTCGGTGAGCCTCCATCTCGCGATGCCGAGGCCCGCCGTTGGTCGACCGGGAGTTGTATGGATGCATGGCTAACCATTGATTCGTACTGTACAGCGTCAAAGGGCCGGCCGTCCCAACCACGACCTGTACAGGACAGGGCAGTACAGTATTACTCGTGTGCGGCAGATACTAGGTAGTAATTAGGGCCAATCGATGCTCCTCTCGTCCATGGGCCTACATTGACTGTGTACTGTAAAATGCCTCGATAGCTCGCTCAGGCCCGTTGCATGCACGCATCACGCTCGCGTTAAAAGAAAGGAAACCGACTCCACCCAGGCACCGCCGCGGCTCATGTGCATGCATGGCATGGCATCCTCGTGCATGCGTCTTCTGGATACATACGGTCCCAGGCACCGCTTTGCCGTGCCTTAGAACATCCTGGCCTCAGGGGCAGGGAATCGGACCGTGCATGGTCAACCAAATCCGTCGTCATCAGCGCCGTGGCAACAGGTGACATGTCGCTCGCCCGTGCTCACTCGCTCCAAGCGACTCTCGCTGTTGTCATACACGTCGTGTTCAGCAGGTGCTTGGGGTAAAACAGTCGAGGCGGGCAGGCATGCTGGTCGCACTGTCGGCATGCACGCTTAAGACGACTCCCGTTGTCGACGCTAGGGCGTCATAACATGTTAGTTGTTAGTACATGTTAGTGCAGCTGCTGCGCACCGTGATAAATGCCAACAACTGCGCGCTGAAGGCTGCTGCTGGTTGCTAGGTAATTACAGCACGGTAGGCTGGCTTAGAGCGCCCAAGTACCTATCGAGTCTGTGGCCCGGGGGTCCCAACCGATGCGACCCAGACTTGCAACATGCAAGCGTGTGGGGAAGCGGAAGAGAGCCGGCTCCAACCAGAAGAAACAAGCCCCTTGCCCCTGCCCGGTGGTGCAATCCGCCCTGAGCTTACATACGAATACTCCGTACTGTGCGGTAGATAGGTCCGGAGTAGGTACTGTACTTTGTGCAAACCGGCAGAAGGACCTGTCTGCCATCAGGCGCCAAGGGGGCACCTACCGTACCTAAGGTACCTAACCTTACGTACTATACAGTGTACTGTGCGCCCTCGCCAACAGGGCAGCTGAGGGGGCAGGAGAATTGGCAAGGAAGGGACAAGGTGGAAAGGGAGACGGGCGAGTGCACAGCTCAAAGCCTTCACGCTCGCCCGTCCTTTGTCAGCCCGCTCGAGCTCATGACTGTACAGAAAATGTACATGAATCCGCCGGAGCTGAGTCGTCATGTTCCCGCTCGCTCAAGCGCGCGCGGAGAGTCCCGTCCGGCCGTTGCCCAAGCGGCACCCAATTTGACGGCTTGGGAAAGCTCATGCAGGCTTACACACATCATCACCACGCACGCTCACCTTTCTGTCACCGGCGAGGGAAGCATCTGCCGACGAACGATTCGGGGGGGGGCCGAGCCAGGCTAGCTCGTCCAACCCTGGCCTCTCTCCAGCAAAGGGTGGGTGCGTGAGTTCATCACCCTACCGGTACATGCGTAACGTATTCCGTACTGAACATTGGTACGGACGGCGGACGCTGATGAGCCTGCCCAGCCAGCACTCGGCGTCTTGGATGGAATCGATGCCCAAGGGTTCTCCATGGACATCCATGATAGGGGCCGCCGGGCCGCCGAAACGTACAGTACATGCGGACGATGGAACAAAGAGGCAAGGGAATCCGGGCGTTGTCTGCACAGAAAAAAAAAACGTGTAACAGACTAATACAGTACTCCGTACAGGACAGTACTGTATGGTCCGGAGGCGCGTG